CCAAGTTTTTAAACAAAGAAAAATATTTATACCATTTTTTAACCAATTTGGGTTATGTATTAGATAATTTTTTATGAAGGTTATAAACACACGATGACATGAAGAAAAAGTTACACCTGTAATAATTGGTGATACGAGGGTTGATGATTTATTTAATATCTTAAAATTATTATTTTCCATTATCCATTTTCATTTACAATAAAAAAAAACTACTCAAATAAAATCTTTTAATAGGTGTCCAACATTTTTTATATAATTTGACATTTATGAGTGACAGCAATATTTATAGAATAAAATATCTGTGGTTTCAAAGTTGACAGGTATAGCCATCCACATAGTGAAATCAGTAAAGGTGCAAGGATGTTGGAGTATATAAAATAAGCTTCAAAAGAAATGTATTGCATTTTAAAGCATTTACTTCTGAAAATCAATAGGGTTCTCAATGTTTAGTCACCGAAGAAAAAATAGTAATACAAAATAATGAAAAGTGTAATAAAGAGCCCGGTAATATTATGATCAGTAATATATATAATTGCTCAAACTTAACAATCAATATTAATTTAATTAAGCAGAAAGATAATTGAATTTTCTTTAGTTATAATGTTAAGTACCTATTTTGTTGTAATTTTAAAAAGAATTTAATTTAGTAAAATGATTATGTAATATGTAATGTATGTAGCAAAATAGAACTTACAACAAAACTGTGCACAAAGTAAACATTATTATTAATAATATTATTATATTTAATACTGTCATACAAACGTTTGTGATATAGCCATCATATCCACGTTTTTGCATAAAGTACTGTTGACATATTATTATATTATGAAGTAAAATGTAAATTTATCGCATACGTAGGTAAGTATGTATAGGTACCAAGTACCAATGTATGTACCCGTGCAGGTATTAAAACTATACAAGCTGTATATTTTTTCAAGAAGAAATTATATTTTTTATTTATCTGCAGTGATTATCCCATCATAAAAGTGTGGGACTTTCCTTTATATTTGACAACCAAAGATACATTTGTAATTATTAAAAAAATTCGTTTGTTATAAAATCGTAAAATTATTTTACGATTTTATTAGTCATAAAAGTTTTGTCTATAAAATTAAATTAACAAATTAATAACAAGTAAATTAGCATTTTTATTTTAATTATCCTTTATTTCTGTCATCTAATTGAACATAACTTTATTAAGACATTAAAAAAAAATATTATTCGAACAAAAAATGATCGTTAAAGAAGAAAAATTACCGAATTGGGATCTTTTAGATAGATATAACTCAGTTATCATACCAATTTGTATAAAGGAAATTACAAGGGATATAAAGACAAATATTGATTTTAAGAAAGTTCCTGGCTTTAATTAAAAGAGGCATTTTAAAATAACTTTCGAAGAAAATCATGATAAAACTTAACACACCTGTTTAATATCTCATTCTTACTAAGGTAGTGTGTCCTTTCAGTGGAATAAACTTCAAAAGATCTTCTTTAATCGTAAAATCACTAAAAACCATCCTGACGAACACTCCCATCTGGGCAGTGTCAACGACATCTGTTGATTCATTCAGTTGAAGTGAAAAATAAACAGTTATCCAAGTCAGTTTTTAACTGTAAAAAAATATCATTGCTCATTACTTCTACACTTCTCATCACTGTATTAGCAGAAAGTTGCATAGATTTTATAGCTGAAACTATCTCGTCTTTATTTCTAAAGTTGGTAAATAACGAATCAGCAGCTTCTAAAAACGTCTGTTTTATCATTTCCCCTTCATAAGGTTTCTTTTTTTGTGCAATTATCTGGGACACACGGTACGATGCTTCAGTTGCAGCCTTATTTTTGTCGACTGTTCTTAAAAATATTGATTGTTGTCCAATTAACTGCTTTTTTAACTGTTTCAGTTTCTCCTTTCTGGCGGCAGAATGTAGTGGGAATGAGTTTTCAAAATTAGAATGTACAGTTTTATGATGTCTCTCAATATTTCCTTTTTTAGCAACGGAGACCGAAGTATTACATAACAAACACACATTTTTATCTTTAACTTCTGTAAAAAAGTATTGTTCTTCCCATTCCGAATGAAAGTGGTATGTCTTTACCTTCTTGCAACTGCTTGCCATATTATTATTTTTTGTTGTTCTCTACTAACCCAACCGCTGGACATTGGTTACGCGTTCAGTTTTAAACTAAGCGCACTGTCGCCGCGCCGTGCGTATTTATCCCGTTCGAAGCAATCCTGATCGTTCTCGAACACTAACGCGCTGGTCCGGCTGGTCGGTTCTAGCCGATTCTAGCTTGATGGCGTCAGCGGCAGATCGCTCACCGCAACGTTGCTGCTGTTTATGTTTAATATTATGACAATTAGATTTTTTGTGGAATTTTCGGAAGCTTCTCTGATTTTTGCAGTTTGTATTTTTTAAATTGTGAGAGCTACCAGAATTGCCTCCGCGAGCTACCGGTAGCTCGCGATCGACAGGTTGGCGACCACTGAATTATAGACATTAAGACATATATATTAAGACATAGATATAGAAATAAGATATAGATATCAAAATATGGAAATCAACACTTTGTATATTACATTTCGAAAAAAAATTTACACCTCTCAAAAAGGGGTAATTCGGCTCTGCAAATTTACAATTATATTAATAATACCAAATTTATTAATAAAAACAAATAAATTTTAAATTCTTCAGTCTTCTCTTCTCTCTCGCCTCTACCTGTCTGCTTGTTTCTACCTATTTACTTGTCTCTACCTGTCTACTTGTTTCTACCTGTCTGCTTGTCTGTGTGTGCTACTTGTGTCTACCTGTTTCTGCCGTGTGTATCTGTCCTGCCTCTACCTGTCCTGCCTCTACCAATCTCTGCTTATTTATCAAGTTAAATAAAATTTTCTATACCTTTATTCTTTCTTTTATTTCTTCTGTATAATTTATATAATGTTCAATTCTAATAATTATTTAATTTTATTTCTATATATTATCTCTCCTTAATTTTAAAATTTTCCAACCGACAATTTCCAATTTTTTAATGACATTTTTCGTAAAATTTTCAACTGAAAATAGATATAGAAATCAAGATATAGAAATGAGATAAAGAAACCAAGATATAGAAATCAAGACATAGAAATCAAGATATAGAAATCAAGATATAAAAATCAAGAAATAGAAATCAAGATATAGAAATCAAGATATAGAAATCAAGATGTATAGAAATCAAGATATATAGAAATCAAGACATATAAAAATCAAGATATAGAAATCAAGATATATAGAAATCAAGATATATAGAAATCAAGATATATAGAAATCAAGATATATAGAAATCAAGATATATAGAAATCAAGACATATAAAAATCAAGATATAGAAATCAAGATATAGAAATCAAGACATAGAAATCAAGATATAGAAATCAAGTTATAGAAATCAAGATATAGAAATCAAACTATAGAAATCAAGAAATAGAAATCAAGATATAGAAATCAAGATATAGAAATCAAGATGTATAGAAATCAAGATATATAGAAATCAAGACATATAAAAATCAAGATATAGAAATCAAGATATATAGAAATCAAGAAATATAGATGTATAGAAATCAAGATATATAGAAATCAAGACATATAGAAATCAAGATATATATAGAAATCAAGATATAGAAATCAAGACATAGAAATCAAGATATAGAAATCAAGACATAGAAATCAAGATATAGAAATCAAGATATAGAAAGCAATATATAGAAAGCAAGATATAGAAATCAAGATATAGAAATGAAGATAAAGAAACCAAGATATAGAAATCAAGACATAGAAATCAAGATATAGAAATCAAGTTATAAAAATCAAGATATAGAAATCAAGTTATAGAAATCAAGATATAGAAATCAAACTATAGAAATCAAGAAATAGAAATCAAGATATAGAAATCAAGATATAGAAATCAAGATGTATAGAAATCAAGATATATAGAAATCAAGACATATAAAAATCAAGATATAGAAATCAAGATATATAGAAATCAAGATATATAGAAATCAAGATATAGAAATCAAGACATAGAAATCAAGATATAGAAATCAAGTTATAGAAATCAAGATATAGAAATCAAACTATAGAAATCAAGAAATAGAAATCAAGATATAGAAATCAAGATATAGAAATCAAGATATATAGAAATCAAGAAATATAGATGTATAGAAATCAAGATATATAGAAATCAAGACATATAGAAATCAAGATATATAGAAATCAAGACATATAGAAATCAAGATATATATAGAAATCAAGATATAGAAATCAAGACATAGAAATCAAGATATAGAAATCAAGATATAGAAATCAAGATATAGAAATCAAGATATAGAAATCAAGATATAGAAAGCAAGATATAGAAAGCAAGATATAGAAATCAAGATATAGAAATCAAGATATAGAAATCAAGATATAGAAATCAAGATATAGAAATCAAGATATAGAAATCAAATTATATAGAAATTTTGCACTTGCATTTTTTTTATAAAAAGCTGTATGTTTAATTTACTCTTCTGGGATCTTAATGATTTCAAATTATAATAAACAAAAGTCGATAGTCAAAATAGGTACTTTGTTAAGAAGTACAACCTTTTTAAAAAATCCAATTTGCAACTTCAACCCTCTGTATATTTATAAAAACTTATCATAGAATAGAGTTACGACGGGGCATCCTTTATTCATAAATTTTAATGGAGTGCCATTTTCCCAAAAGAAGAGTGTCCCGTTTGCCCCCTGGCGGCGCTTATGATCACCGAACTTCCAATATCAACATCATTATACAAGTAAAATACGAAAAAAACAATGTATGGAAATTAGACAAAACATTTTTTAATCATTAGTGAATAAAAAATAGTATTTTGTACATACACTTTTATTATCTATTATCTTCACTAATTGGCCGAAGTTTTAAATATAAGAGACCAAGTAGAAATAAAATTTTTCCATTTGTGGTTTATAATTTGACCGAGAACTCCTGTTGGTTTTTAATTAAATTAAATTTTTAAATAGTTGTTATTTTTTAAAAGAAAGTTTATACATTATTACTTTTTTATATAAAAATTAGTGCTAATATCAGAAATATTTATTGTTTTAAACGTTTTCTGCCAATCGAGTGCACCATGGAAAATCATGATGAAATTGTTATTTCTGGAATTTCCGGTCGGTTTCCAGAATGCAATAACGTTGAAGAATTCAAAGAAGCTTTAATGAAAGGAAAAGATTTAGTGACAGTCAACGAAAAAAGATACCCAAAAGGTAAGAAAGTTCTATGTTAACCCCTTAAGGGCAACACAGCACACAAGCGGTGTTTAACCAACTAAGGAGGAGGTACTTAATTCTTTGAAACCGATCAGAAAATATACACTTTCTGAACAATTTTTCGTCCAGAAAGTAACGTTTTGCCGATCAAGACCGAAAAGTAGATGTTAAGGACCATTAAAAGCTTTTTTTTAAGACCGACCAGAAAGTATATACTTTCTGAACAATGTTCCTTCCCGAAAATAACATTTCGCCGATCAAGATCGGAAAGTAGACGTTAGGGACCGGTAATAGTAAATAATTTACCATACAAGACCGGAAAGTAGTGTTTTGCAGGTCTCGTCTACGGCTCGCCCTAGAAGCTTGGAGAGACCTGCTTAACACTAATTTTCGGTCATGTGACGTACAATATTTTTTTTAAGACCGACACTATAACTAGATAATGTAATGTAATGTAATGTAAATTTCATCTGGAATTTCATCGAATTATCAAATAGCGATCGGAAAAATGAAAAACAGGGACCGGTAAAAGCGTTTTTTTAAGACCGACCAGAAAGTATACACTTTCTAAACAATTTGTCGTCCAAAAATAACGTTTTGCCGTTCAAGACCAGAAAGTAGACGTTCCGATTTATTGCCAATTGATAGTTCATTGATTTTTAATTTGTTGTTTATGTCAAACTTGTTTTCGCAAATTTAAAAATAGGGATTTAGATTTTAAATTATCTGACTTGAAAAAATGAGAAAAATGAAAATTTGGCTAGTTTATGTATCCATTATAGGCTTGCTAACCGTCTTCTATTCCAGAGGACAGTCCTCTTTTCTATCTTTATGTCCTCTTTTCTCTAACATATAGAAAATGTCCTTAACAAACTCAAAATATAAAAATCTGATGTGTTCAACACATAACTTTCCTGTCTAGTTATTACAGGCTTTTCCGGTTATTTTGCACAGCCTTTTGTATCACCCCTGTAAATATTCATTTCCAACGAAAATACTGAAATATTAAAATTTTGTACTTTTCCTCAATTTTTTTAATTACAGTCCATTTTAGAGAAATCATATATAGAATAAATAACAACTTTTTTTAAAATTTTTAATTTTTCACTTTTTGTCAAATTCCTCGAATACGGATCATTTTAGGAAAATTATGTATGTGACAAAAATTATAGAGAATAATATAACAACCAATTTTTCTTCTTCAAACGTAAATAACATAAAGTAGAAAAACGACCTTCTATAAAGTATCCCGACTATGCCCAAAATTTAATCAATTCACTGCAGGATTAAAAATTTGGTGTTTTTCTCTTGTTCTCTTTTTGAGTAATTATTTTCAAAATTCGAAATTTGTAGTTTTTCTTAAATATCTCGAAAACGATCCATTTTAAATAAATTATGTATGGTATAAGAATTACAGAGAATGACATCACAAACAACTTTTATTTAAACAATTTTTTTAAAAATTTGAATTTTTTACTTTTTGTCAATTTTTTTCGAATACTGGCCATTTTAAGAAAATTTTGTATGGAACAAAAAATATAGAGAATACTATTACAAACAACTTTTATTTTTAGGATTTTCTTCTGCAAGTATAAATAACAGATATAATCCATAAAAGAGAAAAACGCCCTCCTATAAAGAGTACCCCCCCACCCACATATTTCGACTGTTCTGAAAATTTAATGAGTTCACCACATAATGGATTAAAGCTTAAATTTAAAATTTGGTGTATTTCTCTTATTCTGTTTTTAAGATCTTCAAAATTCAAAATTTGTAACTTTTTCTCAAATATCTCAAATATGGTCCCATTTTAGAGATTTATGTATGGAGCAAAAATTATAGAGAATGACATCACAAATAACTTTTATTTGAACAATTTTTTTTTAAATTTTTTTTTTTTTTTTACATTTTGTCAATTTTCTCGGATATGGCCCATTTTAGGAAAATTGTGTGCACACACAGACATCATCGCGAAAATAGTAATTTCAAAGAAAAGTTCGTTATAAATATGGATCAACTATTCATAGAAATTCCATGCTCAAAAAAGGTAGATATTTTCCAAAGAAAATACAAATTTAAAAACACTTAATTTAATTAAAAGTGAGCTTTTAATAATATATTTTAATTTAAAATATAACTGCGGTGATTTTTACAAAGAGGTCAAAAAAAAAATTAAAAAATCTTAGAAGCAAAGAACCAGAAAAAATATATTTGGAAGCAAAAGGTAGATGCATGTTTTTATATCTATTTTTTTTGGATATTTTCTAATAAAAATTTTTTTAGAAAATCACTTCTTTTATTTGAAAAAGTCCTTTCCATATTATTGAAAATGGTTTCGCCCTTATGAAAATGTTCCTTACCGAAAGACCCCCCTCCCACCCTTTGTGAAAATTCTGGATCTGCCACTGGGTCCTCTATTTTAAATGTTGAAAGTTGGCAACCCTAATCCATTATCTAATTTTAGTATTTGTTAATCACTTCATTAAATAAAATAAATAATTGAAAAAAATATTGTACGTCACACGACCGAAAATTAGTGTTAAGCAAGTCTCGAACTGCAAAACACTACTTTCCGGTCTTGTAACGTAAATTACTATTTTATGTATGCTCAGCGATAATTCTTTACCACGTTGTCCGATTTCTAATATCTTTTTTGTGTTAGAAAGGGGGCACCTCAGGAATGGTTCCATATAAATTTAATGGCGTCCATAAGAAAATCATCAAACTCTTCATTTTTTTATATATGTTTAGCGATAATTCTGTAGAAAATTGTCTGATTTCTATGATTATTTTTTTGTTAGAAAGGTGGTATCCCATTGGTGGTCCCATTTGGTCAAGATCTAATGATGGAATCTATAATAAAATCAGTAAATTCTATTTTTTTGTATCAGTTACCAAAACCAAGTTGTGAGTATGACCTCAAAATGCTAAACAGTCGGATACCGTCGATTCATTCAAAGACTTAGGTCACCCCAAAGAGGCCATATGAAAAGGCACGTATTGACCAGTAATTAAAAATTATTGGTGCCTTTGTTCTCCGTAACAAACGTGAAGTATGGAGAGTAAAGTACACTTTGGCCAAAATCCGTAAAGTCGTCAGACACTTTTACGTCGATTGGTCAGAATTGACGAGAACAGAATGAAGCTCGATTACATGTTGGGTTTGAAAATTGAAGATTTCTTGGAAAGGCGTCTGCAAACCCAAGTATTCAAATCTGGTCTTGCTAGATTATTAATGACAAAATTATATTTCGACAAATTGATATCAAAAACACTCTAAATTTAGATCCAATAAAACTAGTTCAGTAATGATCAAGGTCTCGTTATATTACCCTTGAATATAACGTTGTAGGATTTTCGCAAACCTTCTTCATTCCGATAATTGGAGACTCAGGTAGTATTTCAGCAACTCAAATTGACCAACAGGTAGGTACTTTAAGGATTTCATTGCTTTTATTTAGGGCGTATTACCACAGAAGTATAGGTTTTAATATTCATCCAGGATATTTTTTCCAATATTGTGATTTCTTCGATTGGATACTTTTTAAATGAAAAACTGAAATGTGTCGTACCTCAGTGAACGATGCTGATGCCTGGTAATGGGCAAAATTTATATGATTAATAATTTTTTATTAGGAAAATGTGGCAAACATAATTGAGTGGCTCAGTGCCAGAGTTGTCTAACTAACAAAATTTCAAAACAAACTTTATCTAAATATTATTATTTTAAAATAATTTCTGTGTGTGTTAAAGTTGCCTATTCTTAAAAATTATTCCTTTTCGATGCCACAATCTATACCTAAGCAGTTTCGCATAGTAAATTTTGGTAAAGTACTTTGATCGCCATTATACTTTTAATAAATTATTGGTTGGGCAACTTTGGCATTGAACCACTCAATTTATTTTGCATTTGGATTTTTGGTTTTTATAATGACAATGACTCAATCATTACTGGCATCTTTTGGTTTAGGTTTCAAGAATTTTCCGGAAAAGAACTCAGTTATACCAGAAATAGATAAATTCGATGCAGTGTTTTTCAAGATGAGTCCCATAGAGGCCAAATATACAAATCCTCGACACAGAATTCTTCTAGAAGCTGCTTATGAATCAATTTTTGATGCGGGATATAATCCTGAAGAACTAAAAGGATCTAAAACAGGTAAAATATAAATAACGAGATTATTTACTGATTTTACGTTTTAATAATCTCAAAAATAAATACGTCCTCTTCTTCTGACCCTACTTCATATTAATTTGTTATACTTTGTTTTTCATTAGCTTCCTCTAGTTTCTACTTTTTTCCCTGTATTCTTCCATCATACAGTATAATTGTTAAGTGTTTTGCTTATAGGAGTATTTGTTGCAATGGGAATGACTAGAAGTCAAACTGATGATATTCTAGAAGATAGTTACGGCAATTCTTATCTGGGCCAAAACAATTTTCATGCTGCCAATAGAATTTCTTACGCTTTTGACTTTAAGGGTACGAGTTTTGCTATGGATTCAGCTTGTTCCAGTTCATTGTACGCTTTTTCCAACGCCTTCAGCCAGTTAAGGGCTGGAGAGATTGATCACGCACTTGTTTTAGGTACGTAGAATGTTGGATAAAAATATTATCAATAGAATAACAATAAATTTATATATATTTTTTTGTAGGAGCGAATCTGACGCTTAACATAGAAGAAGTTGAAGAATTTAATAAAATGAATGTCTTGAGTGATGCTTGTAGAGTTTTCAATAAAGACAGAAGTGGATTTGCCGTAGGTGAAGCTGTCGTTAGTTATTTTTTGTCAAGGTAAGAACTACAGACTGTTTGTTTAATGATTATCAGCAAGCAACAATCATGTTTTTTTGTTCCTTTTCAGGAAAAGCAATAGTAGAAGAGTGTACGCCACAGTTTTGTGTGCCAAAACAAATGTCGATGGATTTAAAAAAGAAGGAATAATCTCACCATCTCCAATAACTCAATCCGTACTCATGAAAGAGGTCTATGAAGAAGCCAAAATCTCAATGGATGATATCACCTATATTGAGTTGCACGGAACAGGTATGAAATATTAAATGTACACAATTGTTTTTATTACATAATTTTGAGTTTTTTAATAATTTCCAGGCACTCAGGTAGGTGATGTTGTCGAATGTCAAAGTATCTTAGACGTTTTTGGTCAAAGAAAACAACCAGTTCTCGTGGGATCTGTAAAAAGCAATGTTGGTCACACTTTACAAGCTTCTGGTCTTGTAGGTATGACTAAAGTGATTTTAGCTATGGAAAGCGGAATGATACCGCAAAATTTATATACTGACAACATCGATACTACAATACCAGGTATTGGAGATGAAAAAATACAGGTAAGATTCATGGGATATATGTTCTTACTCAATTTCAATACAATGTATTTATTATTAAATAATTTTAGATTGTTAAAACCAATACACCCTACAACGATGGCATTATGGGCGTCAACTCTTTTGGTATAGGTGGAGCCAATGCCCATGTAGCATTAAAACCAAATGGTAAACGCACATTGTTACCCTTAAGTGATATAGACAATCGATTAATTCAAGTGTCTGGAAGAACTGAAGATGCAGTCAACTATTTTCTGGACGAAATCGAGAAGAACCAAAACGAAAAACAATTTTTGGCTTTAATAGATGAAATTCATAAAATGAATATTGAAGGACATTGTTACAGAGGGTAAGTGTACATAGAAATCAGACTAGTAGCCCATAAATCCATTGTTGGACATTTTGATACATTCTGATATATGTTCTAGTTATTCAGTATTGGGAAAAACTCCAAAACGTGAAATTTCCAAATGCAAATCAGGAAAACGACCAGTATGGTTCATTTACAGTGGAATGGGATCCCAATGGTCAGGCATGGGTCGAGACCTGATGCATATACAAGTTTTTCGCGACACCTTCAATCGCTGTGCCGAAGCCGTAAAACCTTATGGAGTAAACCTGGAAAACATCATAATGAAAGGCTCAGCTGAAGATTTGGAGGACGTTGAAAATTGTTTTTGTGCAATTATAGCTATAAGTGTATCTTTGACAGATTTGCTGACGTCTCTTGGTATTCAACCTGATTTTATGGCTGGGCACTCTTTAGGAGAAATAGGTTGCGCATACTCAAATGGTGACTTAACTCCAGAACAAGCTGTTTTGTTAGCGTATTCCAGAGGATATGCCTGCAAACAAACAATCCTACCACTTGGTCAAATGGCTGCTATTGGTATGTCGAATGAAGATTTAAAAACAATTCTACCCAAAGATATCTATATCGTTTGCCAGAACAGCAAAGATAACATCACTATTTCCGGTCCACAAAGCTCTGTCAAAAAATTTACTGAAGAATTAACCCACCAAGGTGTTTTTAACAAGCTGGTCGATACCGCCAATATAGCGTTTCATTCTAAATACCTGATGGATGCTGACAAGTATATGTTGGAATTTCTAAAAAAAGTATTACCCGATCCAAAGCCTAGATTGAATAAATGGATATCAACTTCGGTACCGCCAGAACAAAAAGGAGAAATATGGGCACAATATAATTCTGCAGAATACCATGTCTTCAATTTCATGAATACGGTAAGTACATAATTCGAAATCAAAGTGGTAAAATATAAAATTATTATTTATTTTGGTAGGTACTCTTTGATGAAATTTACCAACATATTGAAAAGAATGCTATCATAATTGAAATAGCGCCTCATGGATTATTGAGATCAATTTTAAGAAGAGAAATTGGACCTGATAATACGTTAATTTGTCTAATGAACAAGACAGCCGAAAATCAAGAACAATTCCTGCTATCTTCTATTGGACAGTAAGTTCAAAAGTTTGATTCCACTTCTTCCTAGGTCGCACCAAAAGTATATTTGTAAACATTTGACATTCTCTCAGTTCTTTTAATTATTACGAACTAGTAATTAATATGCAAGGCTAACATACTGTATTTTTGCTACGATCTATCCAGTTTTCGGGAAGGTGGTCCAAGTTTTTTTCACTATTCCTTTATTTATTTTAATTATCATAGAATATTCGTTTTTTAATCCCCTTCTTTTTTAGTTTTAATAGTCTGTATTTTATTTTTTAATTCTAATTTAGTTTCCGTGTTACCTTCCTCATATATGTCTACATTTATTTTTATTTCTTTATTAAATGTGTATTCTATTACTTGCTTATTTTTGCTTTTCATGGTAATGTCTCTTTCTATTTTCTTTATTCCTTTTTTCTTCTATTTTATTTTTCTTTTATTTTTATTTTCGTGTATTTCTTTCTTAATATTCTCATTTCTAATTTTATTTCTTGTATCAGCTTTATTTCCTCTCTTATCTACTTCTTTATCTCATCTATTTTTTGTGTATAATGTAACAATTTTTTATTTTAAAACCAGTTTATTATTTATTATTTATTTACATTTACTAAACCCTAATTTATTTACAATTATATACTTCAACTTCAGTCTATAAACTTCTACCTATAAACTTAACTTCTATCGACAAAGTCGCGCTATTTATACAAAAATGCTGCGCACCGCACTGTTTTCGAATAATTGCAGGTATTTTTCGAACGTACTAGATGAGTTCTGGCAACTTTCTAGTAGTTTTTTCACATTCTCCGTACACCAACTGCAAACTGAGTGTCTCGTTCGACAGACGTGAGAAGAACACAGGCGGATCAATAGGGTTTTTCGGAGGTGATTCTTTATTTGAATATTTTTAGTTATAGGAAAAGATGATGACTCAAATAAGGTAAAGAGGAACTTAAGGGATTAGCATGACTGGATTGATCGAAAATGACTGCTTAAGAGATAGTTCCTTCTGGAACTGTTACGAAACTAAAGCGAAATGGTTGTATCTGTAACTGGACCCTCTTTTACAGTGTCCAGTTGCATGGAAGTAACATGGGACGGTCTTCGCTGTAAGCTGGACACTGGGCGAATGGCTGCGGACCAGTATTTGAAACTTGGTATCTTCCACCATGTTTCTAATGATCCTTCAATTCAGCTGGTTGTTCTCTATCTTTGGCACGGCTTGTTTCTGTACATTGGACTTTAGTACAAGCTCCCTCAGACTAAGTAATGCTTCCCATATATCATAATAAGCGGGTCGTTTGTTACAAATTGAAGATATAATGCGACCCATCTTAAAGTGCCAAGGCCTTTGCAGGGGCTGGTAACTGACCTTTAAGGTCTGGCAACCGACCAAACTTCTTCTGGAACACAGATGCCAGACCTCGAGCGTCGTTTATGCTGGCGGAAGTGCTAAAGACCATAGAGTAGTCTTTAGAAACCATAAGAAGGTCTTGTTGTTGCTTGATTGTAACACCATATCTTGCTTTTCCGATACCTCCGTATGCACCCGTACATCCTTCAGAGACAAGACCAGGTGTTTCTTGGAGCTGGTTTATTTCTTTCTACATTGTCACCTTCAAATGGCGCCAGGCTGTTTTGGTGCGCTATCTTTGGTTTACCGTTCAGGATCTTGCTTATACGGTAAATGACATCATTATTTTTTTCTTAATGAGGTACGGACTTTCCCAAGACCTCTGGAGCTTTGAAGAGTAACCCTTGTGTTTTTTGGGTTATGAAACCAGACTTTGTCGCCTTCCTTGAAACATCCTTCTGTAGCTTGAATATCGTACCGTTTCTTTATTCTGTCGCTGGCGATTTGAAGATGCGAGCGATCCAGTTCATGCATGTCGTCCATTTTTCTTCGTAGCTGGATAACATAGTCTTCAGCGGGTACGTCCTGTCCAGGTCCCATCATATATTCTTGCATAGCTACTGTCCCCATATGGATGTCGGGCCAACTTTTATCATGCTATTCTTAAAATCCATTACATCCATTTCTAGTACAACATCGTCTTAGATATCAGCGACAATAGTAGTGTGAGTGAACTTTTCTGTACCAATTCCTTATTGAACCTGAATTTCTCTGTGGATGTTGGATGTTGCACTTTCGCCTGTGACAGTCCGCAGCCGCAATCTTGTTGGTAGAAGTCTCTTGCAGTTATTTATGGTTGTTGGTCGTATAATGGTCCTGGTTGCTCCACCAACAGTGCATACTTTCTATAATTTACTTCGCCGTCTACGTATACACTATCATCGCGACATTTTAAAGAGGCTATCAATATAAGAAGGTCTTTGAAAGATTCAGGGTTGAAGCTGCCCCCTCTAGACCTACCCACTCTAGTTTTCTTGTGGCGTATTGTCTGGATTTGCAATTTCAACACCTGATAGTCTTCGTCTTCATATTTTTGTCAGTAAAGCTCTAAAAATTTGTCGAGTTTATCTTCCTCTGTATTCACCAGAAGCTTGCGTAGCTGCTTCATACTCTAGGGCAGCTGACAAGACACTGACCAATGTTTGGTGATGGGCTAAGTGAAGTGTTTTCAGTATTTCATGGTCACGGAGTGCATCAACAAATGTTAGGACTGCCAAACATTCCATCATGTTCTAATGGGTATGTCTGTTTGACAGGCGAGAGAGAAAAACAGGATTATCAATAGGTGACTTCTTTAATTGAATAGTAGTTACAGGAACAGGTGATGAGTCAAATGAAGTAAAGAGGAACTTAAGGGAAAAGCAACTTATTATTAACTGAATATAAATAAATAAATCAAACTTAAATAATTATAAAACACCCGTAAGATAATTTTTTCATTATTTTTAGAATATTCTTGAGTGGAGTTCAACCGAATTTAAGAAACCTCTACAAAGATGTGTCATTCCCAGTGAGCAGAGGTACAAAGATGTTGTCGCCTTTAATAAAATGGGACCACAGTGCCTCTTATTCGGTTCCCAAAGTAAAACCAGAATATTTTGGAAAAATTGTTACTGTGAACATATCGCACGAGAAACATGAATTTCTAAAAGGACACGATATAGATGGAAGGATTCTAATGCCGGCTGCAGCTTATTTGGTAAATTTTCAAATTAAAAATTATTATTTAATAGTTCTTGATGTCCAAAAGTTTAGAAGAAAGTGTATTGAGACTTCTGTGTTCTAGGAACTGGTATGGAGTGTTCTAGCGGAGAAGGTACTGAAGAAGATGGAAGATTTACCGGTAATTTTCGAAGATATCAGATTTGAGCGCAGCACAGTACTTCCCGATAACGAAACGGTACAATTCTTAGTAAATATTTTCAGAGATACTGGCCATTTTGAAATTTTCGAAAGTAGATCTGTTGTTTGTTCTGGAAAAATCACAGCTACAACAAATGTTGCCGATCATTATGTTAGCAAAGAAATAACGAAAATGGATGATAATGTGGCAATTATGAAAAGAGAAGACGTTTATAAAGAACTGATGCTCGGAAGATATTACTTTAAGGTAAGAATACCTATTTGCAAAATAATTATATTTTCGTTTTGCTAAAAAATTGTTTCTTTTAAGGGCCCTTTTAAATCAATTTCCGAGACAGATATCAAAGGATACGTAACCAAAGTGGAATGGTTTAATAATTTCATTATCCTCATGGATTCGATGATGCAAGTAATAATGATAGCAACTGGAAATCAGACTCGAGATTTGATGCTTCCAACTACGATTAAAAAGTTTATTATTGACCCTACAGCGCATTTAGAAGAGACTGACCAAAAATGTAAGTAATGTAAATGCTTAGGAGACCGAAGATGTAACATTGCACACTCCGCATGTTGTCTATTTTAAGCCAAAGTAACCCACCAATTGAAAATCATTGTTGCACGACGCCACCCGAATTGCTCCGATTTCCATTCAGCGATCACCTCCACCTGAGTTTAATCACCATTGACAGCTGTTTTTTGATTTATTTGTTGGTATTTTAGCAATTTAAAGTGTTCTAGTTATTCAATTTCAAGTTCAAAATGTCACGATGTATCTTGAAAAATTGTATGTACTTATAATACAAGTACTACTGTTATGAATATATTCGTTTTCAGCGGTAAATATTTATTAACGTTTTGACATAAAGCGCCATGATTCTCTGGGCTGAATATTTCAGATCCGCATTAAGGGGTTTCAATAAATATTAAGCATCAGAAATCAGATTTTATATTACTTACATAAATTTACAAAAGGGTAAAATTTTGAACATTTAATTTAAATAAATAGTAAATAGGCATTATTGCTAACGAAATTTTGTATTTAAAAAGTAGTTTTATAAGAATGTTTTCTAAAGGTAGTTTTTAGCCCTTTTTGGTAAATAAATAAGAGGTAAAGAATCATAGTTGCTAGCTAAATTTTATTTTTATAAGGTATTTTTATAAGGTATTTTTATAAGGTATTTTTATAAGGTATTTTTATAATGTATTTTTATAAGGTATTTTTATAAGGTATTTTTATAAGAATATTAGATGAAATACAGGATGACCTACTTAAAATTTCAAGGTTCATCTTATTTGCGGTCAAATCGAAAGTGACATTGAATTTTCAGTCTTAAAACAAAGTAATCTAGTATAAGCCCAAAAAAAATACTAAAGTTACAGGAGTTAGGTCCGATTCCACCGTTGTGTTAAACGGAGATTAAAATGACAGTGTTAATGTAAAAATGTCATTTTAAACTTCGTTCAACACAACGGTGGAATCGACCCTTAGTCACGTTAATAAAATGTTACATTACAAACCCCTAAACAACTCGAACATAATTTTCGTTTACTAAAAAAAATCCAAAATTTAGCAATATTTATTTATTATACAATCGAATGCGATTTCAAAGATAACTGGATCAAAAAATCCGAATCTCTAAATTTTGGAGCTAAATGCTCGATTTATCCGCTGTTTTTAATAAATTATTTTCATTTTTTTTTAAGATAATGTATTAATAGATTTTAAAGGAAATACAAAAAAAGTAGATTTATTCAAAATAATCGATTTATCGTTTAATCGGTTTTTTAATTATTTGATTATTTTCGATTTTTCGAAGATATATGAAAATAATCGATTGAATATAATCGGTTATTTTACATAATCGATATTTTTGTTATTTTTTTAAAATTATCGATTTATTGGATAATCAGCTTTTTAATAATCAATTATTTTCGATAATCGAATAATCAATTTCAAAGGAAATATGAAAAAATGGTTATTAGAAAATAATAGATAATTCGTTTTTTTTTGGAAAATCGATTTATCATAGAATCGGCTTCTTAATTAATTGGTTATTTTCGATTTGGCGATTATTTTGGAATTATTGATTATTTTTGGTATTTCAAAGATAATCGAATTATCGATTTTAAAGGAAATAAAATAAAAATAGATTATTGATAATAATCGATTGATCGAAAATAATCAATTATTTAAAATAATCAATCATTCTGTTTTTTTTTAAATCGATTTATCAGTTAATAGACTTTTTAATTAATCGATTATTTTTGATTAATCGATTATTTTCGATTTTTCAAAGATTATCGAATAATCTGTTTCCATAGACGAAAAAAAATGGTTTATTTGAAAATAATCGATTATTTAAAATAAACGATAATTCTATTTATATTATATTTTGTAAACACTGATTTATCGGTTAATTGGCTTTTTAATTAATCGATTATGTTTGATTTTTCAAAGATAATCAAGTAGTCGATTTTAAAGGAAATGACAAAAAATATATTGTTTGAAAATAATCGATTGATCGAAAATAATCGATTATTTTCAATGATCGATAATTTATTTCGATAATCACTCATCCCTAGCGACCAAATGACTTTTAATAGATTTAAATTTTAAAATGTTATCTGGTTTCAGACATATGCATTTCTAGAGTTTTATGTGACTCATCCTTTATAATAATTAATATTCCTAAAGAAAGAAGCCTTAACATACCTTTTTCTGAGGTTATAATACAAAACAGCATTTTCTCATTTTGACTAATTTTTAATAATATGTAATAGCCGTAGAAAAAATATAATGTTCAACTCATAAGGGTAGATTTGCAGTATTAGCCTGCGCACATGCTATTTTTATAATACTCGTAGACAATGAGTAACATTTTTTGCTCTATTAACAATATATTCTATTTCAACATTTTACTGTAATCTCTTGCAGAAAAGTCCGTAGTAAATAAACGCTAACGAAATATTCTATAAAAGGTCTTCTCTTTACATAAAATGTCGTGGCATCTGTTTGATATTAAAAAAGCACGTTAATTTTATTTCATAATACAAAATTCGATTAAACACCTTTTAAATAAACCTAATAGTTCATTAAGATGCTAATAAACAAAGTCCGGTCCCTGTCACAGAGTTCGGGTCGCCGCGTGTCGCCGCCCAGTTCCCCCACTCCGTTAACCCTTCTTTAGAAATTGGCAACATTTGCGCAGGTTTAAAACCGGTGTATGTTATATCTCTGGTCTCTTTTATCTAAGTGTAAATGTAAGATTATGGCGAATTTCGAATATCCTAGCATTTTAGTGGCAATATGGATAGCAAAATAGTTTCTGTTGGTAATTTACAGTTTATGCCACTATCTTTTTTGACTTAAGGCCACTATAGGACCTTTATAATGGAGGGCATAACTTTATAGTACCATTTGTTAAAGGCGGCCATTATTAATTATCGGTAAAACTTTTAGAAGAAAAAAAAATGATTTTAATCAGAAATAGACAATTGTTTTTTTAATATCAAATCACAAACTTTTACGAAAAACATATTATACAGGATGTTCCATTAGTGTGTAATTGTTCAATATTTTAATTTGTGTTATAGGCACATAAACAAGTGTCAAATAAAAGTTATATGAATTTGAAAAATACATATTTTAAAAATATTTTTGGATATACAGGGTGTTGCATTTTTGTCTGACAAATAAAAATGTATATTTTTTAAATGGAACACCGTATATTTTATTTCAGTTTTAAAATGGTTTAGTAATACTGTATGCAACGTTAAAATATTTTTAAAAATATTACAGTGTTGCCAAACAATTAATTATTTCTTGAAATTTCAGAATGACCTCAAATTAAATTATCATAATTTAAGTAGTAGTAGTAGTAGTAGTAGTAGTAACAATGATTTCAAAATTGTTTTAAATAAAAACCAAGCTAACGAATAGTGGTGATAGAACTGGTTTATTTTATAGAGAGTGTCTTAAAACATGTTTTAAATATGGCTAATTTTAAGTTCAATTTACTTAATTTTTCAAATGCCACACCCTGTGTATTATTTTAGCATAAAATTCCTTATAAATTTGCCTATCCAACGATAACAACATGTTATAGTCTATTTTTATGTATGAGATAGTATTAAAATAATAAAGCGTTCGTAATCCATAGGCGTATCACTTCTTTTAGTAGACAGTTAAAATATTTTTTGAAGTTATTCCTCGAGTATACACTTATATTTTCACCTAATTAACCTGCTTATAACTTCTAAACAGCTGAAGGTAAAAAAGTGCAATTTTTTCTAAAATGTTTTATTTTTCCACAAGGTATGTTAAGAACATTGTGTCAAACGGGTTATGTAGGTAAAAGGGTTTAAACTTTGACTTTTAAACAACGTTACGTTCATAAATAATAATTTTAATATAAAAACTACTTATTACCTACAAATTCAAATCAGAATCGAAATCAGAAGATGAACTGTCGTAACCAATATTTACAATGAGTGGCTCGATCATTCCATCAGTAATATTGTCCAACTTCCACATTTTCTCTTCTTCTTTAATCGTATGATTTACTGCCTTTTCCCAGTTTTCAGGCTTCACATTATTTACAGCCTCCAAAAACAACTGTTTAACATCACTCATTTTAAAAGAATTATTTTTTCTTGAAACTTCTCCCTTTATCTGTGCCCATATCAGTTCAATCGGGTTTACTTCGCAATGATATGGTGGTGATCTAACCACCGTCATCCCACGATTTCTTGCAATTTCATATTTTTTAAATTTTTCCTTATGAAGGGAACACAAATGATACAGTTCTTTTCTCACAGAACCGGGATGGAACTTAATATTCTTTGAATTTAGCCAATTCTGTAAATCTTTTTTTTACCACTCGGTTGTGGGCATTTTTTCTATAAGTCTCGAGTGATAACTTGTATTATCCATTACTATTATATAGTTCTGAGGAAGAAGATCTATAATTTGTTCGAACCACTCTTTAAAGACATCAGCATTCATGTCCTCATGGTAGTCACCGGTACGAGTAGATTCAAAAGTCAATAAACCACCTTTAACAAAACCGTTTGAACTACCGATGTGTACTATTATTAGTCTGCGCCTCTTTCCTGATGGTAGATTTAAACCAGTAGATAAATTATTTAAAAAAGCCTGTCTTCGACTTGTAACAGTTTCATCTTGCCAAAATTTATTTGGTTTATGTCCGTCGTTGATCCATGTTTCATCTAAATAAAATATATTTCTCTTTGGTTTCTCATTTCTTTTATAGTCCTTAGGTAATTTCTTCTCCATACTACAATATCGCTTCTTTCTATTAAAATAGACTTTCTGGAATGCTTTTTCCATAGAAAATCTATTTCTTTTAAAAGTTTCCATAGTGTGCTTCGACTCATTTCAGGGTAATCCTTATCATCTCGAACCGTGGCAAGAACTTTGTCTACTGTCGGAAATTCTTTTCTAAAGAAGAACACATGCACTTTCCTTCGAAGTCTTTCTTTCAAAAGATTTTCTAATTGAAATTTTGGTTTTCCTGGAGCTTTACGTGCTGTTTGAAACTCGCCACATTTATCTTCTTTAACAACTCTGTAAATCGTAGATTTCCCAACACCAAGCGTACTACTAATTCCACTGTGTCAACACTTTTACATACATGTTTGTCTGTAAATGATTTAAAACAATTAAATATTAATGTTTTTTCATTAACTGTTAAAGGACCGATTTTTTGTCGTTTACGCGGTGCTTCCAAATTTTCCATGATCACTCTAGAATTCACACTGCACCTTGCAAGTTGCAACTAAACGACATTTAGTAAACTGTCAAGAATACACAACTTGGACCTCCTTACTAAATGGAAAACCTATAATCGCATTTTCGGTGAAATTTGTTGGGAAGATATTTATTTACTTATAATTCGATTACTGTAAGAAATTCTTGGAATTAAAATAAAACAAAATTGGCAAATAGGTACTTATTGAAAATAATCTTAAGATACGGCTATATAATCTTTAATACACAGGGCTTTTTGGCCTGTCCAAACCTTTTTCTATTGTTCTGTACAGCTTATGTTTATAAAGGACCAATAAAAGACCCAAAACTTGTAATAGCTCAGGTACATTTATTACAATTTTAGGAAATATTTAGATTATTCTATAAAAATATTTAAAATGACCGTACTAAGTTTTGCATTAGAAATGCTGTTTTATTACTCTCTCATACATAAAAATAGACTATAGTATCCGTATAAATATATTATCGTGAAAAATAGCCCTACAAGAAATAATCGAATGAAGCGAAATCGGGAGATCTAACGTGCTGATAACAATCTTACCAATTGCAAAGACAATTTTTTATTGTAACATTTTCATATATTTTGACAATATACTAAAATATAACTTATTTTTTAGATAACACATTACTTCATGATCCCTACTTAAACTTGGTCAAATCAAAAGGTTTAGAATTATTCGATCTAAAATTAGCACGTGCTCCCAAACGTCAGAAGACTCAGGTCGATCCCGTTTTACAATCATACGAATTCGTCAATTATAACTCTCTTAAAAATGAAAGTTACAACTTCGAAACATCTTTCAGTATAGCTGTACAGATAATATTGCAAAATATTAGTGGATTGACCAAGTATTTGAGTATCGCTGAGGTGCTAGAAACAGAAACTTCAATCACAGAAATTGAAAATAATCTACCAAAACAGACATTTGCGGAAATAGAGTACAATAAAGTAATCTATAATAAGATTGATAATAAATACGAAACAATTATAATCAACCAAAGTATAGCAGATAAATATTCTATTAATAGTTTTACAGAATATGTAAAGCAAGATGGTTTTATTATTTATTGTGGAGATTTAAATTACCCCATGAATCAACTGGATATCATTTTTCAAACACCTCACTTGTCACTCCTACGTTTGAAACAAACGTTTCCCCCTCTATACGATACAATTAACATAAGGAATTCAGACTTCAAATGGTTGAAAAAGTTGCAGAATATTTCGAAAAGCTCTAAAAAGATGACAGTCTTCTTGTTCAGTCAAAATGAAAAAAACAGCGGTCTCATCGGTTTAACGAATTGCTTGTCGAGAGAAGACACAAAGGTTGAATTTAAGGCTGTTTTGATAGACCAAGGTTTGGATGTATTTTCTGCAGACAGCACATTTTATAGAGATCAGTTGTCGAAAAATCTGACTTTTAATATTTTAAACAACAGTAATTGGGGCACGTACGTTCACGTTCCGTTAGGAGAAGTTGGAGAAAAGATTGTAAAAAACGCGAAGGTTTCAGTCAAAACTTTGGGGGATCTGTCGACGTTAAGCTGGGTTGAAATGCCAGGATTTCTTCCAAAGTAAGTAAAATAATTTATTCTTTATATTAACCACTTTGTTCGCAAACTACAAAACGAATAAGTAGGGGATATCAGTGTATTGAACGGATATAATATTATATCCATTCTATAGTATTTTTAATACCCCAAATGAAAGTTTAAATTATACCATTTTAGTAAGTATACAGTGTGTCCGAAATTGGTGATGCATGTATTGCGAACTCGGAAACTGTTAGAGATAGAAAAAAGGTTAAATAGGGAACGTTTTAGACAATTCTGTTTATAATTTAATGCTTAGTTTGAGATTTTTTCTCTTTTAGTTTTTGAGATATTTTGAAAAACTAAAATTACGCATTTCCGAAAATACCCTGTATTTTCTCTATTTATGAAAATTTCTAAAATCTGTAAAAACTTTCTTGGAGCTACTTTTAACGTAGTAAACGCCTGTGTCGTCAGATTTTATTTGCAACGTTTCGGTTTCTTAGAACCATCTTTAACTTTGTTTTTTCATATGGGCGCCATATTAAATTTTTACTGTTTTGAAAAGCCCATTTTTTTACCTTCCTAATGATATATCACACTTAGTAAAAAAAGTTAGGTTATGGGCTAAATAACCAAAAATTATGATTTTGTTTTTAATTTGGCAACGTCGCCCTATAAAACACTAACACTTGAGGAGATCCTATTACATTTAATCTTTAAACTGCAATTAGTACCAAAATATCCTCATAATAGTTTATGTTTATGATAATATCGCACTCTTACAATGTAACAAAAAATAACGTCAGGGCCGACGAGAGGGGGGGGGGCTGGCGGCTGGCGGCTGGCGGGGAAAATTCCCAGGGCCCGGGCACAAGAGGGGCCCGGTAGCGACACAAGGGGGTCCGACAGCTTTAGGTGAGGATTTTTTTTAATTTTACTGAAAAAGGATCTAAGTTTTTGCTTGAGAACTTTTTTTTTTTTAGAAATGTGATATCGAAAGGACTTAATTTTTTTATAAAATTGTCCCGGGACCCCACCTGGCTCTCGACGGCCCTGCTTACTGTTCACTGAATATTATTCCTTTTGGTGTCCTCATTATCTCTACTGATTTACTATTTATATTCTTTTTTCGTTATACCACTTTACTTTTACCTTAACCATTTCAGAGATTTAAAACTAGCCGCGGAAATAGTGGACGTGAAGTACATGGCTTTAAATTTCCGGGACACTCTAGTAGCGACTGGCGACTTGCACGTTAAATTTTTCGAACCTTCAGATGATAACACTAAATTGGGCTACGAATATTCCGGAATTACCAAATCTGGAAGAAAAGTTATGGGTATGATTTTCTTGAATGAATTTAACACGGAACTACAAGCCGATTGTGATTTTACATGGGATGTCCCGAGTCGTTGGACACTGGAAGAGGCTGCTACGGTACCCATTGTTTACGCCACGGTAAGAAAACTATTTTTTCTACGACTTCATACCAAAAAAAAAATCTTTTGGATACAGAATAGGCAAATTCTAGTCACCATTGAGAGAAATATTTTAACTTTCACATATCGCCTGTCATTAAAACAATATACTATATATAATCCTTCTTTTATTAATTTTAGTGCTATTACGCTCTGATTATCAGAGGTCAAATGGCGAAAGGTAACTCTATTTTGATTCATGCTGGATCAGGAGGTATTGGAATGGCAGCTATTAGGATAGCTCTTAGCTTGAAAGCTACAATATTTACGACTGTAGGTTCTCAGAAGAAAAAGGAATTTTTGTTAAAAACGTTTCCGGATTTAGAAGAAGGGAACATAGGTAAGAAAGCTGTTAATGTATAAATTTTGGTATTATCTGTATTGTAAAACAGTCATAGTGTACCTTAAATTTAGATTTTGAGCAATTATGGAACATTCATACCGGTATTTGGAGTTAAAAAACATAAAGCCGATTTAAAAATTTAAAAAATATAATTAACAATTTAAAATAATATCAATGATTAAAAAAATAAATAATTATCAATTCTTGAAATCCATTTTAGAGAATAAGTTATTTTTTTAAATATTACATAAATCTGCAATAGATTTTTTCAAATCAGTCAATTTTAATGTTAATTTCGAGGTTATGTATGAAATTGACGGAGCTGATGGGTATAGAACCCTCGTAAATTAATTATTTTCAATATTTTTAATCAATTAGGCAAATTGGACCTGACTAAGGGCCCAATTAATAATATTTTCATAAATTTTTGATGTGTTCATATATTTTAAAGTTCTCTTTCAAATGTTTCATAAATTTACCAATTAAACCTGTCCACAGGTAATTCGAGAGATACCACATTTTTCAATTTAATCAAAACCAAAACCAAAGGTAAAGGAGTCGATATTATCCTGAACTCTCTAGCAGGCGAGCTCTTTCAGACTTCACTGAACCTAATGGCTCCAGAAGGAAAATTCCTAGAATTGGGTGTAAAGGACTTTGCGTCTGGATCTAAGATAACTTCTGGCCTATTTTTGAACAATTGTACCGTACATGGCGTTTTCGTGGACAAATTGTTTGAGGATGGGTCTCAAATGAAGAGGAAGATTTTCGAAATTGTTAAAAAAGGTTTGCAGTAATTGTATTTTCATTTATTATTAAGTAATTTATTACATTTTTACGATTTCTATAAGAGAATTGACAGGGTAAACCACGATTTATTTATGGTACAATTTGAAGTTCAGGATTTAAAATTGTCTTATATCTTTAAAGGTACCCAATGTTTGCCAAATTTATACACTTTTAGTCTAAAGAAATACGTGAATCCTTATTCTTCAATATATTTACAATAAATGTCTTCACTCTGAGGATGATTTCATTTTTTTTAAGTACTGTATTAACATTTTTTATTCAGGTATTGAAACTGGAGTTGTCAAACCACTACCAACCACAGTTTTTGAAAAAACTCAACTGGAACCAGCATGGAGATATCTTGCTTCAGGAAAGCACATAGGAAAAGTGTTAATAAAGCTTTCGGATGAAGAAAGTAATGGACCTGTTAGCGTTTCAGCAATTCCAAGAATAAAATTTAATCCTGGTAAATTTAAAATTTAAATACCAAATTGATATTTTAATACAATTTTTTTTTTCTTAGAAAAAGTTTTCATCATTATTGGAGGACTTGGAGGAATGGGAATGGAGCTGGCCAGTTGGTTATTGACAAAAGGTGTTAGAAAAATGATTCTAAACGGCAGAAGAAATGTCTGGAATGGATACCAATCGTATAACATCGCTAAGTGGCAAAGTTACAAAGATGTGATAATACAAATTGATCAGAATGATAGTTCAAAATATGAAGAAGCTGAAAAATTAATATTAGACGCTCAAAAATTAGGAAATATTGGCGGTATGTACATCAAGTATTCTAAAATACGTATATAAGTTACAGTAGTATATATATTTTTCTTTTTTTTTAATTGTATTTTTTTTACTTTAAGGTATATTTTTGATCTTTATGAATATAGAAGAAAATTCTTTCAACAAAAGTTGTTTGTGATGTTATTTTCTACAATTTTGGTTAAATGCAATATTTCTCTAAAATGGACGGTAATGGAGGAATATAAAGAAAAGTGCCTAATTTGATATTTTTTGAGTATTTTTATTGGTAATATTCCAAATACTTTTTATTAGATATTTTGATAACTTTACAGGAATATTTGCACTTTTCCTCAAATTTCTCCATTACTGTTTATTTTAGAGAAATCATGTATATCGCCAAAATTATAGAGAATAACATCACAAACTAGTTTTGTTGAAATAATTTTCTTCCATAATAATAAATAACAGAAATATAATTTTTTTTAATTCAGTATCTTCCTTATTTTGGAGTTTTGTTGAAAAAGTTGTTTATTTTAACGAATTCTATACACAGTTAAAAAATGTATCAACTTAGGATTGACCCTATATAACAGGAACTAAACATGTTTTTTCTAAAATTTCATCACGCCAATCGTTAAATAATAAAAATACACAACTTTTTTTAATACCATTTTGAATGTTATATGTGAAATAAGGATGTTAGAAAGGCTTGAAACTTCAATCTTTATGAAGTGGAAACGAAATTTTGTTTTTCCAAATTTTATTACGCAACTCGGCAGAAAATAAAAAATAAATCATTATGAATGCTATATAAGAAATCAATGTTTTAGTGAGTATTGAAATTTCAATATTTTTAGAGCTGAAACAAAATTTGGTTTTTGGGTATTTATTAGATATTTTTAGGTATTTTTAAGGTATTTTTAAGGTATTTTTAAGGTATTTTTAAGGTATATTTAAGGTATTTTTAAGGTATTTTTAAGGTATTTTTAAGGTATTTTTAAGGTATTTTAAAGGTATTTTTAAGGTATTTTTAAGGTATTTTTAAGGTATTTTTAAGGTATTTTTAAGGTATTTTTAAGGTATTTTTAAGGTATTTTAAAGGTATTTTAAAGGTATTTTTAAGGTATTTTTAAGGTATTTTTAAGGTATTTTTAAGGTATTTTAAAGGTATTTTAAAGGTATTTTTAAGGTATTTTTAAGGTATTTTTAAGGTATTTTTAAGGTATTTTTAAGGTATTTTTAAGGTATTTTTAAGGTATTTTTAAGGTATTTTTAAGGTATTTTTAAGGTATTTTTAAGGTATTTTTAAGGTATTTTTAAGGTATTTTTAAGGTATTTTTAAGGTATTTTTAAGGTATTTTAAAGGTATTTTTAAGGTATTTTTAAGGTATTTTTAAGGTATTTTTAAGGTATTTTTAAGGTATTTTTAAGGTATTTTAAAGGTATTTTTAAGGTATTTTTAAGGTATTTTTAAGGTATTTTTAAGGTATTTTTAAGGTATTTTTAAGGTATTTTTAAGGTATTTTTAAGGTATTTTTAAGGTATTTTTAAGGTATTTTTAAGGTATTTTTAAGGTATTTTTAAGGTATTTTTAAAGTATTTTTAAGGTATTTTTAGGTATTTTTTAGGTATTTTTAGGTATTTTTTGTATTTTTAAGTATTTATATTTATTTTTAGGTATTTTTAGGTATTTTTTTGGGTATTTTTTAGGTATTTTTTAGGTATTTTTAGGTATTTTTTAAGTATTTTTAGGTATTCTTAGGTATTTTATAAGTAAATTATTTTCAAGTCTTATTTTTAGGAATTTTCAACATAGCACTAGTCCTTAGAGATAACGCCATCTTAAATCAATCCCCTTCCGATTTCGAAGAGGCTTTTAAACCCAAAATCCGTTCCTGCGAAAATTTAGACAGAATCACCAGAAGGTGTTGTCCCCATTTGGAGCATTTTGTGGTATTTTCCTCTATAGTCTCAAGCAGGGGCAACATAGGCCAAACAAACTATGGAATGACAAATTCTGCCATGGAAAGATTGTGCGAATATCGAAGAAAAGATAATTTGCCAGGATTGGCTGTTCAATGGGGACCTGTTGGCGATGTTGGAGTTTTAATAACTGATGTTGCTTACAAACAGGTAGTTTTGTCAATCATGCATTCAATAATAATCAAAAATCTTTTATAATAATTATTTTTCTAGTATTTTGCTGTAAATTTAAGATTTTGTTACGTTTTGGCCTTGGCAGACATACGGTAATACACAGTACTACAACAGTTTTTAGCTGAAGAATCAGTTAGCTCACTCGGACCAACTGGATGTTCCAAAATAACAAATTAAGGATGCGCAAAAGACTGCTCTTTGTATATAGACGGTTGTTATATTGTATTGGTTATAATAAGAGATCCCACTGCAAATTTTGACCGTCATCTGATAACGAAATGAAATATGCTATAAGGGCATGTAACAACATTGTACTGTACCAAATTGCACCTGTGCCAATCCCTATCTTGAGCAGTGGTTAAAAAAATTATTTCCCTGAAAATTGCAATTCTAATTCATTGTGAACCTACCCAGACAGCACACCAAATCCTTTGGATATCTACTGAACATCCCAATATCCACTGAATGTCCAGTCCATGGTGGATATCTATTTTATATCCATGAAATGTAATTTATAGACATGCAAATGTTCATAAATAATAGTAATTATTAGCAAATTATTAAAAAATTACGCCATTGTGGCTAATAGTACCGTTCAGATATTTAAAATTAATTTTTTTAAGGTGTATTCAATATCCCATGAACATCCACTATAAATATATCAAAGTCTAAGCGCGGACGCAAACCATCGTGGATATCTACTAGATGTAATTTTTGATTTTGCTTCCTAAGTATAGATGGCGATACCACTTTCGTATCTACTCATACTCAACCCGCCGTAAATGAGTTCGATCGAATTTTTTTTTTGGCAATTAGACTCTATTAGAGACTGGAGTCGAGAATTTCCATTTATTGCTGAAGAGTCCTCCTAATAGGGATGAGGATGACTTTTCTCCTTAGTGCCCTTATAGTGGACAAAATCAAAGGCAGATTGTTGGAAATATTTTTTATCTCTATTTTCTTTCGACGTTATTCAATAATCATTGGTTACTTATGAACCTCTACTAAAGATACCTATAAAATATTTTGCTGAATATCTGAATTCTATATCCACAAAATATATTCTGTGGATATCTCTGGGATTTCTTGTATTGTCTGGAAGATACTCATTAGATATTTTGCTGAATATCCATAGGGATATCTTCTATATTCTGGATATAGACGGACATTTGGATATCCATATTAGATCCACGGAATATTTCTGATATCCTGTGGATATATTGGATATCCACAAAAGATATTCTGTGGATATCTCTGGGATTTGGTGTGTTGTCTGGGCAACACACAAACGGGGTTTCTATGGCAACCTGTAAAAATGAATCACAACAATAGGCATACAAATAAATTTTTAAATCAGCAAAAATTGATTCATATTTTTGAAGATTTTTACCTACTAATTGTGGATAGATGTTTTTTAAGACGAAGAAAATGTTTCCCTTTAACGATATATATCAAGATATGTTTGAATATGTTATTTTCTGGAAAGCTTCAAGGACAAACAAAATCAACGCTGTCATGCCTTATGTGATTTTTTAATATAAAATTATTTTTTTTTCCACTTTCCTCAGGATTGGGATTGGTACAGGTACCATTTGGTAAAGTAACATGTTTTTACATGCTTTTGGGCTAAATTTCATTTTGTTATCAGATGACAGTAAAAATTTGCAGTGGCCTCTTGGACTATTTGATGATTTGATTCTGTATGTGCCAGGGATACAAATACCACTTGCGCAATGTATAAACTGGAACATTGAAATCAAAAGTCTCGAAGCAGAATGAGCAAACTAATTTATTAGCTATAAACTGTGGTACTACCAACTTTATTAGTAGTCTTTGACTATTATATTTTGCACATACACTCTAGAAAAATAAGGAGTTCATAATAGGAACTGTTTTTTGTTATTTTATATGTATTTCAGGAATCTCTAGGGTTAGAACCACAGGGAATCGATTCATGTCTAAACGCTTTAGAAAAATTCATGATTAAAGATGTGGTTGTAGGAAGCAGTGTGATTTTAGCCGAAAATAGAAAAACTGGAACAGAGGGCGTAACAGAAAAAACTCCCGCAAATATTGTGGCCCATATTCTAGGAATTGAAAATATAGGTAAATAATTAATAAAGTACAGCGTTTAGTTATATATAATTAAAAGAAAGTCTTGTATTTTAAGAGATTATTTTTAACTAAAACTGTTAAATGTATTACACTTTGGGGTCTATTCTGTAACAATTCCTTTATATTTAACGGCCTTTAAAAATATTGGCGGCCTTTAAAATATTTTCGTATTCGTTAATTTACTTCTGTCATTACTTAAACAGATTTCTTTAAGATAGTTCTTTAATGTATTTTAAAGATCCGTTTAAATAATGACAGAAGTAAAGAAGAAAATATTTTTAAAGGCCGTTAAATATAAAGGAATTGTTACAGAATAGACCCCAATAGCACTTTTAATGTATAATCTAAAAATCATAGGATTTAACTGTTCTAATAAATATTAAACTATCTAAAATGTAATAATCTAAAAATTATGGAATTTAACTGCACTATTAAATATTAAGTTATAGTGTAATACAAGTTGCCTATCTACTAGTAATAATATTTTTTGGTATTCTATTTATTTGCCAAAAAATGTTTAATCAGTGAGCCTGTGGATTTAAAAACTTTGCAGGGCTGTCATTTACAGTTTTGATTGATTAATTAAATTACAAATCCTAGTTACGCAAGTCAAGACTTTTTATAATCATTATTATCATAGAGATAGATCATTAATGAAAGCCAGCGTTTGCGCCTAATGATAAATGCATTCTATTTGATATGTTGTCATTTATCAGGATTGCATTTAAAACTGGAAATGGTTATTGTTTAAAAACTTAAGGTGTTATGTTAAGCTAAAAGTTAGGTTGACTAATGAAAATTAAAATTCCGTATATTTTTTTAAATATGGTGAAAAATTATTTCAATAATTTTGTGATAAAACTTCGAAATTCGTACATGTAGATTCTTCACCGGAACCAGATTAAGAAGGTACTTACGAATATGTTGTTTCAGGCTCCCTATATTTGGCATTGATAGCATTGAAATTTTTGTAGCATGGCCTCTGGAGTGGTAACCAATGCTTAAATCGCCGTTTTCTGGAAGTAAAACGTTTTCATATCCCAGTTGATATTTAATCCGAATCCATAACGACATTTGACATTTCAACACTGAATTATTATTAAAAGTTTTAATATTCACGGTATTAACACACAAAAAACACTTCGGATCCATAGCAATTAGCAAATGGAGTTCCACGGGTCAAAAAATGAAAAAACGTTCTAAATTAAACCACAATACACTAACACGGTATGCTACAAACGTTCGTAAATTGTCTTATATGTCAAAACTGTGATTACATAGGTAACTATGATCTCTGCTTCAAAATTTGACAGTCGTAATTTTGTGATAATTTTCATGATCTCTCGTTTTAGCAATATTTCTGCAGAATTAATCGATGAAATTATTGATTATTTCATGATAGTCTATTTGTTTACAACTCGACAATTATTGAACATTTTCAGTTGTTCAGTTATACAACAGTGTTTCTCAAACTTTTTTAGAGACGGAATCCTTTTGAAAAGCGAAATATTTGACGGAGCTCTAAAATAGATTTTTTAAACTTTATATTGAAGGCTTTGCGGAGCCCCAGGGCTCCGCGGAGTACACTTTGAGAAACACTGTTATACAAGGTGTCCCATTATTTCGTAATTGCTCGATATTTCAATTTGTGTTATAGACAAGCAAATTTAAAATAAAAGTTATATGGATTTGGACGTTTTTTTCTGGCATGTATACTTTTTAAATAGAATCCTGTATTTTGTTTAAGTTTTATAACGGTCTGGCAATACTGTATTTAATCCTAGAATGGCATATCACTTAGCTTGAATCGCGAATACTTTCACATAGTCCAATTGCATACATTAAATAATTGTTCCGAGTAATTACATAAAAAGTATATGTTTAAAAAATTACCGCAACGCATGTGCACGTTGCGATTGTATACAAAGTAGATTTTCGTAGTCTATTTAACAACAAAAATAATGCTGTGAAAAAGCATACGTTTAATAATTATTGTTCTTCAATACCTTTTCTTTTTTACATGTCCAATTAACAATTTCGGGACACGAAGAAAAGGTGTATGCAGATTATTTTCCGCGGTAATTTTTTTAAAATTTTAACAAAAAGTGAATTGTATGCATTTACTAAAGGTGCGTATGGATATAACAGACCGGAGCCGGGCCAACAACGGGCCCAGTTGCGTCAGATTTGTACGGTGTCGTATATCTATTACGCGATAGAAAGCAACGTGCCTACCACGGGCCGGGTTAAATAGGATCGAAGTAGGCTCGTTTGCCTTCAATCGCACGGTATACATACGACACCGTACAAATCTGACGCACCTGGGTCCGTTGTTGGCCTGGGTCCGGCGCAGGCCCGGTCCCTTAATCATAACTTGAAAGATGCATACATTAAAAAGCGTTGCAGAAAATATGTCATTACCAGCTAGTCTATAAGTAATTTTGTTTTTTGAAGTAACGGGAAATTAATTTGAAATTTGAAAACTTTAAATGTTTTACTTTAGAATATTGTGACGATAGTTTAATTTATTTATAGTTTATTTATTTAAAACACACTATATTTACAATTTATTTATGACGTACTAATTAATGTATATAATACTTAGGCACTAACTCACAATTCTAATTTATATATTACAATTTATCTTTTCAATCCAATACTTTATTCTAAACTTAACTTTCGTCGAAAAACTCGCGATATTTATATCAAGCCAGGCCCTGTACCAGAATACTTTAAGCTTTCCGGAATTATCGAAAACTGCCTCTCTATGACTCATCGGCACGTGTCACTTGTTCTGGTAGTTTCTCGAAGCGTCAACGGCATACCTATGAGCATGAGTCAGGTGGCAGACTTCCAAGGTCACGCTCTACAGAGATGGCTTAGGCATTCCTATGACAATATTTTTTGATATGATAGTTGAAATATGTAATATTTGCTTACTTTACATATGTTCTATATTACATAGTTTCTTACTAGTTTTTTTTGCTATTTTTTTAGAGTCTATAGATGGATCAAAGAAGCTTTATGAATTTGGGTTGGATTCCTTGATGGTTTCAGAAATAAAACAAACTTTGTACAGACATTTTCTATTGGAATATGATAAACCTGCTATTAGAGAATTAAGTTTTGATTATTTAGTTAATTTAAATGCATAGGTAAACTTTTGTTTTTTTTTACAATGCACCCAAAAAATGTTCGGTCTTAATTGAAAAAAAAAATAATTGTTTACTAGATAATATCTACTTTTATCTTTTTATTCTAATATTTTCGAGCAACAGATTTACCTGTTAGATAATAAAGCTGAAAATTTTAAACTAATCAGTAAAAAGTGAATATACTTTCTAAAAAAAGTTAATTCTATCATAAAAAGAAATTTTTGATTTAAAAGTTTAAAAATTAACGCTAATTAAATAAAAGTTCGAAATTACTAGAATGTTCTATATCAACGACTAAGAAATTGTTTGGGCAAATGTTCAAGTTTGTCGGTGATAGGTGATAGGTAATTAGGTGTTATTAATTAAATCTGTATTTTTTTATTGTTAATCTTTTATTGTCTATTCCCTCTGTAAAATATACCTACTTTAAAAAATTAAAATTTAACGCTTTGGTTGCATAATTTTATTTATTAAAGCTAAAACCTTTAATTTCCTACTTCATATGAGAATAACCACGAAAACTGGCAGTTTTTAACACGTTAAGCGCCACGCCTAATATGCTAACTATTCCAAAAAGTTAATTTATTTTATTTTAAACAAAAAATGATAATTGGTTTTTTTCTACAAAAACAAGCGGTCATCTGCGACCGCTTTAGCATAGTGGAAACATTGTTGGCGGACACCACCACATAAATAAAATTTAATAAAACATAAGAAACAACCTGTTCAATTTAAATTTTCACTGTATTTTACCGATGTTATTATCAAAGTTATATGTCCGAGTAATGAAAAACGTCAAATACAGGTAGCAGTACATGTATTGGCGGGCATACGACCTAGAGAACTTCATTTCTCGTGTAAACAGTCGGTCACTGCTGACCGCCGAATAATCAGAGTTGGTCACCAGTGACCAGCGTGGCACTTGACGGTGTATCCTACCTCCAAATCCCCTTTACTCAAGCCAATGCAGGTAAAAAAAACTCGAACATTTTTAATTTTTTAGATGGTTGAAGTAAGACTTCAGATCTATTGCATTTAGGAAGCTACTTTGGTGGACACTTGGGGAAAAAATTAATTTCTAAAAAATTAAAAATTTTACAAAAAAATGTGGAACGCTTCACGATTTTGCGTGTCATCCTTGCGCAGGGGCCATGCTAATCTTCTCTGTATCGTTCCAATTTTAGTATATGTACCGCCGAAGCGAGTACACTGACTATTTCAGAAAACTTCTATTAGTATGAAGCTCGGTTAAGTATTCGTCCGCGACATGTAAGAAAAAATTAATTTTAAAAATCGTCAATTATTCAAATTATTGAAATTGTATTTATTTTCTGAAGATTAATTCAATATTTTTTTTATCATTTTTACTGAATAACTCGAAAATTTTACATATTTTAGAAGGTTGAAGTAAGATTTTAGCTTTATTGCTTAGTATATAATGGGAGAAAACTGAAAAATATATAGAAAATAAAATTAAAAATTTTACAAAAAAATGTGGAACGCTTCACGATTTTGCGTGTCATCCTTGCGCAGGGGCCATGCTAATCTTCTCTGTATCGTTCCAATTTTAGTATATGTACCGCCGAAGCGAGTACACTTACTGTTTCAGAAAACTTGTATTAGTATGAAGCTCGGTTAAGTATTCGTCCGCGACATGTAAGAAATAATAAATTTACAAATTGTTAAATATTCAGTTTATTTACTGAAATTGTATTTGTTATTTTCTGAAAACCAATTCAACAACATTTTTTTGTTATTTTTACTGAATAATTTTAAGTTTTAACAAATAATTTAAACGAAATGGGATCGTCCGCCATCTACCAACAGATTCACGAAGGTCCTCTAATCTACAGCTTGATGCTTGAAGGTAGAGTTTTAACGATTTCGATTAGAAGTTCAACTAGTTCAAGTTTTAACGATTTCGATTATTACTTCCGATTTTAAGAATCATTTTTGCTGTATTTTATATAACAATAGGCTTATGTACAGATTAGTTTATACGAAACGGATAACCAGTTTAATACAATTATTGTTTGAGGAAGATTTTAAATGAAATTATTAAGTCGTTCTTCGCGTCTTTTTAGCGAAATCAGAATCGATTTGAAAGTTATCGATGAATTAAACAAGCGACCTCGGTGTATTTTTCCAGAACTTTGCCAACAACCGAACGATCAACGATCTATATATAAAATTGAGTCGGAAAGTCATTGGTGGACCGTACTTTGTGGTTTGTGGTACGTGTAAAAAGTAGAGTTCGAAATTTAAAAAAGCATTCCTTTTCATTTAAAAAAGAGACTGCCGCAAAGTAGTGCTAGTGCATAAATATATTACTTCAATTAAATTCCTGTGATGTAAGTTTCTATTTAACATTTTCTTTCATAATTTGCTATTTTTGTGCTAAAATTATTACGTAACTTGATAATATCTAAGAACAGCATTATTTTAAAAGATCAAAGTAGCTGCGCTTAGGAATTATTTCTTATAGTTAAAAATATAAATTTTTTTGTATAGACCTTTCCTATATAGCTTATGTAACATTTGAGGTCATCCCTAAAAATATATACCTAGTTCTATTATCAATTATTTGATTTATTGATAGCTTGATATAGAATATTTCATACACGTATGTAATGTTACACAACCAGAGGATTTGCGTACTCCTATTTTCATCAGACATCAGATTCTGATAATAATGAACTCTTTATGACTGATCAAAGTCCAGGGAATTTCTTTTGAAAATGATTCATTACAACAGCCTTGCAAGGTTGCCAAATCATTAGTAAATTTATTTTGCAATATGGGGATTCCTAATATTATTTGGGAATACCTATAAGTACATCTATTAAAAATGTTATGTTCATGATGTGTTCACCTCATGAAAATATTAGAAGTAATTGCAGCATTGCAAACTGTTTTTATGTGTTGTAAACAATATTTTAGTTGCCAAGAATCTAAATATTCTCGTTACATAAAACAACTTTTATTTTTAAAACCAAAAACAAATCATATTTGTATAAAGTATTTAAACTAAGTGAATTTGTCAGGCACAATAGGTATAAAGTTATCATCACTTTTTAATGCTGATTTTTATACAGAAATTTCTGTTTATCAGTCATTTTTAACTATTTGGTCTTTATAGATCTTTAGAATTTGACATAATTAATCTAAAAAGATTTTATGCTGGGTAATAAAAGTTTCTTTTGGTCCATTTCTTTTAATAAACTTTCTTTCCTCAATTTTTTTCTTCAATATTTTCTCCCCTTATATCCAAGTGTATAGCGTATTAAGGCAGCTTTTTGTTGAAATAATATTCACGAAAAAAATTAATTAGTATTTTATTTAAACATTTATACAAAAATGAAAAATGACATTTCGTGAGATCGTGGCAACGCTGGACGTCACCTTCACGTGCTTCGTGCTTCCCATTTTTGACGTCATTGATCATAGGTCTTGTTACGTCTACACTTGGCCTACAAAATTTGGCTCGCTAGATTTGCTTCTTGAATCAAGGTCAACTGCTGACTATATTTTATCGCACCACGTGTTGCATTTGGTATTTTTTCAGACTCAAACTCAAAGCTCAAAAGTGCTAATTTATAATTGTTTATCCTTGTGAAATTCTAGGTTAAATTATTGAGGTACTTTTTAGTTTAAGTGTATTTAAGTGTTTAGAATAATCGGTGTTTGTTTTCAGAAATATAAAAATGGGTATCCCAGCTGGTGATGTAGAAAAAGGAAAAAAACTATTCAAACAACGATGTGAACAATGCCATACAACCGAAGCTGGTGGCAAACATAAGGTAGGACCAAATCTAAATGGTCTTTTTGGAAGGAAAACTGGTCAAGCTGCTGGTTTTGCATACACAGACGCCAACAAATCTAAAGGTAAGTTCAAAATTGTATTTCTACAGTAGGTATGGTACCAAAATAAAATACGTTAGTATTTTTTGGGGTTTTCCATTACCCAACTTTTAGACATAGGTTTAATGTTTGAATAGTAGGCGTAGGTGGTTTAAACCGGCATAACCTAAATTTTCGAAATGTCAAAATTATGATTTTGTGGGGACAAATGTTTGAATATTTGGAGGGAAATATCGCGACTCTATTTGATTTTTTTATAATAAAACTTGCTATTATTCCTCTCTAAATACCATTTTCAAGCATATTTTTTTCTTATTTTTGTACTTGCCAAAGTATTGGCAAGTGATGGGTACAGTCTTGGTGCAATTGACAAATTGTGGGATAAAATAATAAAAATCATGATCCAACTAAATTTTAGGAATGCAATATTGTTGTTAGTCTTCAAAAATGCAGGATTTTCATTGTTCTGTATGTACCCTTATAGGTTAAGGGGTAAGGTAAGGGGCCTAATGATATTTCTACAGCAGGCTTAAGGGGTAAACAGCTCAAATATTTTTACATGGACAGGAGGATTAATTGATAAAGAGACTAAATATTTTAATATGGGCAGGCTTAAGGGATAAAAGAGCCAAATATTTTATATGGGAAACTGTAAAGTGTAAAAGGCCAAATATTTTTACATTGGCAGGCTTAAGAAGGGGTTCAAATATTTCTAAAACATGTGTAGGTAGGTAGGCAGGCTTAAGGGGTAGAGGACCCAAACATTTTTACTTTCCTATCTGTATACAGATATAAGGAAATTATAGGAATCATGATTTTTTTCGACCTCGAGTTTTCAACGGATTTTTACGTTTTGAGGTCCCCTGAATCCGTTTTGACTATTTTCGCGATGATGTCTGTGTGTGTGTGTGTGTGTGTGTGTCTGTGTGTGTGTGTCAGTAGGTCGCATAACTCATGAACCGATACACAGAAAAACACCAAATTTTAAACTTAAGCTTTATTCCAGCGTCTAAGGAACTGATTAGATTTTGGGCAGAGTCGGAACATCTGGGGGGGTACTTTATAGGTGGTCATTTTTATATTTTATGGAATATATCTGTTATTTACGTTTTGAGAAGAAAATTCTTCAAATAAAAGTTACTTCCAATATAATTATCTATAATTTTTGTTCCATACAAAATTTTCCTAAAATGGTCCGTATTCGAGAAATTTGACAAAATGTAAAAAAAATATTTTTTTATAAAAATTGTTCAAATAAAAGTTGTTTGTAATATAATTCTCTATAATTTTTATTCTATACATAATTTCTCTAAAATGGACCGTATTTGAGATATTTGAGATATTTGAGAAAATGTGTAAATTTCGAATTTTGAAGAAAACTCAAAAACGGATAAGAAAAAAACATTAAATTTTAAACTTAAGGTTTATTTCGGTCTGACGTGAAATGATTAGATTTTGGACAAAGTCGGAACATCTAGGGGGGTACTTTATGGGAGGCCGTTTTTATGTTTTATGGAATATATCTGTTATTTATGTTTGGAGAAGAAAATTGTTCAAATAAAAGTTACTTCTAATATTATTATCTATAATTTTTGTTTTATACAAAATTTTCCTAAAATGGTCCGTATTCGAGAAATTTAACAAAATGTAAAAAAAATATTTTTTTATAAAAATTGTTCAAATAAAAGTTGTTTGTAATATAATTCTCTATAATTATTATTCTATACATAATTTCTCTAAAATGGACCGTATTCGAGATATTTCAGAAAATGTGTAAATTTCGAATTTTGAAGAAAACTCAAAAACGGATAAGAAAAAAAAATTAAATTTTAAACTTAAGGTTTATTTCGGCCTGACGTGAAATGATTAGATTTTGGACAAAGTCGGAACATCTAGGGGGGTACTTTATGGGAGGCCGTTTTTATGTTTTATGGAATATATCTGTTATTTATGTTTGGAGAAGAAAATTGTTCAAATAAAAGTTACTTCTAATATTATTATCTATAATTTTTGTTTTATACAAAATTTTCCTAAAATGGTCCGTATTCGAGAAATTTAACAAAATGTAAAAAAAATATTTTTTTTATAAAAATTGTTCAAATAAAAGTTGTTTGTAATATAATTCTCTATAATTATTATTCTATACATAATTTCTCTAAAATGGACCGTATTCGAGATATTTGAGAAAATGTGTAAATTTCGAATTTTGAAGAAAACTCAAAAACGGATAAGAAAAAAACATTAAATTTTAAACTTAAGGTTTATTTCGGCCTGACGTGAAATGATTAGATTTTGGACAAAGTCGGAACATCTAGGGGGGGTACTTTATGGGAGGCCGTTTTTATGTTTTATGGAATATATCTGTTATTTATGTTTGGAGAAGAAAATTGTTCAAATAAAAGTTACTTCTAATATTATTATCTATAATTTTTGTTTTATGTCAAAATTTCCTGAAATGGTCCGTATCCGAGAAATTTGACAAAATGTGCAAAATTCTGATTTTTATGAAAATTGTTGAACTAAAAGTTGTTTGCGATATCGATCTCTATAATTTTAGTTTATACATGATTTTTCTAAAATGGACCGTAATGGAAAAGTGCTAAATTTAAATTTTTCAGTATTTTCGTTTTCAATGAATATCTATAGAAAAATGTTTTGAGGTAGATGTATGTGGACAATGTATATATTTAGTTTATCCTCTAAACATTTATAGAGATGCTGCAATAGGTTGTACAAAATAACCGGAAAAAGCCTATATAATAACTAGATAGGAAAGTCATGTGTTGGACACATCAGATTTTTATATATGCAAAGCATAATAAGTGGTAAAGGGTTCAAATATTTTTACAAGGAAAGTCTTAAGATATAGATGGGCCAAATATTATTACATGGGCAGGTGTAAGGGGCAAAGAATGCAATATTTTTACACCGTCAGGCTTAAGGGGTAGCGAGGACAGAAGAGGGGACAAATATGTTTACATGGGCCTGGCTTAAGGGATAATGGTACCAAATATTTTTATGTGTGCAGACTGAATAGGTAAAGAGGCCAAATATTTGTACATGAGCACAGGTAGAGGGACAAAATGTCATGTTTAAAGCAAAAATGATGGTCATTAAAAGTTAATTTTAAGTTTTGAAACCAAAATACACTTGGATCAGGAATATAAAGGATAATTAGTGGGTACTATTAGTAGCCATTTTGTGCAACATTTATTGGAATATGTTATGTTCTTCTTCACCCACGTCATACACTGTCCTTGGCCCTTTTTGTCCCTGAAGTTCATCATTTTTGTTGTGTACATTATTTTTTACATATCAAATAAATTCGAGACCTATGATCTTTATTACTCTGTAAACCAGTTGAGCATATACTATAGACTTTCAGTTATTTTATCATGTATTTTACTCATTTTTAGAAAAAAGTGACTCATTGTTTCAAATATTTTTACATGGGTTAGGCTTAAGGAGTAAAGAGACCAAATATATTTTTAGGTGGACAAACTTAAGGGGTAAAGGACCCATATATTTCTACATGGGCAAGCTTAAGTGTCAAATGGTCCAAATATTTTTGCATGAATTGTTTGAATTTCAATTTTCAACCCCGAATCAAACAGTGATATGAAGTGGGTCTCAAAAACCAGACCTAGCTATGTGAAGAACTTTCTACGTGGTTTAGCCTATAGTTTTACCTTAAAATATGGGGGTATTCAGATAAATTATAAAAACATGAATCTACTAAATAGTTTTCAAGTTTTCTTTTAAAAGGTTCATATTTCTTTTCAGATTTAATGAAATCAGGGAGTTGATTAAAAAATTTAATTCCAACAAATTCAGGCGATTTCTCAAATAATGCTGTTGAATGTCTTGGTGTTCTGAATAAATTTGCATTCCTAGTTGAGTATTCATGGTAATTTGAATTTTGTAAAAATTTGTGTATGTTGCATTTAGCATATAGCAACGTTTTATAAATGTAAATACAGGGAAATGTTAATATTTTAAATTTTTTGAAGTTATATTCACAAGTTTGCATTCAGGCGATTTCTCAAATAATGCTGTTGAATGTCTTGGTGTTCTGAATAAATTTGCATTCCTAGTTGAGTATTCATGGTAATTTGAATTTTGTAAAAATTTGTGTATGTTGCATTTAGCATATAGCAACGTTTTATAAATGTAAATACAGGGAAATGTTAATATTTTAAATTTTTTGAAGTTATATTCACAAGTTTGCATTAATTCTAGATTAAAAATAAGCCGCATTATTCTTTTATTACATGTTAACTTTTGTTAATTAAATCGCACAAATTTACGGCGACTGCCGGCGTTGTAAAAGTTTGTGGTGTTGTTGGTTTGACTGACGAAGCGAAAGTGAGTGTTTCGTTTCTCAATGCATGCTTGCCAGGTCGCATCGGCTTTCTTTTAATTGGTTATCTAGTATCTTAAGATTGCGCGCGAGAGTCATGATTGGGTGAAAAAATCTCGTGTGACTTTGTTTTGATTGTTTGCGACGTCGCAGGTGTCTTAAGTGCGGAGGTTTATACAGGGAGTGACTATCTAGTATTTTTTTTTTTTTTTTGTATTTGAATGCTGATTTAGATTAGCGGATAGGACATGTTGAATGTAATTTCAACATATTGCATAATATGCGCTATTTAATTTTTTACAAACATTAGATATTTGGCTATCCCAACCCATATTGCTATAATGTGTATGCCCAAAAATTTTGTAACATCTGAGAGCATAATTTCTGCATTATTGACAGTTATTTTACAATTCTGGGTAATTTGATTTCTGGAGTAGAACTGAAGTCAAACGGTTTTGTTTGAATTAACAACTAAAGAATTTCTATAACACCATAATGTAAACTCATTAGATAAAACATTTAATTTACTAATTAGTTCCTCTATTGTTTGTGCGGTGGTGGCAATTGTTGTGTCATCTGCATATAAAATTATGTTTTCTGAATTAATATGATTAGGCAAATCATTTATGTAGCATAGAAAAATTAGAGGTCTTAAAATTGATCCCTGAGGCACACCCATATCAACACTTTCTAGTTCATATTTACAATTTCCGACTTTGACATAGATCTGTCTGTTATTTATATAAGATAACAACCAAGACAAAAAGTTACCTCTAAAACCAAGTCCTTCCAATTTTTGAATAGCGACATCTAAGTTGATTGAATCAAATGAATTTGATAAATCAAAGAAAAGCGCACCCACAAACAACTTTTGATCGATGAAATTAAAAAGATCTATTGCTGCACTTTCAGTAGATTTTCTGGAAGGAATCCATTTTGATTTTTGCATATTATTTGATATTTTTTAAGAAATATTAGCATTTTTTTGTGACCACACTTTTTAAAAATTTTGCTTAAGATTGTAGGCACTGTAATAGGTCTATAATTATCAATTAAATTATTATCAACTTTTTTAAAGATAGGAGTTACATATCCTACTTTCAGATAATCTGGGAAAATACCTGGCTGAATAGACTGATTGATTAAGTCTGCTAGAATTTGAGAGATGTGATGACTAATACGTTTTATTATCTTTGTGGAAATGCAGTCAATGCCCATAGAGTTAACATTTTTTAATGAGTGAATAACTTCAATTACATCACGATGATCATCAGGAAAGAAGTAAAAGGTCTGAGAGACACATGACGCAGTAAAAATTTTAAAATTTAAATCATTGAAATGAGACTGTAGTGCTTTTTTTTTATGGAGGTGGCAAAATGCTCTGTCAATAATTGACAGTCTTCTTACTTCAATTTGTTTAATTTGAGAACCTTCTGATGTTTTACCATCTTGGTGATTCACCTGTTTCCATATATATTTTTGTTTATGCTGAAAAGTTTTGAAAATGAGATCTTTTTGCTCCATTTATATTATTGACATGTTTCTTTGTTTTTTTGTATCTAATATGTATATTCACATCATTAGAATTTTTTACTAACCAAAATAAATTCCTTATATCAGCTCCCATCCTCATAATATCTGGAGTTATCCAGTTATTTTTTTTTATTTGTCTTTACAGCTCTTGTGACAACCGGACAATTTACTTCTATATAGTAATTTTGAATATTTAAGAATGTTTCATAGGCAAGATTTATGTTTCAAAATATTCATACCCAGAATCAAAATTTTCAGAACTTATTTTTTGCTGCAGATTAAGTAAATTCGCCTCTGATAAGTCTCTAAAATGTATTTTTTCATTGATATCAGATAAACACATTTCTTTTTGGAAATGTTAAATATTTCTTGAATTAAACCTTGGTATATTAAAATTAAGTTGTGATAAAAATTTTGGGGAGTCAATAAAGCCATACACCAACTTATAACAAAATATGCAGGAATATTGCTTATTCCTTGGCAGGTCATGATCACTTCTAAAAACGTAACAGTTGTTTACAAACATCTCTGAATTTGATAGATCTAATTGAAGCCAAATTTCGGTATTCAAATAAGGATGTCGTTTGACTGAATTTGGAAGTTTTAGTATTTAAGCATCTAGTGTTTTGTTAGTAACAGTATAGGTAATGGTTTTTTGCTATTATAGGGTTTACATTGCCGTAAACAATTTTCAAATGTTCTCCATTTTTAATGTGATCATTCAAATTCGTTTTTAGGTTTTAAAATATTTAATTTGACGTGGGGTTTTATCAGAGGTCACTACACTGTTCTGTTTGATGGTTTTACTGCTTTTAATTTGAGATAGTGCTGCATCTTTATTCCTTCAGACCACTTTGATAGGTCTAAATGGGGATGCATTATCACGTTTTATTCCCAGGCGGGATATTTTTTCAACAGTGTTTGCGAAATCATTATGAATGTTGAGAATTGATTGAATTTGGATCTAGTAATAGTTTGGCTGAGTAGAGGGCTGATTATCATTTTCAGTTAGGGCCAAAAATGACAATATTGTTTTTCCTGGACTAATCAGTCAGTTCGCTCATGATATGTTAGAACTTTTTCCTCACTGTTTTGATTGTTTATTATCTGGGACTCCATTTTTTGAAATCATCTTTTAGGACACCTAGTTCCGTTTTAACCTTCTTAACTTTCTTCAAATTTTTTTAATACAGTTTCCTGTTGAATGAGAGCCAATTGACATTATAATTTGAATCTAAGTGGTTTTTTATTTTCTCAAAAAGTCCCATCTTTCAAAGTATGGTGAAGAACCCCAAAATATTAACCCATATTGTAGAGTTGAATGAACCAAACCAAAGTATCAAAAGATAGTGTCTCCCTTAAGTTTTTGATGATATAACAACAAGTACATAATTTTGAAGTTACCATTTTTATATGAGCTTCCCAATTTAATTTGGGATCTAATATTATTCCTAAAAATTTTATGTCATCAACGCTTTGAATAGTTTTTCCGTCAACGTGCAAGTAGGGTTCGTAATCTGGTAATATGTTTTTGGGTAGAAATTGCATGAAGTTTGTTTTTGTTACATTTAATGCCAGACCGTTATCTTTACAATACTGGTTAAACTCATTGCTACTTTGAGTGACCTGTTCAATTTGATCATCTGCCATTACAATATTGGTATCATCAGCATATTGAACTATTTGTTCAGAGATTAAACAAAAATTAGTTATATCACTTATAAAAACTATAAAAAGAAGTGGGCCCAAAATTGAACCTTAGGGAACTCCTATTGTACATGGAAGAGGATCAGATTTTAGACTATTTGTTACAATTACTTGAGTTTGATTTATTAAGTAAGACTGTATCCATGCATAAGATTTCCCTCATATTCCTAACCCATTCATCTTCAATAATAAAAGATTATGATCTACCATATCAAATGCATGGCTAAGGTCATAGAAGAGTCCCAAAATATGTTTTTTATCATTGAGTGCTTGAAATATAAACTCTAGGTAAGCTGCAATTGCAGTAGATGTCGACTTATTTTTTAAAAATCCATTTTGAGTATCTGGCAACATATTAAAACTTTCAAGGTAATTAGTGATTCTAATAAAGTATGCTGACTCAAATATTTTAGTTATTTGACTAGATATACAGATTAAACGATAATTTTCAATATTAGATGAATATCCCTTATTTTTATAAACAGGAATTCCTTTAGATTCCTTCATATTTGGGAATAATTCCGAAACAAAGGATTCATTAATCAAATGTGATATGGGTTCAGCAATACAATGAGCAACCGATAACAGAATTTTACCATTTATTTCGTCAATACCTTCAGTGGGTTTAGAAGTAGTTTTTTTGATTATAGTGATGATTTCACTAGAAGTTGTTGGAAAAAGAAAAAAACTTTTATGATGTTTATCAATACTCATAGTATAGTTAGGTACAATATTATTTTTATTTACATTAATAAAATAGTCATTGATATAATTTACTTTTTCTAAGGGTGTTAATTTGTCATCATTTGTAAGTTTAATAGGATTCAATAAATTGTTTTTTCTTTTTCCCCTACTCTCGTTTATTATATTCCAGAGCAAGTTGGTATTCTAATTTTGAAACCAAGTAGTTCCTTATTTTCTTAAAAAGTCCATCTTCAATTTTAAAGATGAACTATTTACAGCACTGTTGTTTACCATCCAAATTAGAGGGGTTGCATTTATAGTAAAGAAATTGTTTGCCTCTGGAGCTCTTTAATTCATCAGTTGGCACAATCCTCTTGCAATCAGTCTGCAGTTGCCCGTAGATGTTCCGAGTCCTTTATTTAATTTAATTTTGCTAAAATTAATCATCAAACATATTTAAAGTTCTTAATTTTTTATTTCAGGAATCACATGGAATGAAGACACACTATTCATTTACCTCGAAAACCCGAAGAAGTACATCCCCGGTACCAAAATGGTGTTCGCTGGTCTCAAAAAAGAAGGAGACAGAGCAGATCTCATCTCTTACCTCAAAGTTGCGACAAAGTGAACCCAATAAGAATCGCCACATTCAGAAAGATTGTTTTTGTATGAGTTAAATGATGACACTATTTATTTTATTTATTTATACCAAGTTAGAAAAAGAAATTGCTGTTTAAAAAACGAAATTTTCTCTATTAGTTTAAAACGGTTCATTTATTTTAGATGTAAGTTTGAAAATAATTGCCCAAGGGGTGATATATAAATATTTTTTTTTTTCAAATCTGTTAATCATTTAATTGATTCAAAAACGAGAATCGTGTGTATTAGTAGTATTTTCATCTGGTACATATATGTTATTGTATCATGGCAGATGAAGTGCGTGTACAAATTAGGCAATTTTTTTAAATTATTTTATTTAAGATCATACCTATTGTTAAGTATACTAAAACCAAATCCATTGTACAGTATGAAATAGACACCATTTTATTTTTATTTTGTTTTCGTTCTGTTTAATGGTCCAGTGTTCAGTAAATAATTAAGAAAAATATTTTTTTAATTTCCTTAACAAACCAAAAATAGTTATACATTAAAAAAATACAATATTGAATAGATAAATTTATTTCATGTAGACATTTTTCACTGTATTTTTTGTCAAAGATAAAGCAAGAAAATTGGTCATACTATAGTAGTATTAAAAGCTGGGTAAACACTTGCAAATTTCTTCTTTACCAATCACTAAAGTATCAATTACCAATTAAATTCATTCATTTTTAAAAGTGCTTCATTTACCAAGCGCTGTATTTGAAAAAACGCCAAATATTTATGGAAAAGGAAAAAAATCTATTTTGCAACTAATTAAGAAAAACAAAAGCCTACTATACTCTGTTTTTAAACTAAGAGGAGCGATTTGAATTTAAGTTGGCAATTCTGTAGCCTTCTGACTGGTCAGATTGCAGCCAGTTTCACACATTACTTTTTAGCATGAACATCAGTTAATAATTGATATTGTTGACAGTTCTAACATTTTATAATTTGATATCTCATCCATTTCGTTTTTTACTTTATTTCGTAAATAATAGTTCTTCGGTTACCAATGATATTGAAAATCTACAATTATGTATCCTACTATGAGTACTATTAAGGGTAGCAATTCCTGAAAAGCCCTATAAGAAAGGGAAGACACATTATTTTACATGCCGATTCTGAAGAAGGTTTTGTAGAAAATGCATTATTGGTTTTTGAAGGTAAAAAGATGGAAGATTACCATGAAGAGATGAATTCCGAAGTATTTTAGAAAAAAATTATTTTATTACTGATTTTTTGAAACTAAAAATTGATGAATTTCTAACCAAAATGATTAAAATGTAACTAAATATTCAAGCAAATTTTATTTATTAGAATAGAATAAAATCATTTACAAAATTGTTATAACATTTAAAACACCATCTACTACTTTTGGGATAATCTTAATTTAGCACAATGAGTTAACATTACTTCCACAAAAAATATTTTAAAAATACTTAAAATTAATACATAGGTATGTATGAATAGTTCACTTTAAATTAAAAAATATATGTTGACATGTAGTGTTATGAAAATGTTGGTTCCAGTTTTCAAAACAAATTCTGACTCATAGGCCTGTAAACTTTTGAATGCCTTTATTTGCCCTTTAGCGTATTAACCATGGGTTAACACTAAATAAGCCATAATATCCACATTACTCATAGAAGAGATACCAGTTAATGTGTGATCCACTTGTCATTAACTAATTAACTTTTACTTTTTATACCTATAACAAATATATAATTAAGAATGTAAACAGACCAGATTTTTATACTTTATACTAACCTGGCTACATCTGGATATTCTATTAACAATTTTCTTAAATATTTAATATACATTTTAAAAAAGATCATAGTTATTCCTGTGGTTATTCTCAAAAAGCCGATTTCAAAAGCAAGAAAAAAGTATTTCTGACATCAATCAACAACCATATTGAATTTTATTTGACAGTAACATTTCGTTTTAGAAACATGTTTCAGATCAAAATAGTGTGAAATTTGCGACCGTTGTCTGGGACCAATAAAAAAATTACTTCTATGACATTTATTCGTTTCTTAACCGCTCATTGGCCGTTCACCGACTAAGGCCTATAAAGATAACTATTTCATAAATTTTGAACACTATATTTCGAAACTCGCTCTTAGTTACAAATCTAGTTACTTTTCCCTTTGTAAATGCGTCTTTTCAATTCGCTCATCCTAGTTAAAAAACAGAGTATAGAATATATATTTCACCTTAAAGCCCATGTTAAAGCCCTTTAAGTACTTTGAAAAGTATCTGAAGCTTTTTAAAGGTGCGATTTTGGTGACGCGGCGGCTAGCAGCTGCGTCTCCAGCCGCTGCACTGAAGCAGTCGAGCGGCTGAAATCGTAGTGACTAGGGCAAAAAATAGCGCCATTTACGTCAAATGAGGATGAAATTTTAATCAACGAAATACAAAAATGTCCCGTCATTTATGATTATGAAGACAAAAATTACAAAAACTTTGTTATTTAAGAAAATTGTTGGAAAAAGGTCGCTAAAGAATTAAAAAATGAAGGCTAGTATCAAATTGTAAACAAATTTATGCTATTTTAATGGTTAAATCAAAATCTGCGAAATGACTTGTACATTTTAATAGCGTAGTTATATTTGTTAGCTAATTTTTCTACCTCATCTACCGGAATAACTATTCTTCCTCTCATATAAACTAAAATCCGGTAAAAAATGGCTGTCGTCTGCCAGAAAACTGGAGGGAACGCTCCGAATTGTCTGCAAACTATCAGCATCTTTTATATGCGATTAGGAATTTCACTAGAGCTTGTTTACTAGCGATTATTTCACAAAAGCTATTTAACAGCGAATATTTTTTCGGTTCCCACGTCATACCTATATATTTTTAGTTTCTAATTATTTGATCAGGATTAGTGATGGGTAGCTGGGAAATTTCCATTGGGAACGGGAAAATTCCCGGGAATTTCCCCAAACCCTAATTCCAGGGAAAAAAACGGGAATTTTTCTATTCAGTGAAATTCAAGAAAGCTTAGCGAAAAACTTACCGTGTTACAGAAAAATGAGGAAAAAAATTTTATGGATAAATATTTGGAAAAAAAAGCTTATGCCCTTATGTTATGTTGATAATGGGGTGTTAATACACTGCGACCTAAAAGATCTATTGTGCCCCCTTCTATCGCCACTGCACTAAGGAAATGTCTCAATGCCTATAGCGACCCTTCCAATCCTATTTTCTCAAGGAAGTGTAGGATTTGAAGTGGCTTCAAGTTAGGTAAGTCTCCCTCTTCTATTTGATATCCTCCTAGATATAGTGCCCTTGGATTCTGGAGTGCTACACATTCAGTTAGGATGTGAATGGAGGTTTCGTCCTCCTCCTCACAGAATCTGCACTCACTATACTACTCTCAGTTTACTTAGGTGTCCTTTTAGTCGGCAGTGCCCGGTAAGGATCCCTGTTACAATACGTAGCCTGTTCTTGCTCAGGCAGATGCAGGCTTCCGATCTTTTTTGGTTATATTCACCCAGAAGTATCTTGGCCTGTCTCAGCCCCAAGAGATTGTTCCAATTATCGGTTCTTCTACTACCCAATTCTTTTTTAACCTCTTCTAATATTATGTTACTGCTGATACCGCAGAACGGCTCAGGTCCTACAAAGGGTGTTTGAGCCCCTTTCCTTGCAAGACTATCTGCAATCTCGTTACCCTGTACCCCGTTATGTCCCGGGACCCAAGTGAGAGTAACTCTATTTTTCTCGCCTAGCTCATTCAATTGTTCTAGGCATCTCCATACCATTTTTGAGCTGATTACGTAAGAACTCAGCGCTTTGATGGCTGCTTGACTATCGGACATGATGATAATCTCTTGTCTATGATAGTTTCTCTCAATGTTAAACTGGATACACTTCTCGATGGCGTGAATTTCCGCCTGGAAGATGCTTGGGTATTTTCCCAAGCTTTCGGAGTGCTTGGTTCTCGGCCCATACACTCCTATTCCAGTTCCTTCTATGGTTTTGGAACCGTCCGTGTACCACTGAATAGCACGTCTTTCGGTTTCAAGCGCGATGGATTCTTGGCTCCATTCTTTCTTGCAGCCCAGCTCTGTGGTTTTGAAGTTTTTCACAAAACTGTACTTCTTTTGCATTTCATCCTGGGGCATGTCCCAGGTATCTTTAGTCCTGAAGCAAGTAGACTTTCGTCTGATTACTCCGTTCCTGATCATTCTATATCGTGTCCTTTTTGCCACATTCTCTATCATCAAATGTAGAGGGGTGAGGTTTAAGATCACCTCCATTGCGGCCGTAGGACAGGTTCTCATTGCACCAGTAATGCAAACACAGGCTAGTCTTTGTACTTTTGAGATATTAGCTCTCGTAGTAACTAAACTAGTTCTGTTACTCCAGGCTATAGCCCCGTAAGTGATGATTGGTCTCACTATTGCAGTATACATCCATCGCAGTATGTTTGGGTTACATCCCCATCGTTTACCCGCCATGTTTCTGCATACCATTAGGGCTTTTGTAGCCTTATTTACCACTTCCTTCTCATGTGTGTTCCAGAGAAGTTTGTTGTCCAGGGTTAGGCCTAGATATTTGACTTCATTTTTCCATTCTATATCTATCCCGTCTAATTTAACGGTTTTGAGATTAAGTTATCTTTTCCTTGAAAAGGCTACTGCCCTTACATCTATCCATAAAGGATCTTGTCTATTAGATCCAAAGGCGCAAGGTTGATATTTAATTGCTGAAAAACAACTCGATGTCATTAAATACTTAGTTAGCTTCGCAAGAAGTTCACATTTCTCTGATGATGCCATTTCTCCAATAAGCTTGTTGAAATTTCCAATTATAGAGCGCACGAAGGTATGTGGGCGAAAGATTTTATTTGGACTGCTTCACAGAATGTAACACCTGTCGTTTGGTGGAAGGGAATTATTGGACAGAACAATCAGCTATCAAAAGTTGCAGTAAAAACTCTTTCTGTTCCTGCTACTTCAGCTTCGACTGAGCGAACTTTTTCCACATTTTCTGCAGTTCAAATAAAGAAATGGAACAAGCTAACAACTCTGCGTGCAATAAAATTAACGTACATCGCCCATTACTGGCGAACGCGTAACGAAGACAGCTGTACAGGATGTACCACGTTTTGTCAAGTGTCCGTCTATTACTAGTTTTACTCAAGTAACTGAAAGTGTTCAGCATTCCAACATGATAGTGCCGGAAGCAGAGATACCTAGACCTTCAGGCCTTTCAAAATCACCAGAGACGGAGACAGAAACTTCTTCGGAGGACGAAGAAATTCTTTATCAGGACTCTGATGAGGAAGACGTGACCGATGAGGTTAATAGCTCAGAAACTGAAGTTTAGTTTTGTTTTTACATACTTCGAAGGGGTAAGTGGATGAAGGGGTTATGTTATAAAAAATATTTTTTGAGCAATTAACTTTTTAATTAGATTCAGTGGCATTTTTAGTGAAAAATGTCTTTAACATGCGTTTTTTTGAGTTAGTAAGTGTGTTTATCAACTAATTAGATGTACAAGACCAGACCAAGACAAGACACATATGAACTTAATTAATTCTTAATCAACATAAAAATAGGATTAAAAATGTTACATAATCCCTTCATCTACTTATCCCTTCCTTTCATAATACTCAACAGTTTTATATTCTACTAGGCAGATATTTTATTTGTGTTTTTTTTAGTTAAAGGATATCTTTTTTAATTTTTTTTTTAACAGAAAAGGATATTTAGATTTAATTTTTTATTTGTGTTGTTATGGTAAGAAGATATATATATTTTTTAATTTGTTGTCAAAGAAAATGTGTTGTTTAAAAAAAAAATGGATATTTTAATTTAATTTTTATCTTGATTGCGTCTTGCGTAATGAATAGATGGAATAGAAAATAAGCTGACATTCACAAAAATGTATCGGGAATTCTTGGGGAAATTCCCGGGAAAATTTCCCGAACACTTGGTTCCCGGAAATTTACCCATCACTAATCAGGATTCAATCGGAAAAATTCCATAAAACTTTTTTTCATCTTCTTTTAGATGATTATTTATTAATAAATAAATATACCCTTCCTCGCGTCGCCTTTTAAACATTTCATCTACTTTACACCTTTTTCTAGATAACATTTGGTAAAATTCTTCTTCATCTTCCTTTCTAATAAAATTAATGTTATCAAATCGTCGTAATCCATATTTTTTAATAAACCCCGCAAAAATTTAAAATGACAAAAATGCTACAATCCGCAGTCAACGGCTGCCTAGAACTGCGTCACCGAAAACATTTTTTCATCGCGGCTACAGCTGCCGCGGCCAGCGTCTCTAGTCGCGCAGCACCACCGAAATCGCACCTTAAGGGCTTCAAGTACGTATTGAAAAGTATTTGAAGCTGTTATGTTAAGAGTGAGCTAAGATATCATCACGTTTCATTTCGGAACTTCCCTCGTCCTACCACTTAATGATTTAATTTGTGGGCATCTATATCATCGGGTCGATGGTGTAGCGGTCTAACGCGCTTATATTCATTTATAAGCAAGTTTATATGTCAGAGACTGCTGGGCTTCGAATCCCAGATCAGACCATGTGGATTTTTAATTAAATTGCATGGTTCGGTATAGGATTTGATGTGTGCCGTATTAATAGAAATTCAATTTCTGTTGATATGACATGCAGATTATAAAAAATCGCCATACATTGCCGTCTCGATGATGGTGGGTGAGGTTTTCCTCACCTGTAAGTCAAATGGCACCATCAATCATCTTTAAGTCGCCCCGGAGCGCCACGGCAAATAATAATAATAGCCGTCCCTTTCCCCGCACATGTTCAGCTTTTGGGGTTAAAATTCACTCGTAAGGGGGTGAATTAGTGAATGAGTATTATTATTATAGCCTAATTCACTTATTTTTTGGTGACCTATCTAAGGAAGAATTTATGACCTACCTTTTTAACTGATTAATTTTTATTCCTGATGATTTTATTATACGTTTTAAACCACGCATACCTTTTTTATAGAGAGAAATTGTTTTCATAATAAAACTGATAATAAAAAAGTTTTCTACTTAAGTAAACACATTGTTTATTTAAGAATAAAATGAGGGCTAAACCGCAGGTCAAAATTTATACACCTAATTTTGATTTACTTACCAATTTCTGAAATTCCTTTACAATTTTACAAATCTTGCTAAAATTTTGTATTATAATTTAGATAAATTAATTGATAAAAAAATTTCTATAAATAAATTTAATAGGAATCAATACAATAATCTGTGCTTTGTGCGGATCACTCCGTAAGTATTCCAAATATCTTGCGATTTTAGTAAAAATTAATTTTTGATATAAAACAGCAGTGGAGGAAACGTCTATCTGTTCACCTAAGTAAAATTCTGTTTGGTCTACGAATTCCACAGATAAAGCCTAACTCAAAAGTTATGTTCCAGCTGGATTCATTTTGATTTAAAGCTGGGATATTGCTAAATATTATGAAACACGGACGAAAATTGTGTTTTTTTAATTCCTACGTGTCGCCCTAAAAACTAAACTTTTCATTATGTTATAACATAAATTTTAGTCTCGTCTTGAACTGACATATTCATAGTGAATTAATAATTCTTATAAGTATTGAATTTAAAACCTTCGGTGCTAAAAACAAATGGCATTTTTGCTCACTAAAGAAATAGTAACAAAACAAATCGTATTTTTGTGCGATAGATGAAAAATCTCAATTACTTAATTGTATGATAACTGATTTACTTATTTATCTGCTGATTGCGCAGCTAATTATAGAACACTCATTTAAAAAATAAATATTGTATTAAACTAAAAATCATAAAAGGTATAAAAACGATTAACTGAAACAAAAAATTATAATATTTAATAAAAAGCATGCATTATACCCTATCTAAACTTGTTGGCAACCTAATCTTACATTTATATTACAAGAGGCTAATTGTGTAACAAAAAATTTAAATATATAAGGAATTTGTATCTTAGAAATATGTTCCTCGGTATCGCATAACCTGCAAGTTTCCTTTGTCTCTGCGTGCTGAGGTTTATCGGAAAACCTCGTAACGGCCGTTACAGGTCCTAGAAGAGTCCCGCAAGAGGTGCAAACGAAAGCCTAAAAAAAATCATTTTATAATATTAAAAACAAAAAAGATCTTCAATTAAGATGGTTAAAATTTGATTAAAAACAGTAGGTAGAAGGTTTAAAGTTTATAAGAAATAATTTAGACGGAAGCAATGAAAAGATAAAGTAATCAAGACCAAAAGCTGCAAAAAAAGTTAGGTATAGAATATAGCACTTCGACAGTGGGTAATCAATAGATAAAGATGTTTATTAAAATACTTATAAGGAACAGAAAATTAATGGTTTTCAAAACTTACCGTAGTCTCGTCTGAACAATGAAACAATCTATCTTGTAATAAAAACGATGCCCCATGGCTAATAAGGGCATCGCGTTCCATCTCACCGAAACGAACACCTCCACCTCTCTTTCTTCCCTTTAAAGGTTGTCTCGTTAAAATATTTATCGGTCCCGTTGATCTAACCTAAAAATAATAAGGCGTTATTTTAAGAACCTTTATTTTATCATACAGAATTTCAGTAAAACATGACAAAAACGCCATTTGTTTTTAGCACCCAAATATTCTTACTGTAGTATAAGCTTACTTCACAGGTGTCTGGAAGGCAGAGAAAGTTTTCGCACGAACACGATCTGCCATATTGACGGGAAATCGTTAACAAAGTCCCCAGGAAATAGAAAAAACTTACCTCCAAATCATACCTGTTCCTAAACGTGATTTTTTCGTGAATCTGTAAATATAAATTTCATGATTGAATAAACACAGTGAAAATTTTTCTTCATGGCTCAAATTCGGATATTTTGAACAAGACACAACATTTTTTGGCTCAAAAATGGTGAAAATTGTGACCAGAAAAATTCTCTTTCCGAATAACACATTGAAAAATATTAATTTTGCCATTATATATGAGCAAAGCCACAAAATATATACTCATACTCGCTTTGCTTAAAAAGCAGATTCTATTCAAAAATGCTAAATGTCCGACGTTCGGTTGGGTCGAAATTGGGCAAAAAACCCTATCAAACAGAAAAGACCTGTCATTTGGGGTAATGCTGAAGAAATCTTGGATACGGTAATAAGTAAACGCAATCTTATTGGGAATTACCTCATCAAAATAATGGCTGATGGTGGTCAAGGTTTATTAAAAGTATGTATGAACATCATTCCAGAGGATTATTTGTCCGAATCCATCGCAGATTCAAATGAATATCATTCGTCGGCGAAAAAACACAAAGTAGACAAAGTAACAAGTGTCCATAAACTAATTATGTTGGCAACAGTACCTGCGATCAAGGAGAGTTATGAGAATGTGAAGATATTATTTGATTTGATGAAATTAAACAACATTCCGTTCAAATTTGTGTCTGATCTGAAACTCTTGATAATTGTCCAATAAACAGCTACCTCCTCGTTCCCTTGCCCTTATTGCTTCGTGAAGCTGCAAGATTTAAGGAATCGCACGGACATTAATAGAGTTGATCCCCCCACAAATGACGAGAACAACGGAGATTTTCCCCATGAAGAACTTCTGGCGAAGAAAACTTACGTTGATCTGCGCAAAGATTATCAAGAATTTGTATCTTTGTGTTGCGATAAAAAAGTTGCGAATAAGTCCAGGAGTACCATAAATACACCTCTATTCGTCGAGGATGGTAATGTTCCAGTACTGCAGAAGTGCATTATCCCCGAATTGCACATTCTCCAAGGGTTTGTGAATCATTTGTTTTGGATAGTTCTCGTACCTCTTCTCAGCAAGGAAAAAGCTCTGCTCTGGTCCCAGAAATTAAAATTGGTATCAAAAAACTATCATGGAGAGGCTTTCGAAGGGAATGCCTGCAGAACTTTACTTAAGCGAGCAGATGTGCTATTGGAACCAGAAATCAGTAAACACTTGAGCGGATCTCTAGCTCTTCAACCATTCATTGCGGCTTTTAGAGCTATGGATAAAATTGTGTACTCTTGCTTTGCGGTCAGGAGGGTTCAATCTGAGTTGAGTCATCATATTAGAGATTTGAAGACAGCTCTTCTCGCAATAGACGTAACTGAAACTCTTAAAATTCACATTACTCTATGCCACATTGAAGAAAGTCTCGAATTCTTGAACGATGATGAAGGTTTTGGTTTATGGTCCAAGCAGGTTGGCGAATCGATACATAGAGAATTCCTAAAGTTTTGGAATAGACGTAAAATTAATAATCTAGATGATCCAGATTACCTGCTTATATTGAAAGCAGCTGTTGTTGATTTCTCGTCAAAACATATTTGAATTTCCACAGAAAAAGAATGAATTGTATCAAATACACACTTTTGGAATATATTCGACCAGACTGTTATTTCATAATATCTTCACTGAGTTGTATCAATTGAATAAATATGCAATAATAATCATGTGTTGTAATGAATTAAATATGTTGTCATTTCTAACAATGCTATTCACTGATCTAAGTATTTCATAACCTTTAGCTCCCTTATTTCATCCCTTAAAAACTTTTTTGAGTCCCAAGGGACAGTTTCTGGACATTCTCAACCCAACGGAACGTCGGACATTTAGCATTTTTGAATAAAATCTGCTTTTTAAGCAAAGCGAGTATGAGTATATATTTTGTGGCTCTACTCATATATAATGGCAAAATTAATATTTTTCAATGTGTTATTCGGAAAGAGAATTTTTCTGGCTACAATTTTCACCATTTTTGAGCCAAAAAATGTTGTGTCTTGTTCAAAATATCCGAATTTGAGCCATGAAGAAAAATTTTCACTGTGTTTATTCAACCATGAAATTTATATTTACGGATTCACGAAAAAATCACGTTTAGGAACAGGTATGATTTGGAGATAAGTTTTTTCTATTTCCTGGGGACTTTGTTAACAATTTCCCGTCAATATGGCAGATCGTGTTCGTGCGAAAACTTTCTCTGCCTTCCAGACACCTGTGCTTAGTATAGGCAACCAACAATACCAAATGTATTACTGGTTGCTAATACGACAACAACAACATAGCTTAGGTTGCATATTGAGCACATGTTAAGATAATGTTATTATAAGTGAGCTTAATCAAAAGTTAATAAATAAACATATAAAAAGTATATTATAACTATTATTACACTTACCTGCCATTTATCGGACACCATATGCCTCAATCTTTGGTAATGTACGATTCCAAAGAAAATCTGAGCAGTCATTTCCCTACCGTCTATTCCGGAATACATGGTTTCCGTTCCGTAGTAATTGTAACCGCCTTTTTCTAGTAATCTACCGAAGTAATCGATGGCGGTGTCTTCTTCGGTGAATTTGAACGGCGTCGCGTCATGTACAAGGCCGTGAAGAGCGGCTGATTTACCCGCCATGATTTCTATCATCATAGCGATCGTCATACGGGAGGGAAATCCGTGTGGATTGAAGACTATGTCTGGCACGAGACCTGTAGAGGAATGTTAGTATGATAGATTTAAATAAAAAGAATGTATCTCAATCAAGGATGACAGTTATTATAGGTGTTTCAACTTCGATCAAATATCAATTCCCATATAATGATACTATCTTTAGTTGTTTTTACCTTATAGACCCTCATACATGGAAGTGCTTTTTTTTTTTGTAAGTCTACTATCTTCCAAGTACTACGCCCACAGCAGCAATGGAGCTACTGCTAGGTCTTCCTCCACTACACCTTGTGGTGGAGAAGGAGGCTATGGCGGCGGCATACAGGCTGTTTACTAATGGATTTGGATGGGAACTTTCGAGGAAAGGATACCACACAATGATATTAGAGAAATTAAAACAAAATCCGGTATGCCATCGGATAGAACGCCCATTTTTCACGACTTCAGGAAACCTTTTGATATTCAAATACCAGAAAGGGCCAAAAGCCAGGAAAAAAGGGAAAAACGAATCAATCTGGTATACAGACGGTTCGAAAATGAAAAACAGCACAGGAGCTGGGATCTACCATGTGAACTCAGGGAGGACAATTAGTTTGAACCTGGGGTCACTGACAACAGTCTTCCAGGCTGAAGTAACAGCAATAAATGCCTGCGCCAAAGTCATGCTAAATGACTCTCTTAGAGATAAGAAAATCGTTATCATGACAGACAGTCAGGCAGCCCTTAAAGCACTAAAAAGGGTAGAAGTACAATCTAAATCAATATTTGATTGCCAACAGTCCCTCCAGGCTCTGGCAGAACATAACAAGGTCACTCTTGAATGGGTGCCAGGTCATGAGGGAGTGCTTGGAAACGAGAAAGCATACCTCCTAGCAAGGAAGGGAGCGGAAAAAACTCTTATTGGACCAGAACCCACATGTGGTATCTCATACCAACATGTTAAATGGGTGTTAAAGGAACAAATAAAAAGAGAACACCATAGGCTCTGGATGGAACTTCCTGGACTTAGACAGTCCATCCACGAGCAGACAACACCAACTGCTAAACCTTAGCAGAAGCGAACTCAAGGCCGTAATAGGACTCCTTACGGGACACTGCGGCCTTAGAAGACACCTAAATCTCTTAGGGATATCTGATGACTCCCTATGTAGAATATGTGAAGAGGAGGACGAAACTCCTATTCACATACTATGCCACTGCCGGAACCTTAATTCGGAACGGGAATGGTACTTCGGGGTACAATATCCGGAACCTGAAGAAATCGCGAAAGCGCCCATCAGACATACTCTTGAATTCATCAAGAAAAACAATCTGATGGGATAGAAACTGTGAGGGGTACAATAAGCCTAGAGCTTCAGTACAAGTGGGCTTTGAACCACGCCCTAATTCAGATGATGATGATGATCTTCCAAGTATTATCCTTTAGTAATATCATTTCACTCTGAATAGCTTCTAACTTCTAATCATTTATTTTTTTGATGACATGTAAGGGCTTTTTTAAAAATTGTAGTAATTAATCATTAAAAACTATAAGACTAATAAAATAATTAAAATGATGGTGTGTGGCTCAAAACTCAGTTGTTCCAGTATATCAGGTGATAGATAAGAGGAAATCTTCAGGAATAACATTTCACTAATAAATGTTTAGAAAAACATATCCATATTCAAGAAAATTATTACCGTCCAAAATAAAAATTTATGCAAAAAATATGAATAAGTTCTTAACCATCATTTGGTGGCTTTCAGTCGTGTTATTGGTCCAATAACCAATTTAATTTTGAAGGAATTTATTTCGGGAACACTTGAATTTTGATCAGGCGAACGCAATAAAGTAGGCATTTATGCCCGTTAATGACATTCTTTATTTTGTTCCTTGAGTGAATTTTAAATATTATTTAATTTACTTTCTCGAGATATTTAATAAAACAAAACCATGTTAACATGTGTTTTGTGAAGTGGCTATACAATTATACAGGGTAATAAATCATTTAAAAACAATAATTTGTATATAAAAGATCTCTCTTTATATGTCAAAATTAAAATATTCAAACATATCAACTGCTACATTGCAATCGTTACAATCACGCCATTTATACCTCGAATCTTTTTTAAAAAAGCCCTAGACGTATAACATTGGGATTTTTTTGAAAAATCAATCAATTTTTAAATTCATAACTGAATAGGGGTGCCTTTTTGTTAGTATGACCAATCTCTGGTACGACGATAAACCTGTAGGACATCTTCCTTTCCCACATCTCTGGTTTTATTACTGTAGGTGACAATCATAGAAAAAATTTAAAACTGTCACTTTTTTTAGCCCCATATAGTTTCCAAAAGGATGTCTTAGATTCAATTCCACTGCTAGTTGTTAAGCAATAAACAAAATTTTTAAGTTTGGATTATTTTTTAATGACTAGCTGTGCAAAACAACTTTAATTTCTTATATAAAAACTCAATATATTTGACTTTGGAATAAACCGAATTTAAAAAAGAATTAATGTATTGGAGATGCAGCGTTGCAATTCGCTACCAAGTTTCTGGGGAATGAACGGTCGTACTTAACATTGATTCATGCGGTGCGGTGTTGCCAGATCTGCTCTACAAATTTCTTCAGATCTAAGAAAAAAATCGATGAAAGTGTAGCTAAGTGTTTTACTATTTACTATTGTATTAATTACGAAAAATAAATACTAGTTTTTTCAATATCTATTTCCAGAACAATTCCAACTTTGTTATCAATTATTGTTATCTTGCACACTATAAAAACGATGTAAAATAGTAAATTCCCCATTTTGTTTTGATAGAAGATACACAGATAGAATTAAGAATAAGGTATAAATTTAATAGTTTCATCAACTTTTTTACTTCCTTCTCTTCAAGAAGTATTTCATTATAGTTTTGGCACCCTGTTTACGATGAAGGAAGACGGGCTGGATTTTTACTGTTAAAACATTCTATTTCGCCATCAATATTTGTACACCATAAACTAAAGTCCTCTGACGAATTTTTAAGATCAATGTACAAGGTTAGAACCATATTTTTCAAAAGTTGAAACACCTATAATAACTCAGCCATCAAAAAAAAGTAATTACAGAAGACACCGATGACGTCTGTCATAACTTACCGGTTTCCGTAAAAGGTAAGTCTTCTGATGGCCATTTTTGTGAGCAAATACCCTTTTGACCTGCCCTACTAGCGAATTTGTCTCCTACACTTGGATTTCTCTGAGACAATAAAATAACATTTGTTAATCCTTAACACCCCTAAAGGGGTACAATTCTAGATATAAATATTATGTTTTTTTCTTCTTTTGGGACACTGAAGTCGATTTATTTATCGAACTGGAGATACTAGCGGAATCTAGGAATATATTATTAAATTTATAGTAAACTTTTTACGACTGGAGCGTCAAAAGGCATATGATAGATAATTGGTTGCAAAGAAAAGTCAGAGAAGAATTACAAAAACCTAAAGATGAATAGTGGAAAACTACTTAGAAGGTCTAGACCCCCAAAAATTAGGTTTATGGAATTTGCAAAAAATCCTAAGACAGGATAAGAGGAAAGTTCTATCTCCAAATGGAGCCAAGGATATAGCAAACAAGCAAACACCATAGATGAAAAGGTAGTAACATTCATCACCACGCTAAAGCGTGAATGTCTAGAATCTAGAAAATCAACATGAAGATGACTTGATGAATGTATTAGAGTTGTAGGTCTTCAGCCAGCTCTTTTTAAATGACGATAACACCTCAACATTAATTGCCCACTCGAAGGTATTGGGTGGGAATCAATTGCTACTGACATTATGGATGAGTTAAACAGGTTTTGATTCAGTTTAACAGGATGGGAACTTACTAAACTCAGACCAGTAACTGATTGTGTAAAAGAGGTTCAAATATACTTGGAGCAGTCTGTCAATAAGAAAAACTGCTAATAAGTTAGTTGAGCTACTTGTCAACAGGTAGCATCACAGGTACTAAATTATACTCGGATTTATTACTTCTCATCCTCTAAAATCTACATGAAGATGAATTAATGAATGTATTAGAGTTGAAGATCTCCAACCAGCTCTTTTTAAATGACGATAACACCTTAACATTCATTGCCCACTCGAAGATATGAGGTGGGTCTCAATTGACATTGTGGATGGGTTAAGCAGGTTCTAATTCAGTTTCAGGATGGAAACTTACTAAAATCGGGTCAGATTGTGTGAAAGAGGTTCAAGTACACTTAGGCCGGTGCACCAATAAGAAAAACTGCTAATAAGTTACAGTTAGCATCACAGGTACTCAATTATACTCGAATTTATTACTTCTCATCCTCTCAATTTGTCAAAAGAAATTGTTCAACTTACCGGCACTCGATAAGTAAAACAAACAGTCTTCTTAGCATTTTTTTGTCCGAAATTGGCGCACAGCTTCACGCTATGCAAGTAGCACTCCTCCTTCCCTTTGAAGTTCTTAACGACATAATGCTGTCTATCGGCATCAAAAAAACTGTACAGCGGTTCCGATTCCTTTAATATTCTACCGACGTACGGCAAACCGTCCGAATCGATGAATTTCGGTAAATTGAATGGTTTGTCTTTGGTCGGAGGTTCTCTTTCGAAATACGAATCGACGTGATCGAGCTCTACGAATTCCGATTTGTAGATCATGCCGTGGGCCAAGCCTCGTTCTTCTGACGATTTGTTTATTATCATGGCGTCTTCCATGTCGTAACCCTACAAAAAAAAAGAATGAAAATTAATGTAATAATGGTGTTTGCAATTTCTATAAATAAATAGTTTTAGAAAAATTATAGAGAAGAGTCTAACTAACAAAATGGTCTATCAGTATCTAAACGAGGATTGTCTGGCAGAAATTGAGCATCGTCAAGAAGTGGTAGATTTCGGAATATACTACAGAAAATAGAAAGTTTATAGAATTGGTACCTAGTGTATTGTGTGAATCCATTTAAAGAATGTTTTACAAATGTTTCAAATACAATAGCTTTTTTCTCTCCCAGGGCTTTAAGACACTTAGTTTCCTACTTTTTAAATTTTTATTCAGCGGTACTACAGTACCATCTCCGAAATGTATGAATATGCGGTTTGTGGTATTGAACTTTTCTCGCTTAACTCTACAAAATAGTACAAAAATATTCCGATGGCTCAAAATTTTTAGAGAGAAAAAGGTCACCAAATGCCAAACTCCTTTGGGGTTTATTAACGTCCTATTTGAATCTGCAAGTGATTCTCTTTCAAGTATATAGTACGTTGTATTTGTACCTAAATTATGCTAGAAAATAAATTTATTTTTATATCTAAGAATGGAGATATTTGATTGCGACTACTTTACATTTGAGGTTGATATACACCTTAATTAAACCTCCAAATAGTCCAAATCAGTCTCTTTTGGAGAGTGGTGTTTCTACCTAGCTTTTGCTAGAAAATAAATATATTTTTAAGTTTAGGCCAAGATATTTGATAGATAATATATTTACCGTGTAACTAATAACAGCAACTACAGCATTAGTACCCATGGCAAAATCATCCAATAGAATATTATCGTAATGTACAGGCCTAAAAAGTGGCGATCCTGGTGTTTGCAGCCTATAGAGTTTCGTCTCCGACTGAAGATCCCACGTGTGACACGGCGTGCCCATTGTTTGTTTGCCCATCTGACACTGATACATATTACGTGGCGATTGGTTGCAGTCTGGCATAGGTATAAGCTGGGCTAAATTTGATAGAAACGCGCATTTTGAGAGTTCCATGTGGGTTGTCACCTCTGAAAAGACAATTATGATTGGTTAAAATATTACAATGTGCAAAATGTTGTATAATATTAAAAAGATATTGTTTTCTTCCTACAAGATAAACGTTTTTAGAACTCAGAACAAAAAATACAGGACACGAGTATAAAAAAAATGTTCTAAATTCTAAAGTATATACCAAGATCTTTCACTAAAAGCAGTAACATTATTTATACTATACCTAGCTGCATTAACTGGATATTCATTTTACCAAAGATTAAGAGTACAAGACATTTTGCAAATTTTTACAGTCGTCCAAACATATAATATCACAATAAAGTTTTATAAAGTCAGCAAACATTATGTATTTGACTTAAAATTTGTAACAAATATCAAACAAAGCAGTGGTCGCAGTATAGAACCCTGTGTAACTCCTGAAGTCTGAGGAAATATAAAGTATATTCCAATAATTGTTTAAATTGAGTTCTTCCTAAAACATTTGATTCAAATAAATCTAAGTCCAATGGTATGGTATAATAATTTTTTATCCCGCTAGAGGTCTCTAAAATTGAAATTTACGCAATAAATAGTCATATTGCTGAATCCTCCATAAAATTACCTTTTCAATGAGAAGTAGAGAGAAGATTACCGTACAACAGTTGAGGATATGATGGCGTTTGTGTAAAATAATGAAAAAATGGGTTTAAATACGGCCAACCTCAGTTTTTCATCTCATCAAGAAGAGATTCTTCAAATTTCTACTAAGGCATTCGATAAACAAATTATAGACGAAGACAATTTTGATTTTTTTTAGTTTGCGAGTGCAGTGACAATTCAAGCAATTCTTAGAATTATTCTAATAACAAGGAAAGTAACGTGTACCATTTGCGACAATAGGCTTTGAACTAAAGGCCGCTGATATCAAAAGTAACGAAATGAATAGTTATATCTTTGACGGAGAGGAAGGGAATGATGCATAACAGTTAAGGATATGATAGGGAGATGTCATTTACTAGCAAGAAGGTAGCCAACCAAATCGGTAGTAACATACCTAATTAGAGAACATTCCCTTGTGAAATTCAAGGACAGATGTGATGAAACAAGAAACTAAAGAGTTGCCTGATTACCAGCATTCTGACTGGTCATTGCCAAGTACGAAAGCATCTGCATACCATGGGGCTGTCAGAATCCGCACTCTGCAGGGGGTGCGAACAAGAATATGAGACCATCGAGCATATCCTCTACGATTGTCAGACGCTCTCATGTATTAGAAGATTTGTGTTCGGCGAGTATCAGCTAACAGCGGCCAATATAAGAGGAACACCTCTTGGTGACATTGTCAACTACATTAAATTTATACAATGGACCTAGTGAGGACTAAGTGCAGTGGGTTAATCCATCTTCAACACGTTACAGATAGAGATAGGAAGATGTCCCCTTTTAATAAAAAAATTGACGTCTCTAAACAGGTTTGTCTAAAATGTTGACGCAGTTCATGATAATGGCTCTAAATACGTTTTCATCTGGCGATATAATTTCGATAATAATGAGATTTAAACGTACATCATGATCGTATGCAGATAAATATGATAAAACTGAAAGAACATGAGAAAACTGCAAAAAACGTGGAAACTTTGAACTCATTTTCATTGAACGTATCAAATACAAACAAAAATATGACTTTGTTATTTCAAGTACAAACATTACCGTCAACCTCTTTCAACATTTTAATGATTATAAATTATACAATCAAAAGAAGTAGAACCGCTTCACGTTTTTTTAAGAGATATCCAACTCATCGTGTGACGTGTGACTGTCGAAGGTCATTTTAGGATTATATTAAACTTATAGATCTTTAATTAGTTTAATTAGATTAGATCGTGACGAAGAATGGTTTTCTATGGAGATGGAGTACCTAAACAAATATTTTTAACAGTATCGACTTAGGTAAATTGCCCTTACTGATATTAAGAAATAATTTATTATTAAAGAACCAGTCAACCTGATTGTCATTTAACATATTAATGTTAAGATTAACAAAATCTATCTATAAATATTATTTACTTTTCAGTTTGTTTTTATTGCATTAAATGCAAGTATTACTTGTCTCGCCGTTAATATTTAATAAAACAACACCAATATTATCTCTATCTACTATCAAATTACAATATTTACTTAAAGATAAATGTATTAGCTCATATTAATGAAATACATATTTGATTTATAAGTAGGTATAGGTACCTGTAATTAGTGTAATTAACACAATATTTGAGAAATTTTATTAATTATTTTATTAAAACATATTTTATCAATTATTAGCTAATATTTTCTTAAAAGTTTTAAATTTAATTGATTTTCCATTTTTTTCTTTGACATTTTATAAAAATTGGGGTAATGTTGTAGTTGAAGGGTCTGGAAATGCGCCAGTCCGCACCATTGCTGTTCCGGCTAGTTTTGTCAGTTGGAATCGTTACATAGTTGCCAGGTTATATTTAATTATTTGGAACCAGGGAATAAGCAGATTGAAATAACTATTTTACTTTTCTCATCTATTTACCAATTTTTACATCGATTAAAAATCCCATAAAAATAAAAAAAATCTAAAGATTTTCAAGTAATACGATCGTTATTTTTAATGTCAATAATACCTTTCAATAGTGATAATTACAAAATTTAAAATCTATCAAAACTCTCTTATAAAACAAAACAGAATTGTTATTTCAAAATATAATATAAATCTTTATATTTATTTATCATACATTTTAATTTACAGAGGTTACAATTTGTCTAAATAATAAACTATGAAATAAAGCAAGCTAAAATGAAAGTGGAGATTTGGCAACGTGGCTTGAGCAAATTCAAATTCTAGACTTAGTTTTTCTATGTTCTAGACCTCAGTTCAGAGTGGTGTGAATATGCGCATTTCTAGACCCGTCAACTACAACATTACCAAAATTGGATAATAAAAAATAATACACATTGGCAAAATAGCAACTTTTTTAGCGTAATACACATTTTTTTTTAATTATTAAGAATAAATCTACTTTGAAATATATATACAATTTTCGCCAAAAGGAAAAGCCGTCTCTGTTCATGTTAATATTTCAAAGAACAGTTCCAAGCGTCACTGGTCACTGCCACGTGACTGTTGGTGTTGAATGAAAATGGAGAGGGAGACGAAGAAATAAAAAATATTTATTTGACAGCAAGTTTCAAATATTTGTGTATTTACAATGTTGAAATTTAAAGAGAATCCTTCAAATCAGTTGTAATTTTTTTTGTCAGCAAAAAGTATTTTTTTATCAGCGATTTAGCCGTTACGCAACTGCCAAATCATCATCATTATAAAAAGTCGATTACAATGTGAGGTTATGTTTATATCAAATTGTGGCATTTCGCTTGTGAGAACGATTTGTAGAGCTGCTTTTACGATGAAACCAAAAGTGGTATTCGTTTTGGGGGGTCCAGGAGCCGGAAAGGGTACCCAAAGTCAAAAAATCGTGCAGCATTTTGGGTACGATCATTTATCGGCAGGAGACTTGCTGAGAGAAGAAAGAAACAATCCTAATTCTGAGTTTGGAGAGCTTATTGAAAATTATATCAAAGAAGGTACTATTTTATTTATTTATTTAAAATTTATGTATTTAGACGGTACTCAATAAAATTCGTTAGATTTTTGTTACAAGTAACAAGCAGGTGAAATAAAAAAAATAAATAAGCCTATGGAAATTATTTTAAGTACCTACTTGTACGTTGTAGACAGGTACTGCTCAATAAACCTTGAACTAAAATACATTCCACGTTTTTATTGTAAGTACTACATAATTATTAATGTGATATTTACATACTAAGGAATGCTATAAGTAGATTTTAAATAAAACAGAAAAATAGAAAACTGTAGGTACAATTATTTTAGAAAATTAAGAAATTATATTGATTAAAATCAGGTAAAATAGAGACACATTTTGAGGTAATAATTTATGGCAATTAAAATTTTAGTAATTTAATAATGAGGATTTTGTTTCATATGCACAATTTCCAAGGAAACTACATTAATTATGGGATTTTACCCATGCTAAACTCTGATGTCATCTTTATGAGATGCGAGGCTGAATAAATTGAAAGTCATTTCTCTCCATCATTAATATTAACAATAAAAAAATATTTTTACGATGTGTAATCATTGCCTACCTATGTATTAAAAAGAAACTAATAAATTAATAAGTAGTTTTTTAAAATTTTTGTTTTATAATTAAATATTGATGGTCTAATTCTAATACCCTGTAAATGAATTGACATTTTGCAGGAGAAGCTGTTCTCAGTTTGATAGTACATTGTGATATTGAGAACAAGGTTAAATCAACTTGGAACTCTTCCTATTTCACTCCAATATCTGACAATGAACTCTTATTACAAATAAATAGCCTGAAAAATAATGTAAAAGGTGGCTAGGATAATAATAGTGCTAACATAATTAAAAATGCCCATGCTCATCTGTTGGGTCCATTAAAACATATTATAAATAACATCTTTAGCTCAGGAATCTTCCCTGCCATAATTGTTCCATTACACAAACAAGGTGATAAAAAAATCACAAATCATTAGACCTATTGCTTTAACAAGCACCATTAGTAAAATTAAAGAAAAATGTATTAGGCATAAGTTGTTGCCATTTATAAACAAGTATAATTTAATCAATGAAAATCAATATGGCTTTAGGGATGGTTCCTGTACTGAAGATGCATTGTGCAAGGTATCTAGTAAAATTTCTCAGGGGGAATAAGGTGATTGGTACATTTCTAGGCTTTGCCAAAGCCTTTGACACTGTGGCATACCAAATGCTACTAGATAGGTTACATTACATTGGTATAAGGGGTATAGCTAACAATTTAATTAAATCATACTTAAGTGGTAGATCCCAACGTTGTTAGATTTCAAAAGGAGTTAAATGAGGAACTTATAGTGGCGTTTAGTGTGCCACAGGGCACAGTGCTGGCACCATTGCTATTTAATATATATTTAGATGGTATCTTGTCCACTATCAATGAGGGGAATGTCTACTGTTTTGCCGATGACATGGCTGTCATAATAAGTTGGCAGGATTGGCTGATAATGGTAAAAAAGGAACATTTAAACTAAAAAAATGGTTGGATAGTAGTCTACTGTCCCTCAATATTGATAAAACAACATTTTTGACTTTCTCTCTTTCACAAAATCATCCTTCATGACCAAACAAGTCAATTAACACATTCACCGCCAGGGCGGACACTGGTGTCCGCTGCGTGGTCGGCCCATCACGCCAGGGCGGACACCGGTGTCCGCCAGGTTTAGAGGTTGATATTTCCTCGAAAATTCTGAATTTTGTAAATGTTTTATTATAACTTATTCTTTTTAGGCCTCTAGAATGGACTACCGACCGTGGTTTTTTGAAAAAGAGTTTTGTTTATATTTTATGGACTGTATCCGCTATTGTGTCCATTGTGGTGTGTAAAAAAGTTTTTAAAGCAGCTAAACTCTAGGCGCCAGAGCGGACAAATTTTTTTTCAATGGAAATGTAAACTACTTTTAACTACTAAAATTTGATTGTTTTATTGAAAAAAACATTTTAACATTCTATAGTATACAAAATAAAATATCAAAAAACCTATTGATTATGGTTATATTATGTACAACTAGACAATATAACTTAAGCATTTTTAACAATTCTTAAAACAAAAAAACATATCAAGAAAATTCTGGTTATTTATAACAAATAACTAAAAAAATATATTGTTTTATAGGTACACATATTTTAACATTTTTTAGTATAAAAACAAAATGACAAAAAAAACTTATTTATTATGGTCCCTATTAAAACATTCCACAAGGGACATAATATGTCTCGATCTGCTACTCATTGTCACTTTATAAAAAAACAAAATAGAAAAAACTTGTGACGAAAAATCACTGTCAAGTGTGTGTCTACTACGCTAATTTATGCAATACTGAGCATAGCAAGACATTTGGCGCGCGATCCGCTTCGGCAAACAGACCTGTTACGACGTGCCCGCTGAGATATTTGTGTCCGCTATTGTATCCGCTGTGGCGTGGTAAAATCGGAAAAATTTTGTCCGCCCTGGCGTGATGCGAGGGAAAATGCTTTTTTTAGGCATGGCGCCAGAGCGGACACCGGTGTGGGCTGAGTCGCTCTTATGGGTGGCGTGCTGAGAAGTTTTATGAAAATTGCCTTGGCGGTCAATGTGTTAAATAATAATTGTCAGTGAAAATATACTATAAAAAGATCAAATAACATTAAATACTTGGGAGTACTCATTGACGAAATATGTCACCGGAAAGATTAAAAAATTAATTTTTAAATTCTATGAATTACATAACATTCTTTCTCCAAAATTTTTAAAAGCTGTCTATCTTTGGCTTGTAGAATCAATCATAAACTATGGGTTAGTTGTTTGGAGTAATGCTGGTAATACACTTGTCTCTAAGTTACAAATTTCACAGAAATACATAATTAAAATTATGCTTTTTAAAAACAGAAGATATTCAACCGAACTGGTTTATAAAGATAGTAATTTACTAATTCCTTATCAACTTTATTTGAAATCGATAATCAGATTTATGTTAAAAACAAACCATTTTAAACAAGCATTGTCACATAGCATTATTACTAGACTGGCTGCTAAAAAAGATTTATGGCTTCAAAATCCTAAACATACTGCATGTCAGAACCATATCTATTGTGTAGGTCCTAAGGTATATAATTGCTTACCACAGGAATTAAAAATAAGTCATATCATAAAATCAAAAATAGGTCAAACCAATGGATAGTTGAAACAAATTTTTCGATTACTTATCTTTTATAAATATAATGTCTTCTAATTCTAAAATTTATTGATTTTCAGTATTTGCTTCTATAACTATTAATATTATTATTATTTGCGGGCAATTTTAAGTAAATGTGATTTATATCTAATTAACCTCTTTCTAAGTATAAAAGTATAAATCAAAATGGTTTTAGAATAAAATAAAAGTTTTTCCTCGAGCTTTTCATTATTTGAAATATTTTCATTTATAAATATTTTAATAAATTTATTAGTTCATAACAATAGAAACTAAAAATAATAAATGAGACATCAATGGCTCAATCAAAAACCGCCACAAGTCAAAAAACAAAGAAAATTTTATTTTTAGTTTAATGGATGCAAAATATCATTGAGTTTTTATTTTAAATACAGCCAGAAACCAAAATATCCTTAGACATGCCCAAAAATCATTTAGCCACAACTCAAAACTGTATGTAAAACTGACTTAATTCGGGTTATTTTCTGCAAAAAAACATCCAATTTTTTTACAAACTACACAATAAGTCGAGTTACGGCGCTTTTATATTCGTAATCGTTAATTTTAACAGCAAAATGTCGTAGCTTTTAAATAAAATGTAAAGATTTTATGTCAAAGACAAAATAATGATAATAGAGACAATTTTAAAGTGAAATTTCTCAAAACAATAGTATTTTAGTTAAGGCAGTATTTGATTGAGCCATCAACATGTTTTTTACAAATTCTTTAAAATGTGTTTAAAACGTTTTTAAAATAGATGTTCAGCATGACTCATACAATTTTTTATCCAATTTAGTGAAAGTTTTAATAAAGTATACATTCTTAAATATATTTTTTTTGTGCAACACTAAAAACTAATTACGGAATTTTTATAAAAAAATTAAATTTTGTGAATATTAGCTAATATTTTGTGAATGTACACCTCTATTTCAACATAAAACTCAACATAACTTTAAAAACTAATAATAAATGATCTTCATACTTTGTTTGAAATTTTTGGGTCAAATTAACTTCAATATTCATGATTGAATAAAAATAAACAAATTCAGATTTACATGACTCAAAATTAGGGGAAATTACAAAGTTGACCTTTAGATAAAATCCCGCAGCTTATCAATAAATTCAATTAAGATATATTTTTAGTTAGTTGCTAATAAAAAAATTCTTTTTTAACTGACCTAGTATTTATTAATAGGAAACTAACCTATCTGTGATATTTATAAACACATTGCTGTTGAATTTGATAGAAAATGGTTATAAAAATAATATATTTATTTTTGGTTGTAGTAGTTTGAATTTAATGTATTTTCTAGTTTTATAACATACAGGGCATACCCGGATGGATTGAAAAAGAAGAAAAACTTAGAGAAAATCTTATTTTTGTATCAAAACTAATAATAATCCAAACAGAATTTGAATATGTTTGCTTTAGTGAAATAATGCCAAAAAATAGTAGTTTGTGCAACAAGAGTGGATATGGACAATCCACTCGAGTTGTACAGTATATTTTTTTCTACGACCCACTAACGAAAATCTACAAATTTAAAAAAAATATTTTAGGTTATTAAGACAAAATAACAAATTTTACAATAATTTATGAATTTTACTAATTTATAAAATAAAATAAACATGAAAAAAAAAAAAAAAGATTTAATTTAATTAGTCCCTAGCCTAGATTCGACCCCGAGCTTTTCACGTGAAAGGCAGACTCCACCTCCATCGTAACTTTTATGATTTTAGTTTTAATACTCACAATTAAATTAGTTTCATAAAGTTTGATAGAAATAAAATGGAAGCGGAAACGGGCGCTGGTAGAAAAATAACGGTTGCTGATTATTTTGTTTTACTTTTTTAGTAAAAATGTTACCTTTGGAATAAAAAAATTTATTTTGATTAACAAAGTATTTCATTTATGCACTGAAAAGAGTGAAAAGCGCAAAAATTTGTTTTTGCCGATTTATCGGCAATTATCTTGCCGATACGATACCGATAATCGGCAACAACTGCCGATATACTAATATCAATATCGGTATGGTTCTATCCCTAATATTTAATCTCAATAACTAAATTAGTTTCACAGAATTAAAATTTTTAAAATAATACTAGTTCTGTGTCTAAAATATAAACTGTGATTGGTGGAATTCATTTTTTAGCAGTTCTTTCACTACCTAGAGTGGATATAATATATATTTGTTCATTTGCATACTTTTTAGTTTGGTAATCTTTGCGTATATAAGCTAGTGGGTGTAGAAAAACATTTTTGTTGTTATTTCTCTAATGCAAAGAGATATTCAACTTTTGTTTGGATTATTACTAATTTTGAAACAAACAAAAACATTTTTTTTACAAACGTCAGTAAAAGTATAATTTTTAACGCATGCTGTCAGTGTCTAAAATGCCATTTTATGACACTGGTGTTAAACGTAAAAAGTAAATCACTTAGTGCTAAAAGTGATTCGGTCGATATTCTTCGCCCTTTGGCTTCAAAAAAGCCACAAGCTTGTAATATCTCCTTATGTCATGATTATTTATGTTCATCGTCGACTTTAACAAAGAGTAATTTGACCAAAGTGTTGACGATTTCCATATTTTGGACTTTTTCACTGGCCTCCTTGCCACTGACATTTTTCTGATCACACCATTTCAAGAAAACTCGTACGGTTGCTTTGACTTACTAGGCAATAATTCAAAAGCAGCTTTATTGGCAGCTTCTTCAATTTCCGGCGGTATAAATTCATTTTCTTGATAACTTTCCATCGAGGAACGAAGAAACGAAAAAGAATAATTCGTGATTTATTGACGTTAGTTGTCAACAGAGAGAAATCAACAAATTCGATTTTTGTTTACCTTGGCAACTTGTTTCATGAATAGATTAAATGAAGGTGGATTCAAAACAATCTCGAGGCTATTATTTTATCAATTAATTAATATAAAATAGGTATGGTTAATTTGGACTTATAATGGTGTTTGTAGAAAAAATAGTGTATGATACACGTGCTAAAAGTGATTTTATTTTGTTTGAAGGGATGGAACACTCCGCCTTCGGCGTCGTGTTACAAACTTCCCTTCTCACAAAATAAAATATCACTTTTAGCACTTACATCATAAATAACTATTTTGAAAAAGTTTTTCGTTCCCTTTTCAATTCCATCCGGATTTTTTTCAGCATATTTTTTACTATATTCACCTATCTTTTACTATCGAAATATATTTACTCTCTTTGACATACTTTAAATAAATATACAACTATTTTGTGCTAGCTATCTGTGAACCTCACGACGCAATTGAAGTAACTTGCCGGTCATCGTTGGCCTCCATGGCGATTAACGCCTTAACCCTAAATTGTAGACAATTTATACAAAAGTACGACAGTCATGTTATTATGTCGGTCACCCTCACGGCGCAATTGAAGTAACCGATGGCCCGTCACAATTTAAGTAACCAATTTATGGTCACTGGTGACCCCAACGGAGCTATAGAAGTAATCGATTGCCGGAAGAGATGACAGAAAAATATATTGTACAAATGAAACCTGGTTCAATGAAAAAACAAACATCAAGCTTTTGTAGATGGTTTATCGACAGGTTTAAAAGCCCCATCTGGAAAGGGAAAACGCCTTATTATTACCCATATTGGTAGCGACTCAGGATTTGTTGAAGAAGGTTTAAATGCATTTGTTTCTAAAAAGACTGGAGATTATCATGAGGAAATGAATGCAGAACATTATGAAAAATGGTATTCAGATATTCTTTTAAAAATCGTACCAGGATCTGTTATTGTTATGGATAACGCTCCATACCACAGCCGGCGTGTAGAACAGTTACCAACCACCAAATGGAGAAAAGCCTAGATTGCAGATTGGCTTACTAAGAAAAATATTAAATTCAATGAACCATCATCAGTGTGTGGTCGTGCGTTATCGTGAAGAAAAACAACACCTTTTGACAGCAATCCTAGGCGCTTATTCTGTATTGCGCGGCGCAATTTCCCAAGTGTCTCGCAATAAGCATCTGCTGTGATTGTTTGACCACGCGGTAAGAAATCAATGAGTAAGATGCCTTTCCAGTCCCAGAACACTGCACATCATTTTTCGAGGTGTCAAGATTTGCTTCGGCTTAACCTTTGCTGGGGATGAAGTGTGCCTCCATTCCATTGATTGCCGCTTACTTTCAGGGGTGTCGTAAGAAACCCAAGTTTCATCTCCTGTGACTATCTGTGTCAGAAATTCTTCGCCACCTTCATCATAACAGATCAAAAACTGAAGTGCACTACCCATCCGCTTTGTTTTGTGTTGCTCAGTAAGAATCTTTGGTACCCAACGTGAGCAAAGTTTACGAAATTTCAGGTTTTTCGGTAACAATTTCATGAATTAGTGATCGTGAGATTTGGGGAAATTCCATAGCGAGAGCACTAATTGTAAACCTGCGGTTTTCCTGGATCTTTTCATCAATCGCGTGAACCAGTTCTTCTGTAACCAAAGATGGACGCCCACTTGGTTCTTCATCGTGCACGTCACTACGTCCTTCATTGAACTGTCGGACCCATCTTCTCACCATTGAATCACTCATCGCATTTTGTCCGTAAACATCGCAAATTTGCCGATAAATTTCAATTGGTTCCACTTTCCTCGCATTCAGAAAACGAATCACAGATCTGATTTCACAAGCGGCGGGATTTTCAATCAACACCGACATTATAAACAAGCACAACAAAGCGTACGTTACTGACAGCGACCTACAAATGGCACACGTTTCTTCTCCAGGATACAGAGCGTCTACCGCGGATGTGCGGAACTGCGATCGCAGCGCTGGAGCGGAGATAAATTGAAACGGAACTTACTTTCTGGACGTACCTCGTATTTTTGATTTGTTTAAATGTTTATGAAAATATAATAAGACCAGCGTGGCTATTTTTAAAGAGTTTTTATTTCGAAATTATTTTATTTGTAAAATTAACTTATTTACATCCATAAATCGCAGTTGTTTATTGTAATTTTGCTAAAAAAATAATTTGTTTCAGGTAAGATAGTTCCAGTGGAAATAACGTGCAGCCTTTTAGAAAACGCTATGCAAGCATCAGAAAATGATAAATTTTTAATAGACGGTTTTCCAAGAAATCAAGATAACTTGCAAGGTTGGAATAAAACTGTTGCAGATAAGGTTGACCTGCAGTTTGTGCTGTTTTTTGACTGTCCTCAAGATGTAAGTCAATATTTATGTCCTTAAAAATTACTAGTAAATTTAATTCATTTGCAATTTATTGTCACATTTTTTATTAACCGACTTTAAAAAAGGAGGAGGTTCTCAATTCATTGTAATATTTTTTTTATGTATGTTCAGCGATAATTATTTAACACGGTGTCCGATTTCAATGATTCTTTTTTTGTTAGTAAGGGGGTACCTCAGGGGTGGTCCCAACTAAATTTGGTCAAAATCTAATAATTGGGTCCATGAGAAAATCCTCAAACTCTAAATTTTTCATGTATGTTTAGCAATAATTCTCTACCACCTTGTCCGATTTCTATGATTATTTTTAAGTTAGAAAGGGCATACCTCAGGTCAGAATCTGATGATCTATGAGAAAATCAAAAATCTCAATTTTTAAGGGCATCTCCGGTTTTTTAATTAAAAAATTATTTCATATCTATAATCATTTTTATTGTAACTATATTTTGAAATGATAATTGCACTCCTAGTATTAAGATATTAAATTGGCATTAGTTTTATTACGCTTTTAATTACTTGCAACAAATTCCTCATTTTAAACTATATTTATTGATGTTACGCCATTAATTTTTATCGTGTGATTAAGCATTTTTCTAAATGGTTTTAATAAGTGACACTAAAAATAGTTTTAAAGCATTCATAGATATAATAAGCCTAGAACTAAAATTAAAAATGAAATAAATTAGCAATAAAACACAGAATTCTTTCAGGTTTGTCTGCAAAGATGTTTATATCGCGGCGCGAGCGGTAGTGGGAGAACAGACGATAACGAAGAAAGCCTTAAAAAGCGCTTTAACACCTACTTAAACGAAACCCAACCAATAATTTCCTACTATGAAAAATTTAATCTAGTGCGAAGAGTAGACGCCACCAGGACGACCGATGAGGTATTTGAAGATGTTAAATTGTTATTTCAGGAAGCGGCAGGTGGAGACCATTAGTAGTCGCTTATGATTTAAGCGACACTTAATTTCGCAATAAGAAACTGATGCATTCCTGCGGTGTAAATGTTTGAATAACGATGTCCGAAATAATTTACTTAGAATTTGGAGTCCTCTAGTCGAATAATTTTGCCTAAGTGCTAAACTTGATTTATTAAGCAATCATAGTTTGCTTGAAAGAAAATGTTTGTAATTTCTGCATATTGTTTTACTCGGTTCGAGTGTTACAATTTTTTGACGTACAGACACTAATAATTCGTGTAGGTGTTTAAATTATTGAGTTGCCGTTTTTGCCAAAAATTAAGTATAAAGTAGTAAATAAAAAAAATTTGTGAGAGTATCTTGATGTCAAAAATTTGTATTATCCCGAAGATAATGAGAAGTGATATTTTTATGAAGCATTGAAAAAGTAGTTATTATTTTTTATTCTTAATTAACGCAGGGGCTCAAAAATCTAATTTATTATAATTAAGTAGTTTAATCTTGTGACCAGTATAAAATCACTTAAGGAAATGTGTTCAGAATCACTTAATTTTTTTCTTTATAAAAGTATTGTGCATGTTGTGACTTAATTTAAGTGTAAATGGAATACCGATTGGAAATAAATGTTAAGAGCAATTATTTTATAATGTAATTGGTTAAATAAAATATAAAATAAAAGATTTCGTTTTACTTTGAATTATATTTAAAAATATACAATATAATACAATAAATAAAATAAACACTGAAAAACCACTGAAATAACTATAAAGTTATTTGTTTGTGGGAAAATTAAAATTAACAGGTAATTAAATTATTCTAAACGACATTTACTAAAAGCTAAAATCTACGGTCAGGTAAGAATAGTGAAATCCGACAACCGGGGGTTGATAATTAATTTAAATAATTCTTATATATTACATATTATATTCAAATTTTATTTCGAATTCAAACAGCATCCCAGCGTATCCCGCCTCGAAGGCGCCGTTTTATTACTTCTAGGAAAAAAACGTCGACTGTGAGATTATCACGGGCTATATTCAGGAATTAATACAGGGCTTTATAGTCTTTATACACCAAAGCCACAGTCGGTCTTTGTCTGATACATTTGCTTATATGGGAAATTTAAGTATAAATACCCGGGTTTTTGTGGGCCGGGGGAACATTAGCTTTTTCTTCTTCGCCGAGTCGAGTTAACAAAAAACGCAAATATCCAGGTTACCGTCACGGTGACTCCTTTTTCTTTATATTTTTCAAATATAATTAAAAAGAGATATCGCTACCCTTACGGTGGCAGCGCTTTTGTTATATTTTGACAATGGAAATAAAATATATCGACGGAGTAGAGAAATTAGTTTCTATAAACGACGGCTTCTGCATAGATATCCAGTTATCCTTAGGATGACCACCTTTTTCTTATATTCTATATATAAGTAAAAGGAGATATATAGTCAGTTTGACCAAGCAGATACACGTTGAGTAAAAACAGATTTCGCTCCTAGAACTGTTTTGTAAGGTTGTATCTAACGAGCGAATAAAATATTGGCGTAACTAATACTGGTGATACCTCGCCAGTCTAGTTAAACGCCAGATATTTTGTATCTCCGATTCAACGTTATAAAATGTTACTAAATGATTAAAAGTACTACTCTATAGGCGACGTTCGTAGTGGATTTCGTCACCCTTCTGGCTGCCCCGACGAACTTGCGCCAGGTAGACACTTTTATCAGCGGTATACTTTTCTTTCTGTAAGGTTTCTTTTACGTAGAATTAAAACGATAATCGTAAAAGTAATCAAACTAGTAATTAATATTCAGATATTCCGGGGGAGAATTTAGACAAACATTAATAGGTCACAGGTATCACTTTATTACTTTTATATTCATTAGCGGGAGAATTCGCGTCTGTGTGTTATTGTCATATTTTTGGTATTCATTGGTAAACGTTCATTGTGGAAAAAATTATAGGGTTTTTATATTGTGCTAAATTATGTTATTTAGAGAATCGATAGTGATGTTGTCATAAATATTAATTGTTCTAAAGTCGGTCAATGCTCTCCAGTAATAAATTAAGTCATTTGGATTTATGGCCAAAGGGCCGAATTGTAAAGTTTCGGTTGTCTGTAAGCAGTACCTGTCCCTTTCAGTAAAGATAAAAGCACTTTCGGTTTTACTTTTAAATGGCAAACAGATGTAGATTAGCAGGGTAAATGCCTGGACTTGTATATATTTTAAAGTTAGTTCGCGGTTTAAAAAATATGTTTTCTGCCGTTCTTTGTAAAACAGAATTGGATAGACAAATGTGTCATTTTAGCCGTACGGAATTTTATCGAATTTTCGGGAAAAAGGAGATATGTACAGCGGCGGGTAGAATCATGAATATTGAGGAGGGTCGTATTTATTTGTACATATTCACATATCTTTAGCGGGACATTACGCGGAAGTAGTCGGTATGTTTGTTGTTTATTTAGAATAAATAGGTGAAATTGTGTTTGAAGACTAGCTAACGTATCCTCAGAACTGTGATTAATAACACTGATTTGTTAATCACCAGAGCAAAAGAGCATCGTGCCAAAAAATACGCCTTAGGCCACCATAGACCGCTAGGGACCTCAATAGTAAGGGCCTAAAAATGGTATTTCCCTTGCGGCTATGTAAATTAAAGCCTGATAGAGGCTTGGGTGGATCTCTACTGAGATACCCCAAAAGTGGGCCTGACGGGCATCCCCCTTTATATCAGGTGTTCTCCGATCGACCGTTTAGTGTTGTCCATACAGGACTGAGTATGTCGGTAAATTACGGCGTTGGAATATTAGAGAAAGGCGTGACGCACGGTGAGGTAAATCTACACTCCGGGTTTTACACATATTAGAAATATTAAATTTAACCGACTTCAAAAAGGAAGAGGTTCTCAATTCAACACAATATTTTAGATCTCACAACACTCCTCGTGCTACCGTTGTACTCTCTTTTATTAGACAATGCGTAATTCAGTAGTTCCATGGAAACGTGTGATTGTATATTAGGAGACAAACAAACATACCAAAGTACTTCCGACTTTTATTTTACCCTTTTATGGGAACTAAAAGCTCTGAGGTTAGAAATGACACATTAGAAAGCCTACATAAACAGAATGTTAAGCCTAAAAATGGCACATAATCTAAATGTTCGGCTGTACAAAAGAATAGATGTTAAATAAACAGTATTCAAAATTAATCTCGGTGTTACCTTTGTTCTTCCTCCATTACAGCTACATTGAACTCTAAACGTAATTCTGGGGGTTTTAACATCACTTCGTAGGGAACCACTAGACGAAATTTAGGCCAAGGTTATAAGTATTTGCAAAACTAGGTCAGGGTCCGGTTTGTCAAGTTACAATAGTTATTTTAAAATTTGAATTGTCCAAGGCCCTTACAGTTGTATTAACAAAATCCATTATGGTGTTCTCGGTATTAAGAGTTTTTCACAAATCCAAATTGTCTATCTGTAATTTATATGGTGTTAGTCCCAGAATTCAACGAGTCTTTTTTTGAGGCACTTCAAATATATTGGCAAGCTTATTTATCATAGATATAGGCCTATAGTTAGTTATTTGAGAATTTTTCCCTGATTTATAGATAGAAGTGACATTTGAAACTTTCCATTGGTGATAGGTACTAGACCAGTTAGAAAACACAGGTTTATAATGTGTATTAACGGTTCTAATATATAGGTATAGTCCTTCCATTATCAATTGCAGAACACAGTTATGTGGGGAATCATCAATATTTAATATATACGCACGGTACTCATGCCAAATTAAGAAACGAAAAATAATGTTTACTCCCCTTATACAAAGCGGTAAATATTAAACGAACCATCAGTTGTTTACCAATGAAAACATCGAATCGTAAACTTAAATGCACTGTATTGGCCGAAGGTTTACGGAAGGCAGGTGTTCGAAAATATTCCTGGAAGACAGTCTGCGATATCAGTGGAGTACTGTCGTGCGGTGTGTTTTGTATGTGTGGTTGGTTTAATTTAAATTTCTTTTAATAAATATAAATATGGCGTTATTTAGACCATGGGCTTTATTTTTTTAAATACTGTTAGATTCGTGCAATATTCAAGACGCCGCCACTGCCTAAGCGATACTTGGATATTGGATACACACACATACGCACTCGAGGAGTAGAAGACGGAAAAATCAAAAAGACACTTATGATTGACGTGGGTTCCTATGTACACGTTTGACGCTCTCTAAATTTTAATTAATAATTATTATTAATAATTTTCTTGGCATTAATACATTTTATAAGAAGTGATTAAGTGTTTAATTTGGTGAATGTTTATATTTGAATAAAAGACGTATTATTTTATTAAGAAAATCCAGTGGCTTGAATAAAATATAAACTAATAATTATTAAAACAAAAACGATCATTTAAATCTTAAAATACATTTTAATTATTATAGTACTAATAACCTTGGTTTTATATTTTTTTGATGACATTACTTTGTGGTCATAGGAAAAATATTGTACATCACTTGTGTGAAAAGTGATTTTCCACACTCGTGTGATAGTCGCACTCGGCCTGCGCCTCGTGCGACAATATTTCCCACTCGTGTGAAAAATGTCACTTTCCACACTCGTAATGTAATATACTATTGTTGTACTTTTTTTCACTAGTGCGTAAAGTGAAAAAAAGTAACTTTTATATTTCTAATATTAGTGAATAATGTGTACGGTAGTAGAAAAAATATTGTATGCAACTCGTCAGTAAAGAGTAACTTTACACACTTGTTGCATAAAAAATAACTATTCATAACAAAAAAATAAAGTAAAAAAAAATATTTTCTACTCACTTTCATATGCTTCTTCGGGAGTAACGCAAATGTCCATATAAACCTGCTCCAAGGTCCCCACCAGTTCAATATTGTTAGCGTACAGATTCATCAAAGGCCTCATCATTCTGGCGGGCCCCGTAAACAGAAACAGACCCGGATATTGGGCGACGGTTTTTTTTATCGGTACCAAAGCGATTTCGAGAGTCTCGGGAATCAGTTTGCCTTTGATTTTGAATAAGCGTAGTTTTTGGACAATACGGGCTATGTCGCTCGCCGATATGAAACCTATAATTCTTCCGTCTAGTTGGACGGAGTAACTGGTTTTTAGATCGATGGTGTCTGCGTATTTCAGGGGTTTCATGCCCAGCTCCGTCAGGACTACAGGAATGTTTCTAGAAAAATACAAATCTGTTTTATATAAAAATAAGACATTTTGTAACTGGTTTCATAAATAGCTTGATATAAAAAAACCAATAAATTGTAACTAGCTTCTGGCCTTGGGTCCCTTCATTACTTACTTTCCTCGTTTTTTATTTAAAAAAATTAAGTACCATTTGAAAGTACATCGTATACAATAGATTGCCATTTTTTGTTTGTTTTGCAAATGAAAGTAGAATACACGGCACTTGAGCTAGACACAGGATTCAATAGTCAACTCGGCTAAGACAGCCAGACCACGACGGATTTCAAGCTGAGGGTTCAAAAGTTGGTCGGTAATACAGAGTGTAAAGTTAGCTACTTTCTGCGCCTCCTAAGCAAGCTTCGCAACTCGGATAAGGTCGGTAATACTTAATTTACCGATAGGTATGAAGTTAGCTATTGTCTACGACTCTTATTCAACTAAGAGGATTCAATGCTGAGGGATCAAAGGTTACCTATTTACAGCTAGATGGATTCTAACATTCAACAACGCAACAACTCGCCATTTTGATATTTTATAAATTTTAATTCAATCTCTATAATTTTATGAACACTATTAATTATTAAATTTAAAAAAGCTGGACCGGGGGATTGAACCAACACCCAGAGGAATCATTAGATAACGCACATCGCCTTAACTATTACTCTAAGAAGGAGGTTCTTCTCAATTCGTCAGAATATTTATGTATGTTTAGCGATACTTCTTTACCACGTTGTCCGGACCTATGACACTTTTAATGTTAGAAAGGGGGTACTTCCGAGATGATGGGATCCATGACAAAATCATCAAAATCCTTTTTTTTTTCTGCAGTCTGTTTTTTTAAATTACTTTTATTCTCTTCATGATAATATTGGGCTGCCTAAGAAAGACTTGACCCTATACTTACAGTTACTGGGTTGCCGAGATTTGAAAGATCCGTTTTTGATGCTTGACGGAGGGGTGCACAAAGCGGCAGCTACTTGGTGAGAGAGAGAGAGAGAGAGAGAGAGAACTTAAGTGTTCCATTCTTTATGCACTACGAATCCACGTTGCTCCGTTCTCGAAAACCTCGTTTCCAGTAAAAGAAGTATTAAATGGACATTTAGACACGAGTGACCCTTTTGACATAGACATCGACAAAATGTTATTAAACAATTATGTAGAACAACACCGAGAGAAACCCAAAGAAATTAATGAAGATATATACGACAACAAGAAAGCCAACATAGGTAAAAGAAACGAAACAAGACACACACCTATTACTTACAAGCCAAACTCCAAAATCTACTCAAGGAGGACCCTTAAACGAAACAAACTCATTCCTAGATTTGTTCCGAAAGTGATCCAGAACTCTGTGACAGTTGAGACACCTACAATTTCAGTTCATAAGAAGAATATCAAGTACCAGAAAACTAAAGTAAAATCCCACAGCCAACGAACACCCACTGCTCCATCACACAAATCTCTCCAAGGAACATTCCCAATCCAGTTACCACTCCTAGGAATATACAAGAACCAACAAAAGATTCCATAACAAAACAAGTTCTCGCAGTAAAAGTGATTTAACGGATTCTATTAGCCTCGTTAGCCTCAGTATTGCATTCGTGCCGACGAAAACATTTTCTTACCCCTACTTTTTGACACTTCTCTACGTTTCCGTTCATTCTAAATCCAAAAATGTATGCTGGTACGATAACTCTAGAACGAAAGCTCCGATCAACTTACGTTTTTTATTTTCTTGGATAATTTTTTCAGACTTTTCGGTTTAACCTAACTACTTCAAATATCAATGTTTTTAAAATCCAATTTCTTGGTTCTTTTTTTTAAATAGTTTGCAGTTCCTAGCAAAAGTGGTTTAATGTTTAAATGGATACAATCTTGAAAATAATAGAAATCAAATATTAATGAATACTTCTAACCTCAATTTTTAGCCACTGTCTTTGGAACGCAAATTACGTCATCACTAATATAGCTTATTAGGACCAAAAAAGTAAAGGAACCAAATATTATTTTTGCATGGACAGGTTAAAGAACACAAATATGTTATACAGGCAAGCCTATTAAGGGGTAAAGGGCCAAAAATTCTTGCATGGGAAGGTGTACAGTATATTTGGAGATTTAACTATCGAAAAATAGACTGGGCGACTCTAACACTGACTGAAAGCAACATAGAAGCGAGTGATTTTATTAAATCATACCAGTCTTGTTTCAAACAACAAATTTCCCTACTAGAGTGCGCAACGGTCAGGAATCTACGCTCTACTTACTATTATTCAATGATAAAAGCTAATAACATCCACTGACTCTGAATCAACTATTCGTTTAAGTGATCATGTAGTCATTAAGGCAATCATACAACTTAATAACCAAACTGGATCCACATACAGTGCTAAAAAGAGAAACTTCTGAAAAGCAGATTATACATTAATCAATAGTAAGATAGCTCAACATAGTGCATATTTGCAAAATGCTGCTAATAATTCTTACGAAACTTTAACAAAAAACTGCACAAAGTAATAAACCCTAAAAAACCCTGGATCAATCAAACCCACTTCAAAGAAATTAATAAAAAACGAAACCTATGGCATAGGTACAGATCAACAAGAGCCAAGGAAGATTATGCTGCATACAGAAATAAACAATAAACTTAAAAATTTATTGGCTGTATCTAGAAAAGAATATGAACATAACCTGTTAAAAAGTGGTGAAAAGAATACTGAACACAAATAGCACTCAGATGATGCTAAGACACTCCTTTTTTCAAACAAATTGTCCTTGTGACTTTTCAAAGCTTAAAATGTCCATTGTTACAGCACATGTCCTTTAAAAGGACCAGGTTTTTATAAAAATATAAGCCAAGGATCTTTAATGTTTGTTCGGCAAAAGAAGAGGTTTGAATAACTGATGAGGACTTTTTTGGCGTGGCAGAAGGAGAAGGGGTTTATTAAAATAACTGATGAGTATCCCTATCGTCACCGTTATCCTTTATTCACTTTTTCAAAAAGGTGGCAACCCTAGCCGAGATAGCAAAAATATTTGCAGAACAGTTCAGTGCAACTTATTCAACAGAAAGACTTGAGAATAGCATAGTAAAATTTGCAAGAGAGTCTTAAACAAGATTCAAGTCCTGGAATAGATGAAATCCCACCCATTTTTCTTCAAAAATGTTCTAATAGTCTTCTTAATCTCCTCGCGACAGTTATGAGTCACTCCTATATATAAGAAAGGAGACAAAAACAATCCAACAAACTACCGTCCAGTCAGTCTTACAAGCTGTATCGGTAAAGCAATGGAGATGATAATTACAAAAGAAGTAACCGAGTTTATGATGGAACACAGAATTTTACCAAGCAATCAGCGTGGATTTACGCCCAAAAGATCTGTTGTTACAAATCTTCTAAGTGCAGTTAACTTGTGGACAGATAGACAGTTGTCAAATAACCATCCAACAGACAGTGGAGTACCATAAGGTTCGGTCTTGGGTCCCCTATTATTTATTTTATACACCAAAGATTTACGCAAAATCATCGAGTCCGAAGCCAACTTTTATGCAGACGGCGGAAAGATCTTGTGGCGGTTAGAGGGTTGAAAAGAATATTCGATGGCTCAAACAGATTCGCCTGTTTATCTGTAGAAGAATCGGGAATCGGCCGTTCAGGGTGTCCATACACTCACAATTCTCTAGCGATATATCTAGTACTAAAGATTATAAGCGACTGCTTGCTGGGCACTGTGTACCTCGTACACGATACAGAGCCGGCTTGAGCATTTATACGCGACAAAGGATTATACTAATTAATAATTGTATTATTGCCGCAACGTATCTACTATAAGCCAATGGAAAGCTCTCACAAAATGAAACAAGACAACTCCAGTCGAAACACAAAAGGATCTTGGTATAATCATATCTAAATATTTAAAAAGGGAAAACCAAATTGTTAATATAGTGAAGATAATCAACAGTCTCATTTTCCTTATCAAAAGAGCTTTTAAAGACCATTCCAAAAAAATGATCCTCGAACTGTGCAGAACTTACATACAACCAAAGATAGAATTTGCACAGACCGTATGGGATCCATACTTTGTTAAAGACGTTGAACTGCTGGAAAGAATATAAAGGAGAGTCACCAAAACACCACCAACCCTACAAAACAATGCTAACCAAACTACAACTTTCAAGTTTAAAGGATAGAAGAACTAGATGAGACTTGATAGAAACTTACAATTACTTCTGTGATAACATCTTCCAGGCCAGCACATCAAGAACCTTAAGAGGTCACTTGAAAGAAATTAGATAAAGAAAAGTGTAATAAATTGCAAAGAAAAATATTCATTACCAATATAACTGTATATCTGTGGAATGGTCTCCAGGAACATATGGTCTCAGTCCAAAACATAAACCAGTTCAAGGCGAGAGTGGATAAAGAACTCGAAGAAGTAAGAAATAATGTTATTCATTATAGTATATTAAGTTTTAACTGTCATCTAGTTGTTTAGAATATTTGTCATTAGCTAAAAGAGCAGCTTCATTGACTATGTTTACCTAGACTTAAGGGTCCATAGATTTTTATAAGGGTAAGCCTAAAGCTACCATTTCGCAAGCAGATGCAGAGACCGACTTCAAAACGCGCCGCGACAGCAAGGGATACACTAAACGGTCTCTTCACGTCTGAACACATGTAATTATATGAAACATATTTCGGTAGAAGCGACCGACGACATCAGATTTAGTATGGCAATATTTGCCGCCTTACTTCTGTTTCGGTCTCGCGTCGCTTGTCGCACGTTGCCAAATGGTACCTTAAGGGGTAATAGATTCAAATGTTTTTACAAAGACAGGCTTAAGGGGTAAATTGCCCAAATATTTTTACATAGTCAGGTGTAAGTGGCAAAGGAACAAAATATTTTTAAATCGGCAGGCCCAAATACAATTTAGTATTTATTTTGTATGCTATTATTCTACCTATTATTGTATTCTTTTTAAATGGGATTACCCGTGAATAAATAAATAAAAATATATAATAATTTTATATGGGATTAATGGGACTAAATACTAAGGGGCCCAAATATTTTTTTACGTAAAGGGTTCAAACAATTTGTAAACCCTAGGGCGATATGGAATGATCCTTAAAAATCAGGGCTAGCAATGTGAAGATGTTCTACTTGATTTAGCTTAACTACAGCCGATGCTGCACAAATTTGAAAATACTTCTCGTCTTTCGGTCTTACGTTCTAAATCAAATTGTTTCTCGTACGTTTTATGCAACAAGTTTATCCGTAGGGGCCTCAGTCTCAATAAGGTGGGAACCACCTATTTAGTGTCTCTAGAATTATTAATTTCCACGAGGAAACATCAAAAAAATGCTGTTTAAAGTTATTATTTCGATAAGAATTTTTTTTATGTAAGGTGAATGAATTATATTTTATTTTGTCAACAATTTTCAATTTTATTGCAAAAAATCAAAATCTGAAACCACTGAAAAATGAACTTTTTGTTAGAATTGTATTTTTTTTTTTATAAATTTAACTTACAATATAATATAAATGTTATTTACTTAAATATACAAAAGAATATTAAGATATCTAGGAATTACTTTCAACTAAATTTTTCGTTTTCATTATGAATGGGACACAGAATAACTGAATATTTTTCGATTAAAAATAAGACGATTAAATAAAACATGCTTAGATAAAATATTACTAGTTTCCGAAAAGTTGTAAATTCAAAAATTATTAATGGCTAGGATTTTTTTTTATCCCGTTTAAAAGATATATACCAACAGCTAAATTTATTTACAAAATAAAGCAATTTTGAATAATCAGAAGAATTCTCTACAGAAAATTCCGTAATACAATTAGTAATCGGGGTTATTATCGTCTACAGGTTCTTTACAAACTCTCGTGTCCTTGTCTGATGGAGTCACGCACTCGTCCCTTCTCTGTCGCACACCAAATACGGGTTTTTCAAAACCCGGCAACCTTGCCTGCCTCGGAATAACGGGGGCAATGAAAACAACCCCCACTGCTGCAATGGAAGCACTAATAGGACTCCCACCTCTTCACTATGTGATACAAGGGGAGGCAAGATTAGGTGCTTACAGATTAGGGAATACACTGGGAAATTTTGACATTAGGCCAGGTCACATGAGTATCTCAAGGTTAGTGACAGGAGACGTGCTAGACATGAGATCAGACCACATAACCAAGAGGTACTCTTTTAATACTCCCTTTGAGGTTTTAATACAGGAAAGAGCGGAGATCACCATAAGGGAGCCCAATGCCCAACGACAGGAACAAACCTGGTATACAGACGGGTCTAAGACTGCGGAAGGCACTGTGGCGGGAGTATTCTCCAAAAACCCTGATACTAACCATAGCTATGCTATGCTATTCCTCGGTATTTCAGGCCGAGGTATACGAAATTTTGCAATGTGCAAAAACGAATAATGAAAGAGCTGTCGAAAATCGGCATATTCAAATAATGTCAGACAGCCAAGCGGCACTTAAGGCCATATCGAGTCAGAAAGTTACGTCGAGGCTGGTATGGGAATGCATCGAAGAACTAAGAACACTGGCAGACCGAAATAGAGTAAAACTAATTTGGGTGTCAGGTCACAAAGGGATCGAAGGCAACGAAAAGGCTGACGAACTTGCAAAAAGAGGGTCAGAAGAAACACCGGAACCAGACACAAACCCAGGAGTACCAAAAAGTACAGTCCGGGGTTTTATAAATGACTGGATTCGGGAACAACATATCAACTATTGGGGAAGCACCCCAAAACAGGCACATGGAAAAGCCTTCAGGCAGACCATGTCCCAAAAGAACTGGAGAACTACTCTTAATGAATAGGAACCAGTTGAAAGTGATAACAGGGTTCATGACTGGGCACGCCCCAGTAAAGGGACACTTGAACAAAATTGGCATGTACAATGGGGAACTCATGTGCCAACTATGTCACAAGAAACCAGAAACGGCCAAGCACATACTGTGCGAATGCGAAGCTCTAGATCGCAAAAGACAGGCTCTTTTTGGACAACCCCAGGTTGATCCAACAACGTATAGAACCCACTCACCCAAGGATCTGTACAAATTTGTACAAGGTACAAAGGTGATAGAGTGGGTGCTATGAACTAACATGGGGTAAAACACAATAAGCCAATAGGCTTCAGTGTTATTCGGAGACACATAGTCAGACGAGCCCAGGAAAAAAAAAAAAAACCCGGCAACCATAAGAGGGACACATTTTTCATTAGGCAACCCAATACCATCGTATAGAGAATAAAATTACCTTTAATTTAAGCTATGATTCATTTGAATAACGTTGTTATATTTACCGTCTGTAGACGTACTTTGTCTATTGGTTATTGTTGTTTTAAATTAAACACCACTTTTTTACTATTATTTATTCAACGGAACAAAAATGTTAACCCGCTTGGTTACGCCATGATTGTATCTATGTCGAGGCTAGATCTCGAATGACTACCATCGATAAAGATCGTTTACCAATATTAAGTTGGAAGGTACCAAAATAAAAGAACAGTTATATGTTCCTTGGACCATTCGGTTACGCAACAAACGTGAACTCAAATTTTTTAAGCTGGAAACTTGGTAAATAAGATCAAACAAAAAATTGGCATCCTATATTTCTTTAGCTCGATGTTCTTTCAAATGGTACTTCATATATTTAAATAACAAATGAAGGAAGTAATAAACGGTCAAGATATTGATAGACAACCTATTTATCGATTTTTATCTTTTATGTTAACTACGTCATGTTTAATGAAAATAAAAGATGGGGTAGAACTTTCTAATGGACGATCTTGTACTATTCCTGGTTGTTAAATACTAATAATACTAAGATGTACTAGATAAGAGAGAGAGAGAGAGAGAGAGAGAGAGAATAACTTTTTACACTTACTTCACTTTTTCAGCATCGGGCACGTCAGTAACTACACAATCTAGAGCAAGATGATTCAATAGACCACAAGGAGAGCCGTCGGGCGTATGTACAGGACAAATAAAGCCCCAAGCGTCCGGTAATAATTGTCTAGCTTCCGTGGTTCTCATTTCTTGAAAAAACGCTCCTCTGTGTACGGCCCTAAAATGCGACATGTATCGCATTCTGTTGATGTTCTCGGCCATTATCACCAAACCTGAAGAAAAAGAAACGTACAATAAATTCAAGAATTAGTAGAACTGATTGTAATATGGTACCTTTATCTTGCATGAGTCCCAATCCTGACACGCTATTGACATTTCCAGTAGCCAAAAAATTGGACAAAGCGTGTTCCAGACCGCCACTACTTCTGGCCGCCTTTAAAATTTCCGTTTGGGTGAGGTTAAAGTTGTTAGCCTTCGCCAGTTTTAGGATGTTGATTTTTAGAACGTTCAGCCACGAGTAGAGTTTTTCTTTAACGATTTGTAAATAGAGATGGCCACCTATTAAAATTTAAAACCAAACCTCAATATCAGGCCTATAGAATGGTTCTATCATATTTTGAAAAGTTTGTAGAAAATTTTGGATTTATTATTTATAAATAATACACATAATAATGGGCCCAAGTTTGATTCTTGCGGCATCCCCGATAAATACAAATATTTTTGAGATTTATATTCTTATATGAAACAAACTGCTTTCCATTCATTAAATAAGATTTTATAAATTCGACAATGTCCTCCAAAAACCCAAATAACTTTAATTTATCAAGTCAAAAGCCTTTGAAAAGATATGTGAAAGCATGTGACCGAAAAAAAAAAATGGAAACTTATTATAATGTAGAGTATGTAGAGAAATGAATAAGAGGGAGGCGTCTGAAGAATAAAGTGATAAAACCAAAAATCTCGTCTTCAAGGTAAAAAGGTAAAAATATGTATTAAAAAAATGTAGTGTATATTTTATAGATTTCCTAATCTAAAGTATAATAATATCTGTAAAAAAAATTACCTAGTAATAATTCTTGAACCATAACTGCATCGGCACCCTCCAATTTGCATTTATCTTGAGCGAAAACGAATAATTTTTGAGTCATGAAGACCAACATGTTGAATTTGTCTTCGTTATTATCCAAATGGATTAAAATGCATTTCTTTAGAATAAAATTTGCTATTTCCATGTCCGTGTACCATTCGGGACACTCGTAAAATTTTACCCTAAACATTCTGCCTAAATAGATTTTGCAATCGTCGGTAGTATGGAGGTTTTCCTGATGGACCGCCCTCAACATGTTTTGTACACAACTAAAAATAAAAACACCAATAAATAAATAGGATTGGACAACTATCAGTTGTGGCTCAAGGATCTCTCTTAGGCCCTTTTCTTTCAACTTCACACTGGCCACCGAGTCTGGATCTTTTAAAATAGACAAACATTGATAATGCACAAACATATTTATTTATTTCTGTACTACATTGCAAAAAAATACACAAGTTAATTAGTACAATATTAAAATATTAAAATTAACAATTTACTTTTGCAGACCTGTATCACACAGCTTTACTGAGACATTCCACAATTATTCTTTACCTTATCACTGTTTTGTAGGCATATTTAAACCTTATTTTTTAAATATTTGTATGTTGCTTGTAATTTTAGTTCTTTAAGCAAATATTTATAGATAGTAATACACTTTTACAAAGGAAACCTTCTGAAAGTTGTTGTCTGATAGTTATGTAGTTTTAGGATGTCATCCCTTATGTGATGAGAATGAATGTGAGATTGGTGAATTCAGAAAAGTGACATTAAAATATGAGCTGCCAATTTAGACCTTGTAGTCATTTAAAAAGTTAAATAACTAGTAATTACAATATAATTGTTGGAATTAAAGTAAACATTTTAAGAATAGTCAGTTATTAAATATATTATGATGTATAATAAAGTTATGTAATTTTTAATATTAAATATTATACTCACTCAACATAGTATGTATCATCCTCGCAACTTTGAATCAATTTCTGATATATGTACTGGTCGCTAAAGTTGCATAAACATTTCAAAATTAAACATAAAGGAGCATAGTACAACGTCTTTTGATAACTGAACATAAGTTTGGCTGAACCGTCTGTCACAAAATGTAGAACATTATTCTGAAAAATAAATAATATAATAATAAAAGTAATAAACTATATTCAGCAATTAATACAGGTATTTTCTAATCAAAATAACCAATTTAGAAAAATTAAAATTTGAGAATAAATATTGACAGAAGTAGTAAGAAATTATGATAATAGAGAAGGGAAACTTGGAAAAATGTGATGGCAAAGGGTACTAGAAAAAAATAGAAGCTAAAAGTCTTTGTAACGAAAAAAATTTAGTAAATAAGAAGACCCTAGTCCTAAACCCCAGATCTAGATCTAGACTATAGAGAAGAAGGTATAAGAAAAACATATTATTTTCTAAATATTTATACACTTACTGTAGCAGTCTGATCACTTCTCACACATCGTATGGATATACCAGAATCTGAAAATAACGTCCCTCTTTGCTTCCAACCCGATCGTCTAATAGCTATAGGGTAATTTCTTCTGGTCATTAGTAACATTCTCACTAATTTTTCGTTACCTTTGATGATGAAATAACCACCCCATTCCTGTTCGTGTTCGCCATGGTCTACTAATTGTTTTGGTTTGAGTTTGTGTAAATTACAGCGGTCAGACTGAAAATGTAAATTTAAGGGGTTCTTATTTATGAATACATTAATAAGGTTTATTGCACATTTAAAAAGAAAAAAAAAAAACTAAATCTTGACAGTGTCTTTTCCACCTCTATACTTTCGTTACGAGATACGAATGATACCTTGCTCTAAAATTATGACTGTAAGGGTACTATACGATAATTACAAGCGCATTCCACCAGGAGGCAGCAATTAACGTGGCTGACTAACTTTGACCAATTATAAAAAAATCTGATGTGTCCAACACATGACTTTCCTACCTAGTTATTATAGGCTTTTTCCGGTTATTTTGTACAACCTATTGCAGCATCTCTATAAATGTTTAGAGGATAAACTAAATATATACATTGTCCACGTACATCTACCTCGAAACATTTTTCTATAGATATTCATGGAAAACGAAAATACTGAAAAATTAAAATTTCCTACATTTTTTTCATTACGGTCCATTTTAAAAAAATCATGTATAAACAAAAATTATAGAGATCGATATCGCAAACAACTTTTATTTCAAAAACTTTCATAAAAATCAGAATTTTGCACATTTTGTCAAATTTCTCGAATACGGACCATTTCAGGAAATTTTTACATAAAACAAAAATTATAGATAATAATATTAGAAATAACTTTTATTTGAACAATTTTTTTTCTCCAAACATTAATAACAGATATATTCCATAAAATATAAAAGTGGCCTCCCATAAAGTACCCCCCCAGATGTTCCGACTATGTCCAAAATCTAATCATTTCACGTCAGGCCGAAATAAAACTTAAGTTTAAAATTTAATGTTTTTTTTATCCGTTTTTGAGTTTTCTTCAAAATTAAAATTTCCTACATTTTTTTCATTGCGGTCCATTTTAGAAAAATCATGTATAAACAAAAATTATAGAGATCGATATCGCAAACAACTTTTATTTCAAAAACTTTCATAAAAATCAGAATTTTGCACATTTTGTCAAATTTCTCGAATACGGACCATTTCAGGAAATTTTTACATAAAACAAAAATTATAGATAATAATATTAGAAATAACTTTTATTTGAACAATTTTTTTTCTCCAAACATTAATAACAGATATATTCCATAAAATATAAAAACGGCCTTCTATAAAGTACCCCCCCAGATGTTCCGACTTTGTCCAAAATCTAATCATTTCACGTCAGGCCGAAATAAAACTTAAGTTTAAAATTTAATGTTTTTTTTTATCCGTTTTTGAGTTTTCTTCAAAATTCGAAATTTACACATTTTCTCAAATATCTCGAATACGGTCCATTTTAGAGAAATTATGTATAGGATAAAAATTATAGAGTATTATATTACAAACAACTTTTATTTGAACAATTTTTATAAAAAAATATTTTTTTTACATTTTGTCAAATTTCTCGAATACGGACCATTTTAGGAAAATTTTGTATAGAATAAAAATTATAGATAATAATATTAGAAGTAACTTTTATTTAAAGAATTTTCTTCTCCAAACGTAAATAACAGATATATTCCATAAAATATAAAAATGAACACCTATAAGTACCCCCCCAGATGTTCCGACTCTGCCCAAAATCTAATCAGCTCATTGGACGCTGAAACAAAGCTTAAGTTTAAAATTTGGTGTTTTTCTGTGTATCGGTTCATGAGTTATGCGTTATACAGACACACACACACACAGACATCATCGCGAAAATAGTCAAAACGGATTCAGGGGACCTCAAAACGTAAAAATCCGTCGAAAACTCGAGGTCGAAAAAAATCATGATTCCTATACTTTCCTTATATCTGTATACAGATAGGAAAGTAAAAATCATTAAGAGTTCAAATTTGGGAAGTATATCAAAAATATTGCTATTGAGGATTCATATATTTTAGATCTCCTTTTAGAGCTCTCTAGAACCTGCCTTTCCCAACATTCAAAATAAATTTAAGCATGTGACAACTGTTTAGGATTTTGGGAAAAATATTCTGATTGACTGCTAATATGCATCCATTTGACGGTTAAATACCGTCAAAAATATGAAATGTTAATAATAAAATATTAATAATAGTGTTAAAACAATATGGATCCCAGTAAAGATAAATCATTTATACTAAAATGGAAGTACCCTACAAGTTATATCCTAGCATTATTATCTTGGACTACAGGACTGAGCAATATATTCCATAATCCCAAGCTATTACTCGAAATAGGTCTTTTCAATTACCTCTTGGTGCAGAGTCTGATAATAGTCATTATAGGAATACCAATGACCCTTATAGAATTAGCAATCAGTCAATATTCCCTGAAATCTGTGGTGAAATGTTGGGATTTTTGCCCGTTTTTTAGAGGTATAGGATATGGGAAAATCATTTTGATTATAATTTTTCAAGTTTACTATAACGTCTTAAATAGCTACATTCTTTTTTACTGCTATAGTTCCATACAGGATTATAATTTATTTTGCAACTCTGATAAATCAAATCATACTTGTGTACTGAAGAATGATAATTCTGTGGAAAATGTTAAATACACAACAAACTCAGAAACATTTTGGTATGCAGAAGTACTCCAAACAGAAGACAATCTAAATATATTAGGTACCAGTTTGTTTCATACACTTATCATATAACAGCTTTTAAAACACTGTACCTATTCTCTTTATCTTTAGATGCTATTTCTGCTTTTTTAAGGCATTATCTTTTGCAATAATTAATTTTTTTAGGTCAACCAAATTGGAAACTTATGGTAAGCCTTTGTGGCCATATGCTTTTAATCTTCATATTTAACTTAAAACGAACTGACTTTCTAGAAGCTCTGTTACCTTTAAGTTACAACATTTCAATACTAGAATTTGCAATATTATTCTGCATAGCAAATGCTACATCTGGAGGCCTGGAAGGCATTAAATATGCCATTTTTAGGAACGTGGATTTAAATAGTATTTTTGTCTGGAAAAAAGAAGAAATAATTCTACAAGTTTTTCAAAATCATTTGTATTCGATGGGACTAGCTCTTGGTACAAATACTATTCAATTTGAACACCAGTTGATTATGAAATCGAATATTCTAATGTTTCAGGTGGTTTTTCGAATATAGCAGCACTGGGTGCTTTTAGAAAACCAGTTTTTGCAATGGCTGTTTGGGCAAACTTAGCAAATTTGGGAAATACTTTTTTATACAGCATTCTCTTAATAAATTTCTATGGGATTCTTCAATTTAATACGAAAACCAAAATAGAAAGTTTTATAAAATATAATAATTTCAAATATGAATTTGATTATATTTTTACTGTCATACCAAATGCTTTACAGTATTTACCTGGCTCAACAAAAGCATGGATGGTTATTTTTTATTCAAGCTTGTATTTGAAAGGTAATAGGATACATGTAATTACTTTTTTCTCATTTAAGATAGTAATTTTGTAGGTTTAAGCACATCATCTTTAATGACTTCTACAGTTCTAAATGTAATATATGAAGAAAACCCCAAGCAACTCAAACATTCAAAATTTTGGTCCATACTCTTTTGTATCCTTATTACCCTATTAGGATGTCTATTCCATACAAGATTTGGATTAAAAGCTGGGCAATTCATTGGCAAAATTACTCTCGAAGTCCTATTACCATTAATTTTATCATTAAAAGTAATAACTGTAATGTTTATTTATGGTTTACTCAGATTTATGAAGGATCTACACTTCATGTTAGGAACATATCCCACAACTTATTGGCCATTGAGCCTCATATTCTCAACTATTATAACACCTATACTGACATCAATAAGCTTAGTTACTTATTTCAAATATACACCCATGGATGAATTTGATATAATATTGTTAAAAGCTATTTTAAGCCTTGTTTTGGTTTGGATTCCTTTCATGGGCATGGTCAGAATAATAAGAAAGGTAAAACTAAAGTTAATCTTCAGAAGTGCTAGAAACTGGGGACCTGCAAATGGACTGAAAATCAGCAGGAAAATGTTTGAAGAACAGCATTCCGTTGAAGAGTTTTTGTATGAAAAGTATTTGTTAGAAAGTAAATTAGAAAAATATGAGTAGTTTGTGATAGTTATAATATATGTGTAATATGTTGAAATATGTGTACAATAGTAGAGACTAATTTGTCATGTACACAATCAATGTAGGATATTTTCAGTAAAAATAATAAATATACTGTTTTTTATTGAGTTTAGAGCTAAACTTAACATGACTAAAGTTAATAAGGACTTCTCCATGACATTTAAAAATACTTTTACTTTTCTTACCTTAACCATAATAGGTATTTCCCCTAAATCTTTAGTAAACGATTGTTGTTGAACACCATCAACATACCACCCTACGTCAACAAAAAATTTTCCCTTGTATGTATCGGCGCTTTGTCTACAAGTTGTCGGATAAATAGTCTTATTTGAAACTAAAACCATTTCCTGAGACACCTCTGGTTTGTGAAAAGAATAGTCAGTAATACAAAGTTTAATTTTTCTATCGTTTAAAGTAAATTCTACGGAATTCAGGTCTTTGATGGCTTCGGTCAGACCTTGATTTACCATGTAGTTGAAGCTAGTAATGTGTGGTTCTCCCATTTTTTGTAAAATCTGGAAAATATTAGTGTTTTCAAATTAGACATAACCACAAAAACGCACGTGGGCTGGCAAATTACTGCAAAATAAACACTATTCTGCATTGAAAATATAGAAAATTATTACCTCATTCTGATTTTCAGGCGGTTTTCCAAAATCTACATTGGTTAAATATTTTAAAGTAGGAGTTTCCATTTCCATAATATTTTCTTTTGAAAGTTAACCTCAAAAGTAATGTCAAAGTCAATTCAGTCAGCTGCAGAATGAACCAAGTAACGAAATAGAGATGGCGATACATACCCCAGTATATATACCAATGAGATTTTCTTGAATTTTTTGTAGAAACTTAGACATAACTAATAATTAATTACTTTAAATAGTTTTTATTTATAGCTATATACGATATTACTATTTCACTACGAGAAGCAAATCAAATAAAGCTGAAAATTCAAACAGGGTCAGTCACAGATATATAACACATAATATAGACAACCATATATACACAGATGTGTTTAATTGGTTGCGTTATATGAAATAAAAATTATTCAAATTTTGTTTATAGGGGTAGGAGGGTATTCCTAGACGTACTACACCCTCAATTCCAACAATTATTGTGAGATACCTAACTTATACCTAACTCAAACACTTTTTGTCCTTTTTAAATTAGGTAGACAAGTTTTTTAAATAGGTTAATGTTGTTCCTTAAAAGTATTTATTATTGAGAACTTCAACTCTGCATTGGTAGGCATTATTGTATAAATAGAATAAATAGGTATATTTATACAATGTAGATATGCATGCACTGCACTCTGTTGTATAATTTTAATTTTAGATTTAAAAATAATTAGTTATAATAATTAAATAATTAAAAATACCACTCTTGGAGCAACTGATTGAGAAATATTATTAAGCGTCATAACCAATGTTTATTTATACTTTTTATATTTATAGGTACCTTTAATAATGCATACTTGAAGGTACCAAGGTAGAATCTACTCTTTGGCATAATCTAAATAAATATATCTTAACGTTAGATAGAAGGTGCGAGGTTGGTTGATGCGAGTTTTGAAACTTTGATTTTTGAAGATTTTGGAAAAGCTTCTACAGAAAGAAAGTTACACATTTTAGATAGGTAATAAATTTATTTTGGGTGTGTACCAGAGGGTAATTCATCCATTTCCATTTTAAAACAACATCAGATAAAGAAAGTAAATTAATGTACACCTATGTACTTAGAAAAGAAGAGGCCTAATTTAAGTACACTTACTAGGTATTTTTATTCAAAACTGCACAATGTTGCTAGTCTTCCACTTACAAAAAATAATAAAAATATTTAAAGAACATTATACCTACATACTATATATTCATAAAAATAATATTTTTTTCAAAATACCTGCAAATACGGTAAATACTTATTTTTTTGGTTTTTAGAAACAAATCCTAAAAATACTGATGTATGATGTCTGGTTCTGGGGAAGTGTGCCTAAACCGGCCCTGGTTTCCTGTCGAAAAAACGAATTATATGAACCGTAGTAATCTATGAACCCTTTAAAATACAAAATTCTTTAAAAATAGTGAAAGTTGCATTCGATTTTAAATTTTCCTGCGTCATTTTTTGATGAGCCAATGAAAACGTGGAAATTCCGATCTCGGCATAAAGCATTATCCAATTTTTAATTCCAACAATCGACGTAGACATATTTTACTTGGCTCGCGTGACGTAAGCGATCACATTCGAATCATCAGCGATGTTAGATGTTGCCAAAGTTAAACAATTTAGTTAGAAATATTTTATAAAATGACATTCAATTCATAACTTTGTTTTATAATAGCTGTGCATAACAGTTTATTTTTAGTATGTAAAATTTAAGCTACCCGCCCATGTCTTAAAGTTTTGACATTTTTAATAATTTTGACATTTTTGTCATATTAAGTTAATCATTGCTATTGAGAGTATAGAAAGCTTTATTACTTATATTTTTTGGAATTCAAAATACTCGTACATGTGCGTGTCTTGACCTCTGTAAGTAGAAATACCTATATTGTTAACTAAATGTAACATCATTTTTAATAGATATACTTATATGAACACCCAGCAAACCATTTTCTTTTATTAAATATAAAAGTTATAAAAAAATATAATGATATTGATCTAAATGTTCCATTTTTATTGTGCTTCAAAGATATAATAACATGATATCGTAAGCAAATTAATAGAGAGTAGGTATCATTCGAAAAAATTGAATTTGAAATTGAATCTTAAATTAATAAAAGCGGTTCATGTTTCTAAATTGTCGTTTTAACCCCTGGATCTCAAAATATCCAATCCTTCGTCAGGCCATCTTACATACTCAGTGACTGGCCTAAGTTGAGTAAGTTTCCGTCCCAGACCATATGTTTGGATAAACACGAGATATATTGGCACTAATATGGCAAGGTTTTTCTTTACTTTTAAACCACTTACCAAACTATTTCTAAATGCAATACTCATCTACAACAATAATATATACAAAATTAAAAGCGAAGATCCTTCGTCTTGCCCTTCCTTGTTCAACCAAGGGAGGCCTTGGGCTGGTGTTCGGCTTGCATCATAGAGAAAGGATAATTATAGCCTGCATCATGCCATCCGTGTTTGTCATTCAAGAAAGTAACGAGTCGACTCCTTACCAAACTGGTATTATTAGACTATTTTTTGTGTTTTTATGCAAAGAGCAGCAGTAAGGCAGGGTTTTCTCCGTGTCGTGTCTGGTGCTATCGCCGACGCTTTGTTCGGGCAGTGCAATATGTTAAGAGTGAACGTGTGAATATTAACTTGTGCAAACAAAATTAAAGAGTTTTGGTCTATTTTATCTTATGTATATATAATTTTTTAATGTTTATTGATCGCTGTCTCTTGAAAAGGTTCATGGTTGTCATTAATACGCAGTAGAAGAAGCACTACTAAGCAGATTTGAAGAAAAAAAACTCCAATCTATCTCTGTTGAATCTAGTTTAAAGACAAAACTAGGCCATAATGCTTTAAACAGTGCAGTTTTATGCTATATCTGAAGAAAAAGTGTTTAGTATTTTTATCTGGTGATGATGGTGACTGAGGTTTTCGTGTTTTCCTCATCTGTAAATTAAATGGCACCATCATGCTCTGCTTCTCGCGTTAAAAAATTCACTCATAAGGGCGTGATTAAAGAGAATATTATATTATATCCACGTCGGTGTCATTATAGACTGTTTATGAAACCAATTTCAGTGTTTTAGGTGAAATAATGACTATTTTAATGTAAGTTGTTTGTTTGGCAGATAATAAAAGAAATCTCATTTGCGTCATTTAATAATACACATTTGATAATGGCCTTAGGCTTAATGAAACTAGTTTTACGTGTCATATAATTATTATGTTTTGTGACATGCCAATGTAGTTTTGTAACACTGCTTCTCCACGACCAGTACTGAATGTAGTTCTTCCGAAACCACTTATAACAACAGAAAAAAAAAACAGTCTCGCTCTTGAGATTAAAAGAACATTCTGAAACACTTGCATCTTATGTATTTTACAAGTATTTCATTTTAACTCTAGTGACAGAATGTTCATTTTGTAATAGCTACTGCTACTGACCAATGACTGTGAATATCACGCCCGCATCGTAGATAGCCATGACTTTCAATATTGACAGTTCTACGCGACGTATTATTAGGTTTGTTCCAACAACGATCTTGGAACAATACATAAACCAGTCCAAGACTTATTGTTGACCATCTGTCGACGACTACTAATTGACAACCTGTCAGGTACTGGTAGGAGATTGAAACTCAACTGGGAACTCGATTATGTTGGAACACATTTTTTAAATTTAACAGACGCACTATTAGAATAATATACCACAAAATAAAATAAATGATAATGAACAAAAACTATGAAAATTAAACTGTAACAAATACAAATCAGAACTGTCGTAGACAAATAATATAATTACAATCACGAAATGTTCAGTTAATTGCGACTTTGCGCATGTCTTGACAATTCGTTCCTATTCAGACCTATAGGAACTAGGAACTGATTTGACAGTACACAAATCTGTTTGTGATTAGTTTTGGTTGTGTTGGAAGACTATGTTTTTGTACATTTTTGAGTCTAAGGTTTGTTGGAACACGAATTATAGACTGCGCAGAATCCCGACAGTACGCAAACTGATTTGATTTATTTTGGAACAAACCTATTATTTCGTTTGAATTTGGCTGAATAAAGATAAGCGGCGTTTGTTGAGGCGAATTTAAATTTAAAAATGGGTGAATATAATGATTCTGATATGCAATTTGTTGTGAGTCCACGTAAGGTGAACAACGCACGCGACGCGAATCGCGGCGGATGGCGGTTGCGCGGATGTTAATTTATTAGGGTTCTTTCCTCTCCTGTCATCTGGAACTGGAAGCAAGGTGGACTGTAGATGTGTAGAACTTGTGTATGATTTATTGATGCCCTGCTTGATACTTGTTTGGAATGTTGAAATTAAATAATTACTTCTGCTAACGTGTTTATTTTTATAACACTGTAAACTTTGCCTTGGATCACATAACAATTACTACAAAATTTTGAGTATTTCATAATGAACATGTAGGTTTAAAACATCTCTTTGTTCTGTTTCAAATATAAACGCCGTGTAGGCAAAGAATAGACGAATATGTGTTACTTTGATGGATGTTGAAATAAGTCTCATCGTTTGTGCCACTGTTCTGATTCGTCTGGGGAACGGCTTATATGTTTTGGTGCTGCATTGCGATTGGTTATTAAGGACGTGGCGAGAGAGTTTACCAGATTAGTGCTGACATGTTTTAACTATTTAAATAAACATGTATATTTGTATTTAAATTACTAAAAATTTTCCATCAGTGAAAAGACTATATTCTGTGCGCGAAAATATTAGTAAATATGTTGCAGGTGTACAAAGTATGTTTTTCTTGGAACCAGAAATCCGTTACGCTGCATTTTTTGCTTTGATTTGGGTTTATGTTTGTTATAAATTATTTATGCGGGGTGGATCATAAAGAGAGTATCTGGTAATAAATCTTTGATGTGTTTTGAAGTCGCATAGGTATACCATATAGAAATTGATTTTTTTTCAGTTATACAGCTCTGGTTCCAAGAAGTTTCATTAAAACGTATGATCCTGATAAATTTTTGCTTATAGGGAATGTGACCTTTGCTCTGGTCTAGTCTATTACCATTTTTATGATAGTGGTGGCTGTTTCCTTACAAATAAAATAATAAATAATTAAACGAGATAATTTCATTTTATGCACTCACATTATCTCCGCATTTAACAATGGAAAACAACAGTTATTTAAGTGAGAATATATTTTTTAGACTTTGGTCGGAACATTAATTACGACGTTTTTAAATCCATGACAATCATATTGCTTTGACTAAAATTTCTTGACATTTCGTATACACATTTTAGGACCACTGTATGGATGCATTTTTTACAACTTCAAAGAATATTATAAGAGATTGAACGTTAAACAAGAATTCATTTTAGTTAATCTAAAAAATGATAATTTCAGATCAAACATTTGGTATTTCTGGTGAAAAACATTAAACGTGGCAAACACGCATCGTCGTTATCCTATTCTGGGATAGCAGCACTGGGAAAGCACATGACCGACGCGCGGCGATGACACTCACCAACGCCTAGCCACCTTCTCACTTGCAGTTTGGTGCGCGATCCGAACACACCAATAAACGGGTACTCTACCATATTCTTGAAAAAGTACAGAAACTAGAACAAGAATCAAAATGTCTCTCGCTGATCCAGTTGCCTTTATGAAGGATTTCCTCGCTGGAGGAATCTCGGCCGCCATTTCCAAAACTTGCGTGGCCCCCATCGAACGTGTAAAATTGCTGTTGCAGGTACAACACATTTCCAAGCAGATCGCCGAAGACCAGCGTTACAAGGGTAAGATTATCTTTTCAAATTATCACTAATTATGAATTATTTGCTAATTTATCTACCGAATAACGAAAAAAATGTTATTTCCTGTGCTGTTCTGAGTAATCAATCATTACATAATCGTTAGGTATTTTTTTGACACTTAAGTAGCGTTTGCTATAATTTTCAATTGTCTGCAAGTCTCAATTTTCAATCACATGATTGTAGAAAGTAATGTATGTGTCTTATCAGCATCTGATAATAATGGAGAATTTTTAATTTAACTAAGAAGCGTCATTTTGACGAACGATATATTTCAAGGTTAAATGGATTGTATTTTACTGCGCGTATAATATGAATAATGCTATAGTTAGCAGTTTTTCTGTTTTATTTATTTAATATTGTTTAATGGAGCATAGTTTAAAAATTGGTTAAAATATCGGTCAGATTTTATTAGGGAGACCATGACAGTTAAAGTTGGTGTCGATCGATATGACGCCGGGCATAGAAAATGTCTAAATTGTGCCAAGAACATCCGTTTCTAGGCCACGTGTAAGTTTTACGCTATATGTTACATAAAAAGTATATTTCAAGTTGGTCTATTCATATCTGGATCAAATACGATTTATTTTTTCACTTAATGTCGATATGGAACATTTTTTAAATGTATCTAATTTTGTATTACGTAAGGTGTCTAGTTGTACCTTGATACCTATTATGTAGGTACTTATTGTATAAATATATCAAATTTGACTAACCTTGAGTCAAACTGATAAAAACAGTCGTTTCAATGAAATTGATAGGATCTACCTAGGTACTTCTATTTCATTTTTGCTTATTGTTGATTTCTTAATATAAAATTCTACAAAGAAATTACACTGATGTCTAATTTTTAAAGTGCTGTTAAATCAAAGAGCAAGCTTAAAGATCGTTGAACTTTTATACCTGAGGTTGGGTCAGTTTTACAAATGGGTATTCTCATCCATCATTGCCATTGACCTTGAGTTCTGTCTCAACTTCCTCTACAAAGAAATGTAGGTACAGGATTAAAAACAATTTCTGATTTTTAGGGAATCTCAACCACTCTTGACATCTAATAGGTACCATAAATAATTATTAGCTTAATTTTTCATTTTAAAAGTTTGCGAAACTAATTAATCAAATTTAAATAATTAGGTGTATTTAGGTTTGAAACCTGTTATTGTTTTATTCAACAGTAGGTGTATTCGTGGCATATGATCGGCAACACGTGGTTTGGTTCGAGGTTGACAATGGTTTTCCTAACCTCAAAAATAAAGGATTTGCACGGCACAGGGACGACCTTGGTTGAAAGTTGAAATGGTCTTTTGACTTTAGACCAGAATTTGTTTTTCACCTGTATTTATTGCTAGTTTGATTCAATTAAAATTTGCAATGTGGAATATGTCGTGAGGGTGTTTGTATGATTGATTTATACTCAAAATTAAAAGAAAATTTCTTCAAATGATAACAAATAGTAGTAATTTCCAAGCACTTTTTTATTAACTAGGTTCTTGTATAGTTTCCCTATTTTTAGAATCAATAGGTAAAGTATTGTTTAATATAATTGGTGGATAGTTTAAATTGTAAAAGCCATTTGAACATAAAAATACTTGGTAGGTAATTAAATCTTTTTTAAGCTCTTTTGAATCATTAAATTTGTATCTTCTTCACTTTCAAAATTCCAAGGATAATATACTTTTCAAGTTTGTCTAGGATATTCTAACACTTCTTTGGTATTCTTCCAATTGGAATGCCTTCTGCATACCCATAGTGTGACCAACTTGAAATAAATTCACCCCCAGTACTATTTTGATATATTGATTTTTGGTAGAATTTGAGGGTTGGTATATTTAAATTTGTTACATACTCAAAACGCAGAAAGTATTTTATTTTAAGTGTTTAATGAAGTCGTGAGTTAACAATTAATGTTACTCAAGATACTGTAGATCTATTAATTTTTTGTATGTCAATAACCTAACTATTTTTTAAAGAAAACCCCTGATAGTCATTCAGTATGGCGATGATTCTGGTGGCCTTGTTAATGAAATAGAAATAGAATTTATTCATCTTTGAGAATTATACACTATACAAAGACACTAGGTACATAATGTAAAATCCTATCAGACTAGTCAAAAAAGTGTTGAGTAAAATACATTAAAAAATAAAATATGTATAATAGACAATTCAAAATTAGTTTAAAAGTTCAAAAAATCTTCTATAAGTACTATAAAATACATTATTTACAAGAAAATCATTAAGATGTTTTCTTAAATCATTATGACTAATTTGATAATAACCTGTAGTATCTTCTAATATGTTACTGAACTTATTGTAACACTTAATCCCAATATATTTTGGTGAATGCTGGCTTATTTGTAGTTGTGAAAAAGGTTGATGGATGTTAAATTTTATTCTAGTATCATATGAGTGCAGGTCTTTATTTTTCTTAAATATATGCTCATCTTTTATGTATAAAATTAGTTGAAAAATAAAAAGGGAAGGTAGTGTTAAAATTTGCGTTTTCTTGAAAAGTTCTTTACATGTTGTTGGTGTCACCTTATACATGGCTCTCAGAACCTTCTTTTGAGATACAAAAGCTCTTTCAAAGTATGGTGAAGAACCCCAAAATATTAACCCATATTGTAGAGTTGAATGAACCAAACCAAAATAGCATAGTTTTAAAGTATCAAATGATAGTGTCTCCCTTAAATTTTTGATGATATAACAACAAGTACTTAATTTTGAAGTTACCATTTTTATATGTGCTTCCCAATTTAATTTGGGATCTAATATTATTCCTAAAAGTTTTATGTCATCAATACTTTGAATAGTTTTTCTGTCAACCTGCAAGTAGGGTTTGTAATCTGGTAATATGTTTTTGGGTAGAAATTGCATGAAGTTTGTTTTTGTTACATTTAATACTGGTTAAACTCAGGAGATGCCTCCTTGCTACTTTGAGTGACCTGTTCAATTTGATCATCTGCCATTACAATATTGGTATCATCAGTATATTGAACTATTTGTTGGGAGCTTAAACAAAAATTACTTATATCACTTATAAAAACTATAAAAAGAAGTAGGCCCAAAATTGAACCTTGGGGAACTCCTATTGTACATGGAAGAGGATCAGATTTTAGACTTTTTGTTACAATTACTTGAGTTCAATTTATTAAGTAAGACTGTATCCATTCCAAGGTTTCCCTTGTATTCCTAACCCATTCATCTTCAATAATAAAAGATTATGATCCACCATATCAAATGCAGGGCTAAGGTCATAGAAGAGTCCCAGAATATGTTTTTTATCATTGAGTGCTTGATATATAAACTCTAGGCAAGCTGCAATTACAGTAGATGTTGACTTATTTTTTCTAAATCAATTTTGAGTATCTGTCAATATATTAAAACTTTCAAGGTAATTAGTGAGTCTAATAAAGTATGCTGACTCAAATATTTTAGTTATTTGACTAGATATACAGATTAAACGATAATTTTCTATATTAGATGCAGATCCCTTATTTTTATAAACAGGAATTCCTTCATATTTGGGAATAATCTAGAAACAAAGGATCCATTAATCAAATGTATGGGTTCAGCAATACAATGAGCAACCGATAACAGAATTTTACCATTTATTTCGTCAATACCTTCAGTGGGTTTAGAAGTAGTTTTTTTTATTATAGTGATGATTTCACTAGGAGTTGTTGGAAAAAGAAAAAAACTTTTTTGATGTTTATCAATACTCATAGTATATTTAGGTACAATATTATTTTTATTTACATTAATAAAATAGTCATTGATATAATTTACTTTTTCTAAGGGTGTTAATTTGTCATCATTTGTAAGTTTAATAAGATTCAATAAGTTGTTTTTTCTTTTTCCCCTACTCTCGTTTATTATATTCCAGGATTCTTTCATTACGTTATTACATTTTAAAATATGATCATTATTTTTTCTTCTCAAATATTGTTTTGTTATTTTTTGATACTCTTTTTTTAAATTATTGTAACGTTCTGTATAATATGTAGAATTTATTTCTTGTTCCTAATGTTTCTGCATTAGAGACAATAGTAATTTATCACTAAAATAATGCTTTGAAACTAAATTAAGAAGAAAAAATAAGTAATATTTTCAAGTTTGGAACATAAATTGTACTAAAACTCTAAGAATTCATACAATGGAATGATCTATGTACCAAACTACCTAAAACTTGTTAAGGTATTTTATGAAAAAATGTAGTAACAAAATTCTAAATTTCTTAAGAAAAACTGCATTTTTTATGCTGTTCATACTGCTTGAGAATGGTAGGTATTTTACATATTACAAGTTATATAGGTATTCTATGAACAATTTAGATTATATGAAATAATTTCTTAAGGCTTCTAAACAACTGCACATTTTAATAGAAGAACAATCTATATATTATATTCAAAAAAATACCTTTTCAAAAAGGAACTTAGTAATTTTAGATGATTTTTTATTACCAGACATTTTTATTAAATATTCATATAATTCAGATCTGCTTTTATTTTTGGATGAATACAATATTATTGCTGGGTCTTACAATTATCATAAACATTTTTCATATGACATAGCTCAAAAATAAACAAACAATTATGTGAAAGTAAAAATCGATAAAAAATTGAAATCAAAATCCAAAGCAGGTTTAAGTGCTAATTGTTAAGTAAAAAATAATTTGAATAAATAAGACTTGTTACACCTATTTAACAGAACATTAGATGTAATTAAATTACATATACGTAATTTGACATTAATTTTAAGATTTTAAGATTGCAATGTACTTGAGCTCAAAATTAGCTCATACTAAATTTATTTGTGATAGGTATTTAAAATGAATGAAATTTGGCAAGATATTGGAAACTTATATAATAAATTCAATTCTGTTAAATTGGTTTTCATTTGATTACCTTAAAAACTATTTTTAACCACAAACTATTTTTTTTAAGAGCTTAGTGGGGTCTATTCTGTAGCAATTCCTTTAAATTTAA